ACTGAGTTTGGTTTTACGCCGCTTTTAGCAATATTCCAGCAACATCACGGCGGGGGACACCAGAAATGGGCTTCACACATTGTGCCCATGTGGGGATTCGAACCCGGGTCTTCGACGTAACCAGCCAACGCATTAACCATTAGGCTACCCCACCGCCCCACGATCACCTTAGCTACGACTGTGGTAAGTCATATTATGTGTTTGTTTGTTCGTTGTTTAACTCCGCATGCAGCGATATTCCAGCTATATGGCGGCGGTCTGTAAATAATCGAGACAATCCTATGATCAACATCATGAGCATCAATGTACGCCATTGCGATACGACGACATGTGTTCACCAGGGAGCAAGCATGGGTTGCTGAGACCAATTCTAACCCGGATCTCCATAGGTAGTGAGTCATATTGAAGTATAGGAGTAATGATAACTTTAACACTCCAACTGCTGTACATGTGAAATTCTGTCTTAAAGGATGGGAGTTCAGATTATGAACTGTCAAAGTTGCCGTGCATGACGATAATTCGGTTAACTGCTTTGCTTTAATGTAAAATACTTAAAGTAAAGCATTCGTTGATGTATAACTAGTGACAGAGCCCGAACCCCGCACTATCCGATAAAACAAAGGTCTACGTGTCAGCTGTAAACAATTCTGTTGACAGTCGTAGAAATGTGACAGGTTGTCAAGGCGATCACGTGACACTGCAATATACAACTGCCCCACTTCAGACAAACACAATGCATTTCGTAACTCACGCGCCCCCTGGCGGTGGAATGTGACGCCCATTCTGAAATATACAAACTCCATCGCAGCGTGTCCAATTTTATCGCCTGCATACCAATCAATAGAGCGACACCTACCCTGATAAGAGTCAACACGTTTACGGATGAATAACCTAGTAATTAGCTTGATAAGCCTTGGCAATGTTATCGTTAGAGATAATACAATTAAATAACACTCAAGCAGGTGTATATTGACAATAATTACCTGTATTGGGGGAAAGATTTGGAGATTGCGATCGGGCCGAGACTATATTGAATTAACCTGCTGATACTCGGTCACACGGAAATATCGTGTTTCTTATTAACGGGTAAAATTTGAAGTTTTACGGGTTTATTTCCTTTACTGAGTTCTGTTTAAATACAAAATGAATAAAAGCAATGTTCTCTACTTGTTTATACACTACCCAAAATAGCTATGAATTATTATCTTCAATCTTTTCTGGGTCCTAATCCACAAAGCGTTCGTAATATTACGACCTATCGTAACTGTATAGTTTGTCTTAAGCTTACGAACGACGTAGAGCTACGACCGCTTTGTGGATCTGGGGCCCGATTCACAAAGCGTTCGTAGCGCTACGACATTCGTAAGCCTATGCTAAACTATAGAGAGGTCGTAACGTTACGAACGTTTTGTGGATCGGAACCCAGGCCCTGGAACTGTATATTTTGTACCGCCTTGTACAGTTGCCTTTCTCCGGGTGTTACTGTATCAATATCCGTTCTTTTTAGTATTCTTTCAGACTAGGGCCTATTATACGTAGTTTGTCATAATTTGGGGGCGGAGGGGTAGCCTAATGATTAAATCGTCCGCTCGTCAGGCTGAAGACCCGGGTTCGATTCCCTATGTAGGCACAATGTGTGAGTGAGTGATTTTAGTTTTACGCCGCTTTCAGCAATATTCGGGCAATATCACGGCTGGGGACACCAGAAATATGCACATTGTACCCGTGTGAGGAATCGAACCTGGATCTTCGGCGTGACGATCCAACGCTTTAACCACTAGACTACCCCACCGCCCGTTGACCACAGGAACTGTCGATATATAATGACATTTTGTTGATATAATGTTTCTACTACTTATTTAAATAACGCCACACGTGCTGAGGAAAGAGTCTACATGACTTTGTGGAAATACTGCATATTTAATATATTTTCGATATATTTAGATTATATTTGTATTACTGGAATGAACTGAAACTTGGTCGGTGTAGTGTTGCAGATTTAAATTGATAGCAACTTTTCCTCTTAAAAATTTCTGTGTAAATAATTCAATTTTTTATCGGTGATTATTATCTCTGTAGTTGAATATGAACATAATAGCCACTATGTATTTCTTACCTCATGTCCGTATCAGGTGAATATCACGGGGTGGTTAAATGTGTAATATCAAAGTGAGCCAGTCTGTTATAGCAGTGCCTATCCCAGTGGTTAAATGTGTAATATCAAATCTCTAAGCAAAGTTGCGTCCCTTGGGCGTGGTAGTATCCTACGACTCTTTGTCAGCACCATATCTGTGCTAGTAGGTTTGAACAAGGTGAGAAACGTGTACAATCTACATGACGTCATGTTCCCTACCACATCATTTCTGTTGTTTGTTTGTTGTTCAACGCCGCACTCGGCAATATTACAGCTATATAACGGGGATCGGTGAATAATCGAATCTGGTCCAGACCATCCAGTGATCAACAGCATGAGCATCGATGTACGCAATTGAGTTTCGACATGTGTCAGCGAACCCGTTCCCGTTAGTCGCCTCTTACAAGCATGGGTTACTGAAGATCCACACGTCGGCACAGTGGAGACACGGTTCAAGGGATGCTAAACAAACCTCCGTTACAATAGATATATTCTGTACGGATGTAGATGTGGCGAGGGACGAAACTAAGAAACGAAGTTTTAGTGCTGACCCTTGTCGTGCCCAGATTCAATGGTCGTGGGTTCGTTCTAATCCCAAATTCGCTTTTATTGTGATAGTGTTACAGCAATATCCAATAGACACCTAACACCTAACGAGAAAAATCGAACCCGGTCTTCGGTGGTACCAGGAAGTGCTTTAACCATAAGGCAACCCACCGCCCCACACAGTATAAAAGTACAAATGTTACCTTAGCGCAAGACGTTATCTGTATCACTTACACAGCACACTGCACTGGAAGGCCAGGTTATCAGATAACTGGATTAACAATCGGTCCCCGATGGGGCAATTCATTACTCATGAAGGTCGGTGGGGTAGCCTAGTGGTTAAAGCGTTCGCTCGTCACGCCGAAGACCCGAGTTCGATTCCCCACATGGGTACAATGTGTGAAGCCCATTTCTGGTGTTCCCCGCCGTGGTATTACTGGAACATTGCTAAAAGCGGCGTAAAACTAAACTCATTCACTAATTGCTCATGATATCAGTCACTGGATTGTCTGGTCCAGACTCGAATTAATACAGGCCGCTCTCATTTAGCCTGAGTATTACCGAGTGCGGCGGTAAACAACAAACGTAAACAACAAACAAACATGACATGCCAGAAGGACCAGTTGAGCACTTAGGACAGCTTTATATCAACCTGGTGTGACGACACGTCCCATCTTAGGATATGGACGTTTGTCTTTGCCTTTTTATATGGTTTTCTGTAAACATTTACTGATGGGAAAGCCTTAATTTTCAAAGGTGTTTAAACACGACCGTTTTATTTGCTCGGAGGGCCGCCGAATGGCGTCAGAAAAGCATGCAAGTCTAAATTTCAGAATTATGTTCAAGAGTGAGTGAGTTAAGTTTTACGCTGCTTTTAGCAATATTCCAGAAATATGGCGGGGGACACCAGAAATGGACTTCACTCACTGTACCCATGTGGGGAATGGAACCCGGGTCTTCGGCATGACGAGCGAACCCATTAACCTTTAGGCTACCTCACCGCCCCTATGTTCAAGAGAACAGGCGCTATCAATTGTAAGTGTGCACCCTTGAGCTCCAAGCCCGGTCGTTGTTTTACGCCGCTCTTATTAAAACAGTATGTATATTATCAGAGCCAGATAAACCGGTGATTGATAGTATGGATGTCAGAGAATACGATGAGTTACTGAACCTGACGACCTGATCTCGATCATCTTCGATTATCAGTTGGAACTGAAATATTTACACGGTGGGTATAATTGAGGGCTTCATCTTTAGCACCAGACCCTTTATTGCAGAGTTGCGTCCCTTAGTCCTGTCAGTATACGGTGATCGAGGATTTGAATCCCAGATTAAGATCGTTGGGTTGTCATCATCGTACCCTGTTGTGTGCTTCACCAGGATGGCAAACGTCCCAGACATGTATTACTTCGGGGTTTTCTCCCACATTAGGCGGACCCGCGGTGTAATAACTGAAATAATGACCAATGCTTCACGTGTTCCAGTGAGTGAGTGAGTTGGGTTTCCTGCAATATCACTGCGGGGGACACCAGAAATAGCTTCACACATTGTACCCATGTTGGGAATCGAACCAGGTGTTCAGCGTGACAAGCGAACGCTTTAACCACTAAGCTACTCCACCGCCCCTCCTCCAACAAAGTAATGATAACATTATTCATGAAATAAACGCGATGTTTTAAATATAGATGAAACGAGGTCACGGTTTGTCTAACAGGAAGACATGAAACTTTCTTTGTATGGATAACATTTTTTATGTTTGCCACGATTTGTAAGGGATTTGTGTCCTTGAATATACGGGTTACATTCTTCAGTAACCCATGCATTGCGTAAGAGGCGACTAACGGGATCGGTCGGTCACGCGAATTGACTTGGCTGATACAAGCCATCATATCCCATTAGCATAAATCGGTGTTAATAATATCAGTCACGGGATTGTCCGGTCCAGATCGGATTATTTGCAGGCCGTGGTAACATAGCTGGAATATTATTCAATTCGGAGTTAAGCAAAATAAAAATAACATTTAACAAATCAGGACTATGTTTTACCTTGTCGACAGACCCAAAATCGAAATATAACATAAATGTCTAAATGTATGCGAAACAGAGCATGGTCATGCATACTCATGACGTCATTGCGTGATTAGCAGCCATATATCTTGTGTGTGTGTATCACATCCTATACACAGACACTCACTACATTAGATCATACACTATATACACGACCGGGATAGTCATTTCCTTGTATCTTAACAACCGGAAAGCGATTTGTCATAGTCATCGACAAAATAGGATCGGGACACGCCCCGCAGTACAGATATTTACATCTCTGGCTGATTAAACCATCACGCAAATAACCACAGCAATACGTGTAATTAAAATAGTTTGTCTTGAACGCGAGCAAATACATTCAGGGGGGCTGTTTTTGTCTATTTCGCTGCCAACACAACAAACTCATCGCTGATAAACAACAGCGGAAATTCAAACAGGATTGTCCAGCGAGTACCTGTTCAATCCGGGCCTCGTCACTACCCAGTGTCACTCCGCGTTGGGACTAAGCGCGTGGGATTTTCCCAAACTGCATTTCGTAATCTGTTTTAATCCTCCTTGGCCATCAATCAGTGGTCATTAGCAGTCTAACAGGACTTGGGGACGAAGCGGAGTGTTAATTACCTGAGGGTGATTGCGATTTACCTGAGATATTCTTCCGCCTATAGAGGTCACGGACAGGTGTGCAGCAGTTGAGTGCCACTAGGAAGGGAATTGAATGCGGCGTTTTGAAAGCTAAATATTCGTGATATCGCCGTGACATATGCCGAAATGGCGTCTTGGATATGTTTAAGTGTCTGCATAATTACATCGTTCGTTTTGGAATCAGGTAAGTCACCACCTGTCTTGCTGGAGCATTATACACCTGTAGTTGTATCGCGAATTGCGGACATTTTGAAATAGTTCGGTGACACCAGATACCAACAAGACGTTGCGTTTGAATACTGTGTCAAATGGCTTCGCGTGGTACGCGCGATTACATACTTTCCGTTTATGAATAACACGATACTGTCTGTGATTTCTTGTAGACTTTGTTGAAACAGTAATATGTGATACTTGTAGTACACTGACACAAAAATATATAAATAAATAATGTTTGTTGTAAGAGAGCGTTCAAATTTGACAACTTGTAACCTGCCGTCTAATGAAAGCTGGTACAACGTGCTAGCCAGTGTATTGTTCGTCATTGGGATGTATATCATCCCAAAAGAGCATGGCAACATTTAATTTGTGCTGTTTTATTTGTGGAACAGCGAAGTGTATTATAGCGACAAATCCTGTGACACCGTTTCCGGCTTTATACGCTGTCACTGGGGTTCTTCTCGTCCCGCGAGCACAAATACAACGCGTAACACGACCAACAGTCCAAAGTTTATAACAGTGAAATTGTGGGTATTTTTATACGATGACACGTTATTCTGGGCATAACAAATAATCTTGGAACACTTGTTTGCATTAACAATATTTTTTCATTAAATTTACATTTCATAAGCACTACAAGCTCGTTCCAAGTCATGATTGAATTTATTTTAGAGAATCCAGGAAATATGTGTTCCTAACATACTAATCATCATTTAAATATGCAAAATTTGCAAATGGACTGTAAGCAATTTGCAAAAAACAAAACAAATTACTACCTGTTTTTTTTGTTTTTTTGTTGTTGTGTGCATTAACAATAATAAAAGAAACATTTATGAAATGACGCTAACCAATTATTTTCGATGATTGATCGGTTGTAATGGACCAATCATCAATTATTAGATTTTAACCAACACTAGTAACAGAGCATTAATTGGAGCAGGGCATTAAATACAGCAGTATCATGAATAAGTTGTTAAAAGTTGATGAATTTACAACTTTACTAACACTAGCGCAACAAGGAGACTAGATGACAACCAGTTACTTCCAGGGCCTAGTTGCACACACTGATCTTAATGATACAGCCATCTTAAGGCTATGTTAGAGTGTGGGAGTAATGACCATATTAGGGAACGTTCATAATTTATGGGTGGGTGGTGGTGGTGGTGATGATAATTTTAAGGAGGTGTCACCCATTATGTTCTGGGGAGGTGGGGTCACCAATTTCCGATTTTGTACACTCATGAACAGGGGGGTGGGGGTGGTCATTGATTTTGTACATGACATTGGGGGGAGGGGGGGTCACTTTGTATATAAATTTTAGGGTGTATGTCATTCACATATTGCAGGGGTGGGTGTCATTTATTTTGTACATAAATTTTAGGGGGTGTCATTCACATCGTACATGCTTCTCCATAAAGTCATCATCACCTCTCCTAGCCATAAATTATGAATGGTCCCTTAGTGGTAAGATCACTCTGTGCATGTGAGCCCGGAGCCCTTTCAGGAAATGTGTGTGTCCTGTAAACATTGTTAACTAATAAAATGTGTATTGTACTGTTCTGTAAGATATGATAATTACAGTAATTACATTACCTGTATATTCCTTGTCAAGAACTTGGTACGGTGAATATATTGGTTTAAACATATTTTCTTGTCCAAAAGACAACAGGATTAGGCACTAGTGCACCACTTATGGTTGCCTTCTCCCTATTAGAATATATTGTGTCCCATTGAACATATAATGTTCAAAAGGTGAGGTGAAATAGGTTTAACACCGTACTTAAGAATATTTCGCTCATACGACGTGCATGCATGTGTATGTGTGGCTGCTTGTACTAGCCCAGACTTAAGCTGGTTTTATAGTCCTAGCTCGCTGAGATACCATGCCGCAGTGAAGCATGAATACCCCCCTCAGACACATTATACTGGCTCCGAGCTGACAAGTCCTTGTTGTACCTATTAATGCCAAGCGCCAGACAGGGACCAACAAGTACAATATTTTAACATCTTTTCAAACCCGTGACCTTCCGCTCTCCAGGCGGACACCACGGAGGCGGTCTCAAAAGCTGTTAAAGAACACAAAACAGATGAACAATAGCAGCATGAAAGAAAGGGTGTCCTTTGACCTCTTTTGAGTAGTATATATTTGTTCACACTGGACAAAGGGCGGTGGGGTGGCCTAGTGGTTAAAGCGTTCACTCAATACAGATTTTACAGGGGCTTCAAGTAGGGTATTTACCGGTTCAGACATGAAATCGATACGTATTGCGATACGCTGATCGAAAACCGGTATTTCGACATACATTCGTAAAACTTCGTAACACTCGGAAATGTTCGGATATTTCCGTTTTTCACACCGGAAGTCTAGTTAAGTTTGGTTTGAAGTTGTCTTCTAAATTTTTGTTCAAGTGTTTTGCAATGTTTTGGATCTGAATGTTTTAAATATTTACTCATTAATGTCCAGTGCTCTCTGCCTGACCAGGTCAAGTTGCTGTCTAAAATCTCAGGGCTTTTTTGAGAGTGGAGAAACTAGTTCAAACTAGTTACCACTGTGTTGATGTTAAATTGTTCTTTTCCTTGTTTCAACTCGAGTATAAGTAGTTTTTTTGTTTAAAAACAAATCTTGCAATATATTGCAATACATATCACAATATATGCTTTTGCATCGCAATATATCGCAATGTGAAAATGCACTGCACTACCCACCCCTAGCTTCAAGTATTGCCATGAACTGATTTTTTTTGCACTGTGCTGAACTAAGACAGGGAAAGCAACAAACTGTGATAGAAATGTTATTGTAGATATGGTAGCCCTCATACAAGTGTATATATTTTTAGTCATGTTAATTGTGAGGCGTGTTGAGGTGGCCTAGTGATTAAAGCGTTCATTCGTCATGCAGAAGACCCAGGTTCAATTCCCCACATGGGTTCAAAGTACTACAATGGTGGAATGATACTGGGAAGGAATTTGAATGTGTGAACCGTGTTAATTTAAGTAGTGACAGAAAAGATTAGTGAAGGCCGTTATGCCCTCTAATTATGTAAAGCCTGTCTTCTGTCTGTATGCTACACAGTTTTGTCTTTCTGTTCCAGTCACTGGGGCAAGCCTGACCTCATCACCGGCTCAAATAACTATCTGGGGCGGTAACCCAACATCTCAGTTGACTGTAGGTTGCACGCCAAATGCACCTGGGATAACTAAAGTGTTTAACATAGAGATTGGCAAGAAGTCTTCTACTGGCTCTAATCAGCCTATAATACAATTGGCCAACGACGATTCGTCAGTACAAGTAGTGGACACAAGTCTACAACAGCGGTTAACAGCCTCAGGTTCTATTAGTGGAGCAACAGGCAGTATACAGTTCATCCTGACAGATCTGAGATGTGCTGATGCTGCTTCTACATACTACTGCAGCACGTTATACTTGACGGGGTCATCTGGAAGTGATGAGGCAACTACCAACATCACAGCTAGAAGTAAGAAGTGGCTTGAATTACAAATGTGTTGTAGAGCTTTTAGGCTATTTGATTGTGAAACATGACCTACACATTTGTACACACTGAAGCTAGTGAGACCAATGTCAGCACTGTCACCTCAGAACCCTACGAGAATATGACCATGGCACCATATTTCTATCCTTTAAAGCTGTGGTCACGACTGGGTGCGATTGTTACCATTTAACGTTTTGAAAGGGTAATATTGACCACAGGGACATTCAGCTTTTCATAAAAGGCCATCAGAATCAGATGTATCAGTGGTCTGACTCAGAGGCTTGTTTGGTTGTATGTCGTCTCCCTATAGGGGCACTGGGGTAGTCTAGTGATTAAAGTGTCTGCAGGTCACACCAAAGAGCCAGTTTCAATAACACCAGAGGCACAGATAAGCTGCGTATCTGCGTAAATTACGCAAACATTTATGTGAAAACTCAATTCTTACCAAGCCTGTTGCGTACAAGTACGCTTGAATTTTTGTAAATACACAATATATTTGATCTTACATGCATACACACAAAAATGACAAAATCTTTGTTTGCGTACAGGTGCATAGATAAAATAACTGAGGAAAATTGAGAGGATCTATCTCAACACATGAACTAGGCAACTTGCAGTCTTTCTTATAGTTTCTCATATTACAGATCCAATATATATATAACATTAAAACGTCATTATATTTTTACAATTAATGGAAAATGACGAAATACCCAATTGAGTTTGAATGAGGTGGGTACAATTTATTTGGTTACTCAAAGGAAAATTTGGATACCCAATTGAGATGAGCGCAAGCAAGTGCATAACTCAATGACCCAAAAAGTTATCTGTAGCTATGATAACACACATGGGTACAATGTGTGAAGCCCATTTCAGGTGCCCCCTGTGATGTTGCTGCTTCCTGAAAGCAGTGTAAAACCATACTCACTTGTATCCCTTGTAGTTTAAGTCAGTCTCACTCACAGCATTGTTTTGCCAGACATGATTATTTACAAACAGTTGTGATAAAGCTGGTGTATATATGGTATACTGCTGGAATATCACAGTTCCAAATAGCAAACAAACCATTCCTCATTTTTAGTCGAGCATCTATTCATTTCTGTCTTTCAGCCTACCCAGAGCAGATAGAGATGTTCCCCACTCCTGACAGGGTCCAGTATGACGATGGTGAGGTCTTGTCAATCAGATGTACAGGCAGGATTGGGAACCAGTTTAATGAGAACAACCTCCAGAACCTGTGGACATGGGAGTGGCGATACATAGACAACGAGTTCGCCTCCTGGACACGGTACCCCAATGACCAAAACATCACCTACGACACTCCTACGTCGTCAGCGGAATGTCAGTATACAGGGGCGTCAACACTGGTTCATACAGTCTCGAATCTAGACAATGGGAGACAGTTCAGGTGTTCTGTCGTGAGTGCTGACTACAGCGCAAACAAGACAGTTTATGTTGTTGGTAAGATGTGTCAAAACATTTCATGCTTTATCTATTAGACCCATGAAGATCCGGGTTAGAATTGGTTTTCAGCATGTTCATAACCTATGCTTCTCATCAGAGGCGACTAACAGGATCGTTTGGTCAGGCTCACTGGTTTGGTTGACACATGTCATCGTATCCCAATACATTGATGTTGATCACTGGATTGTCTGGTCCAGTCTTTATTATTTACAGACTGCTGCCATTTATCTGGAATATTGCTGAGTGCACCGAAAAGCTATACTCACTGACTATAAGAAAGACAAAGAGTGCGGTGTTAAACAACAAACCACCCAACTTTATCTAGTATTAGCTTTGCAAGCTTGTTTGATTATGAATTTTTTTTACAGAGGAGAGTGTGGGGAGGTGGGGTAGCCTAGTGGTTAAAGCGTTCGCTTATCATGCCGAAGACCTGGGTTCGATTATCCACATGGGTACAATGTGTGAAGCCCATTTCTGGTGTCCCCTGCTGTGATACTGCTGAAATATTGCTAAAAGCGGCTTAAAACCAAACTCACTCACTCACTCATAGGGCTGGGACGATACACTATGTCACGATACGATATTTTACCTACGATACGATACGTATCACGATACATACACCTTGAAAGAATGACACAGTATCAAGATTTAAAATGATTTATTTCAAGGTATTTGTGCTTAACAATAACACTATTGTGATAAACAAACAAGTAACTCCATCATACTTGCATATTTTTCTCTAAATAAGTACTCTCCACCTGATGGTCGATGGCTTACTTTCCCAACCATAACCGAGGAGGAGCGCTTTATTATACATATAAACCGTCAATGATGGATAATTAGATGATCATGTAATGAAGCTACATAACAGTAACTGAAGCACTAGTAAAATCAATTTAATGACAGTAGGCCTAACTATAAAATAGTTATTCAACCCTGACTTCTTTGTTGGCCCGGTGGCTGTGAGGTAGAGCGTCCGCTTAATAACCTGAGAGATACAGTTCCAATCCTGCTAGGGAACATATTGGCACATTACAGTTGATCTTTGACGATATTTTTCAATTGATTTCAAACACTCACATGTGATCTGAATTTGAATGTTGATGTTAATATAGAGTTAGGAAAAAAACCTGGGTCTCACTTACAAAAAGTAAAACCTGGGAGCAAACAAAAACCTCAAAGAGGTTATTCCGGGAAAAGAAGCCATGTCTAATACAGTCAGAAGCACCGTTCAGGTTTATATCAAGTGATAGGAGATGCTGGTAGCTGATGTGATGCCACACCACAGTTAGTATTTACATGTTTATAGACACTATGAAACTGATAGATGCCATAACCATATTTGTTTGAATAAGATCATGTGCTTGTATGGTGTGGGGGCGGTGGGGTAGCCTAATGGTTAAAGCAATGGCTCGTCACGCCAAAGGCCCGGGTTCGAATCCCCACATGGGTACAATGTGTAAAGCCCATTTCTGGTGTCCCCCGCCGTGATGTTGCTGGAATATTGCTGAAAGCGGCGTAAAATCAAACTCAGTCAGTCAGTTGTATGGTGTGATTTACTTTTTTTCTTAAAAATATGTAATGTCTGAAAAAACTATAATATATCAAGTAAGTTTTAAGAATTATAAGAGTGGTTAAATGTCATGAGCAATTCATTTGTATGTACAGTAATCCTTAACTTTTGCATGAACTTTCATAAAATTAACTGCCATCTGTTTGTGACAGGTAATGTCATCTAAAGTAGTATACCACTCACGACTAGACATGGCGGCAGTCTCAAAGAGAATGATTTTAAAATCGAATATCCCCCCACAGATTTTGAAATTTGAATTCAGAATGATAGGCAAGGTACAAAGTAGTTACTTCATCCAATCACTTCTTGATCCAAATACACCACGGCCTGGTCACTGTTGATTGGTCGATGAACTATGCCTCAACAATTCATCGACCAATCACCAGCGACGAGACCATGTATTGTATTTGGACCAAGCTGTCGTATTAGAATGAAGTAACTACTACCTACTCTCCTAGAAATTCTTTCCAAGGGACGAATTATCCTCAGTCAGTTTATGTATATTATGTTTGTTTCTTTAGCATTAATATACGTTTCATTTTTCCTCAGGAAAATGTTTGACCAAAATGTAAATCGTTGGAACCCATTTTAATTCTATAATTTTATAAATGATAATTCTGGTGATGTGACAATATTTACAAACTGCTACAACCAGGTTTTTATATTTCCAGGTCAAGCACCTCCTGTAACTGGTACCCCAGGACCGAAAACAGGCGGTGAGTTTCGCAAGAAAGAATTACAGTTTAAATATCAGTGCACATACGATGAATGAAGTTTCAAACAAAGAACTGACGGATGATACAATTTATTTATTTTTTATCCCATCCATTTGTACAATGCATATAATGAAGTAAAGTTAGGCCAGACCAATTTTATTTCTTGTTTTACAGATTTTTGTCCTCAGAAAACCAAAAGGCAGGAAGGAAAAAAATAATAATAACATTCACCAGTCAAAGTAATATTCTTTTTAAATACTAAAAGTGTTTTACTTTGGGCAATTTATGAAGTGTATATGGGGGGAAAAAACAAGGAATATTCAACGGCTTATGATAGGTTGTATATATCAGTTGGGTGAACGTGGGTCCCCTTGTTTCAGAGGCTGGAGTGGATGGTGGCATGATCGCTGGTATCGTGGTAGCTATCCTGGTTATCATCGTCGTCATCATCGTTGTCATCGTCGTCATGCGCAAGAAGAAAAGTGGTGGTGAACATTGTGAGTATACCATTGGATCTTCCTCACAACTTGCTATTACTCACAGATGGCTTCACATCATTGTATGTATATTAGGCCAACAAAAAAAAAATGCAGTATGTCCGTTTCCGGTAACCAGACCGACCCTATCCTAAAACACACACCCCCCATCCCCACCCCCCAATCCTAAATCTTTTTTTAACCAAGTCGAAATCATGACTGGAGTGCATTTCCACCCATCATTTTCATCCAAATCAAGTATGATATATTTATGTTTTTCAGTGTACGTAGGGCTAAAATGGATTGCATTGATTTGGCATCATGGACTCTCACTGACAAACCCTGCAAATAAATAACATAATAATGGTTTGATACAGAAATCTTTCAATGTTTCATCACAAGGCATTGTCACTACATGGTATGGTACTCTTGACGACCTTCTCAGGTTCCCACCTGGTGCTACTGAAAAAAAAAAAAAGTGAAAACACAAAGATAAAACCGACCCACCTACCCTATTTTTAAAAAGCATGTAATAGGAAACGGACATCTTATTTTTTTTGGCCTTATACACAGATTTTTGCATTTTCATTAAATATGTTGTATTTATATATTGTTTGGATCTGTAACAATACTACAGTATAATGTGATTTAAATAAGTAATGATAGGGCAGCATTGTATTTGTTTATGTTGACATATTCTATGCAAAGACTGTACTACAGAGGGGCGGTGGGGTAGCTTAGTGGTTAAAGCGTTCGCTCGTCACGCTCGTCACGCTGAAGACCCGGGTTCGATTCCCCACATGGGTACAATGTGTGAAGCCCATTTCTGGTGTCACCCGCTGTGATATTGCTCGAATATTGCTAAAAGCGGCGTAAATCTAAACTCACTCACTGTAATCTAGAAATTGTGCTGCTTCATCTTATGTGTAAATGTTTTTGTAAACGAAGATAAATTGTGCAGCATTTCTTAAATCTTTACTCGTTTTACCCTAAATACCAGTTGCCTAAAATATATCTGTAATTTCCATTTTCAGATGAAACAAAGGAAGAGGATGGACGAGAGTAAGTATTGATGCTAAAATAGGGACTGGTGTTTTAGATGAAATGGAGGGGAAAATGTTCCTAATTTGTCACAAATTTTGAGAGGTAGGGGGCCATGAAGAAATCAGTGTTCTCTATTTTCAAATATAAAAGTTCGAAATTCAAACATTATTTAGAGACTTCTTGTCTTATTAAAGGGAGTGGGATGGACCAGGAAAAAATGTTACATTAAATCAATTATTGGGAGGTTGAGCACAAATGACCAATAAACCAAAAGCAGTTGTAGATTGTAATTAGATCTGAGATTTCTGCAAACCCCAAATAAAGAGGACAAAATGTGCAGTAAATGTCGTACTTCACCCCAAAGAATTGTTTACGCTCTGCCCTTTAAGCCATTTAAGCATGTTCTGGCCCTACTAAACCTAAACAACTTTGTGCCAAGGAAAAAGATCATCAGACACTGTACAAATGAACAATTCCCCCTGTCAAGACCTAATTATTAGTGAAGAGTCTGGGTGGCAAAGGTCAGGTTGATCATGCTCGTAAGGATCATATGGGAATTATAAAGCTAACGTCAAAGTTCTTGAAAGGAATGAAAATATGTTCTGTCGGGAGTGTCTTTTTCAAGATTTATAGATGTGTTTTTTTGTGTTTTCAGTAATTTACGTCATCAGTCGAATCAGCATGTAATAAGTGAGCTTAAGTATTAATCTATCAACTTTGCCAGCGTCAATTTGCAAATTCCTTCGAGCATGTTTACCTGCAATAAGATGTGGCTTCAGATAGACCTACCTTTTTCTCTCTTTGGCCGTGCAAACTTTTCTTCAATTCCTCATGCTGCTGCTCTCCCTTGACACCGCTGATTGCGTACAAACAAGGATAGGTTCATATTTCTAGGAGTCGTTTCTCATGCTGTCCATCACTGGAGTCCATTTTGAAAGTTTGATCATGGATGATGTGTCTGTTGGCCAACAGTTCAGCTCACAAAATGCTGGACATCCCAAACATCTTTACTCAGGGATGAGAATTTTCTGCGGATTTGATCTTGCTGGGGTCTTTCATGGATCTACGTCCCCCAAGACCCCCCGGCTCATTTTCCTCACTCATACTCATTGTCATCCCTGTCTTCTCTCCGCTTTTCAAACTTCTGTTTGCCTTGCTCATCTTAAGTGGTGACTTTTGGAACAGGTCGTCAAGCCTTGGTGACTTTGTTAGCTCTGTGTCAGAGTACCTTTATGGGGACGAGATGTTGTTACCAGGGCTGCAGCGAATGCATTATGAGGCGAATACGATATGTTTTACGAATGTAGATTAACAAATACAAATATTATTTTTTTCTTATCCTGACATGAGTGAGTGTATTTTTACGTCCGCTTGTGGAACTACAAGGGATTCAAGTGTTCCACTACCATTCGCAAGGGAAAGGGATCGTTGGGGTCGGGCTGGGGATAGAGATATCAGCTAAGATAAGATAATCCTTTAGGGCAATTATACTTGGGAAGTACACGGCATGTCATAACAACTTATAAATAATATCCAGTCCTGTTGATCTTCGCTATCGGGTGGTCATGCCACCTATATATTTTGAGCCATTTAATACGATGCGTTTCTATGGTTATCAGGTATCATACCCTTTTACATCTCAACATAAACTTCATGAAAGAAAGACACGTAAGATGTTAATCAATAGATGAGGCATAGTCAACACACATGAAAAAACACAAAATATCTTTGAGATGACCCCTTGTGCCTGTAGGCAGCACATGCATTTCATGCCAGGTGAGTCGATGGTCCGTAATAACTGGCTAAGCGACCTAATTGCCATCTATAGTCTGATCTATTGTTTTCAGCAGTTTTGCCCGATTTTACGAGTATAAATGCTTTTCTGGATATCCTATTACACATCCCACTGAATGCCAAGCTAGGCCGAAGTGGGTTATTTCGACATATGCCATTTGCAGTTGTGTAAATTTTAGGGATACAGAGTAACAGCCTAAACACAGGTTTTTTCTATTTCCGACAGTACTTTAGTTGTAACCGGCTACTAGAGTAGTAGTGGTGCCATGGTGCAAACTACAAACAAGCTCTAAGACTGTCGTAAGTCTGTGTTAAGGTATGGGACTTACGATCACCTTAGGTCTAAGACTGTCGTATGTCTGTGTTAAGGTATGGGACTTACGGTCACCTTAGCGCTAAGACTGTCGTAAGTCTGTGTTAAGGTATGGGACTTACGATCACCTTAGCTCTAAGACTGTCATAAGCTCTAAAACTGTTGTAAGTCTGTGTTAAGGTATGGGACTTACGATCACCTTAGCTCTAAGACTGTCGTAAGTCTGTGTTAAGGTATGGGACTTACGATCACCTTAGCTCTAAGACTGTCGTAAGTCTGTGTTAAGGTATGGGACTTACCATCACCTTAGCTCTAAGACTGTCGTAAGTATGTCAGTATGTCTCTTGAAACTGATACAAGTTGCTGAAATATAGCTTTGTGGTACAAAAAAACACCCCAGCTGTATGAATAATTTAGATTGCTGAGTTATGAATATACACTGTACAGAGATTAAATAATGTGGTATCAATGCTGACTTTCTACTCGCTTCTTCGCACCTGAAATAATTGTGTGCATGCTTGCTAATTGACTAATCCTGTGTGCAATCAAATGATACTGTGTTGATACAGAATTGCTCAGTTGATACTTGTATCATGGTACACAGTGGTACAATGCTCACTGCATTCAACACATCTGTTTTGTCAACACATCAACAATATCGAAACCGAACATCAAACTGACACCTTTATTTTGTCAACAATATCGAAACCACACATCAAACTGACACCTTTATTTTGTCAACAGTATCGAAACCACACATCAAACTGACACCTATATTTTGTCAACAGTATTGAAACCACACATCAAACTGACACCTATATTTTGTCAACAGTATCGAAACCACACATCAAACTGACACCTTTATTTTGTCAACAGTATTGAAACCACACATCAAACTGAAATCTTTATTTTGTCAACAGTATTGAAACCACACATCAAACTGACACCTTTATTTTGTCAACAGTATTGAAACCACACATCAAACTGACACTCTTGTTCTGTCCAATTATCAGTTGAATAGATATGACACCTGAATCCTGAGTGTATGCCGCTATATTTTTGTTTTGTGTTTTGGGACACAGACAATCCAGGCATAGATAGGTCTGTGTCACTGGAAAATATTGTTGCAGTAACTGAATTCATTAAACAATTTCTTGTTCACAGTGAAAGGCCGGAAATGACTCCCAATGTTGTGTACAGCACTCCGGCCAGCATTGACCAACGGGTGAGTACCTTTGAGAACATAATTACAAATATAACCTACGAATTTGTACTAGGGTATAATTTTGTTTCTCATATAATGTCAAACTTTAAGTTATCAATGTTAAAGAAAATATTTCATTCAACGAAGTAATTTTGGAAACCCCATTCCATTTGAGTGAACAGTCCCATTTAACATAAGGTGCCTAATGATCTGGAGACATGATTGCCTGGAAACACCCACACATCAAAACTTACGTCATGCAATCTTTTATGGTTAACACTGACATAGCCTCCATGTATGGAGCCTAAAAGTAGTTCCGGCTTACTGACTCAATTTGCATATTTAACACATAGAGATATCAGGCTTACAGATCAGTTTATCACATTGATGACACCATCCATTCCACGATATACATATTTCCTAAATCTCAGTTTTGGAAACTTAATTAAATAATTAATTATTATCATACTGAGAGACCGAACGTTATATTGTCTGAGATCTGATCAGGAATGAGATAGTGTGATAATTCAACAAAATAGTATGCTTGTAGAAAATGACTAAAAGAGTAAAACCTTAGTCCATCTGTGCCTGCTAGCCTATCACAAATACATAGATTCTTTCTCCTAAACTGCAAACATTTTTAATAATTAATTATAATTAAAATTCATAAGGTTCAGGAATGTTTTTATTATTATTATTATTATCATAATAGGTAGGCCCTGTTATGTTTATGTATTCAGAATATCATCACTGAGGTCATTTCTTTATTCTCATTAGCGAAAATGTAAAGTGAATATTTTATGTGGAACTAATATATTTTTTGCATCATACTAAAAATAGCTAAATGTTTTTTATGATGAATTTTGCTTCCTTTGCACATTACGAATAGATAAGGATGAATAGGCCATTTAAAGACATAACATAATATTAAAACTAAATTGTCAATTCTAATTCAGGAAAAAAATGGGTTTCTTTTGAATAACTGTTTATTTTTTAGACCTTTTCTAAATGGTTCTGTTTGCTTGTATGAATATCAAGACTTACAGGTCATTACAGGTCAAATGACCCAAAGGTCATGGTCACAGCAGCCTGAAGGTCATGGCCAGTGACCTTTGTGATAGTGACAAATGTCATGCTGACCTTTATTTCATTGACAAAGGTCATGTCACATTGACATATTCCTGGACACAGGTAACAGGTGGCAGAATTCATTGTCATTTTCACTCTCACCTTTTGACCTTGACCTCTAAACAAAAACTTTCGAATAATAAGCCCACATTGACATGGCATGGAAATTATGACAATCTATTAAATTCTGCCACCTCACCTTGTCTTGCAGGAAGACGATGACAAAAAAGATCGAAATGCTAACGCAGACGGCCTACATTATGCCGACCTTGACCTTGCTAGACTACCCGAGAAAGGAGAACCACGTGCCAGACAAAAAGATGCTCCAACCGAATATGCATCCATTCGTCTGTTTTGAACACGTTCTGTGATAAAAAAACCCATTGTACATTGACATCCACCCAAAAGTCGTTTCTCCATGTTGTCTATTTGGAAGAGCTATTCCCCTTTTGGAATACGAAACATTCCAGGACCTGTTTGCACAGAATGTTCCTAGCACTAAGACTTTGAATTCTCTTATACTTTCACATGGACTTTAACATTTTGAATGCAAGACTTTTAAGATGATCCTTATGCCTAGATTTAAGACAGTTATGGCGCCTGTATATTTATAGTTGCACAATTTATATTATTTTTGGTATAAAGTGATGGATTTAGTTATAAATATTTTCGAATGAAATGAATATTTATCACAATACAAAACAATCGCCTTGCTTAGTAAACTATTTTGAAGAGTGGACACTGACATATTTTTGTATAAAGTGAATGGCATAAAACTAAACTCACTCACTCACTCCTTTGAGGACTTAATGAGAGTTAAAGAAATGCTGCGTTGAATGGTGTCATGTACACTGACGGTATTGAACGTTGCTCATGACGTCAATCACTTGATTGGTGGTATTTCAGATGTTAGTTTGGATGTCATGTTCTATCATGCCTACCAGGAGTATTTACAATTTTTATGCCGTGATAAAATTTGAAAATATTTAATTCGATAAATTTTGATATGATGAGATTTTTGTATTTCATGTTTTGTATGTTATTTTATGGTATGTTTGTTAAGATATGCTACATGAGTTTTTTATATTTTGTATAAAATATTCAGGTTTCTAACATGCCTCCGTGTCTCATTATGTAAATGACTACCCAGATTCACTGATTTACATGATTGCGTGCTTCCATCAATAGCTTAGTATTGGGAAATCCAAAAATTATGGAAATAGAATTCCCTGAAAATATTTGACGAATCAAAGTTCTTAGAAGCCTAAACATATTATTTAACAAGAAAGAGATTTTTTTGTCAGTAATGATGTGTAAATATAGTGTTAATGAGGCTGACTTGTGTACTTCCACTATAAACTGTTATTTCGAGTCCTATACCGTCAAGAGAGTGACAACTAAAACTGGAATCTTACTACTTTCTTTAAAACGCTGAAAAAGACCACGCAGAAAATCTGTTCATCCTATGAGGCGTTTCACATTGGCTGGTGCAAGGTGTTTGCTAAAAAATGAATACCATCAAAAACAAAGCAGGAGAAAGAATTAACTGTATATACATACTTACAATTTCTGCATAAATATAATTTCAAAACCAACAGCGCCAATTTTGGTAAGTTGAAATCATATTGCCGACCAAATAATGGTGTTAAATATCACTTCCTGCTGTGAATGAACTCATCACAAGGTACGACCTCCAAGATATGACCCATACCATCGAATAAACAGATCGCAATTTCTCTCTAAACAGCAACCCAGATATCACAATCGTAAATCTGTAAGTATTTCTGCCCTTCGTCTGTTATAGATGTGAACAAAACAAGTGACTGCAAGCAACTGCCTTGAAATGTTGATATTTGTATATTTTGTGATCAGATTATGAGTGCATCAAAAATTTAAATGTATCTTTTGTAAAATGGTTTATGAGACCTTTACTTCAGTAACTTCAGCTGTAACTACTTCCTGTTTCACAGACCTTTCAGAGTTGAATTTCTTATTCTGAAATATTTGTCAAATTGACCCTGATTTTTGTTTATGTGAAATTGCTGTTTGGTACATAGACCAAGAATATAAACTGGAATTAACAGTCCCACTCTAAACTTGGTATGAAGATGTAATAATTTTTTTAAATGACAAAGTATGATTGATATCAACATTTGGAGGCGTGTAGCAATTGCCTTATATACATTTAGCATCTTCTCTGCATTAAGGCTGAACATGTAATGGTAGCTTTTGACTCACTCGCTCACTCAATCGCCTCCAAGCGTGTTCACGTAAGTCACATTCGCCATCTTTTCGTCATGTTCAGGTCATTTTTGGGTCATGTTTGGGACAGGTTTCTCGTAAATTCATCGTACACTCTATCAAGGTACTCGCCTTTCTCTGGTACACCAGATTTGCATGAATTTTTGCAAGGTCACTCGAAAGATTTCTGAGTCTTTTTGTCACGTAAAACATCCTCAGTTGTGGGATTGGGTTTGAATTACATGACAATTGTTTTCATGTATGATGTTTGATGGATGAATATTAGCGAAATTGTAGTTGCAACCCAAGACAGGTAACCTGTTACCTGTATTAGGATTGATATATTTTTTATGGACCCATTTTATTTTTATTTCAAATCTATGTCATTTGACATGGAGGCTGCCTACATCGAACAATGTGTTGCAATCAAACTAGGAAGCTGTTACTTGTGTTTGTTTCAGGAGTTCAATCAGGAATCAGAAATATTTTCATACATAATACTCCGTTCAACTTTTGATAGGGATACTGAAAGATAGTGGGGATCTGTTTGTTCTGAACGAGTGAGCGGCACATGTGGCTGAGTGCGGTGTAAAACTAAACTCATTCACTCACTCACTCAAAATGAGAAAAGGACTAGATTGACGTGGTTGAACTGTTAGAGGGGGATTATTCATTCTCATAATGGGAAAATCCCTATCAGAAGTTGAATAGTATAGTTTCTACCATAATACATCAAACGTGTGCTGTAGTGAGTTGTGCTTCAAGCTAGGAACAAATCTAGAAACCTGTGCTACTTCTTGCAATAAAACTTCCGAATTACTGTATTTAGCTCACCTGGCTAAAAGCTAAGTGAGCCTATAGCTATGTCCTGGGCCCTGTCCCACAAAGCAGTCGTAGGGCTACGGTAAATGTAACTCCCATGCTTTAACATCGGTTACGATAGTCGTAGCGCTAAGATTGCATTGTAGAATAAGGCCCTGCGTGAGTCTAGCATAAACATCATCTCCACGGAAACACCACCCAATGAAATTCAATTGTTATTATTATATATGACATCAATAAGAGGTTCAGATATGCTTTTCAGTATGGCAGGCCTAAAATGTTTCTGGACATATCTGATCCATTTTGTTCAAAATGAAGTGAAATTTAGTAATCAGAGGGGCTCAACAGATGTATTGTCCAGTTTGGGTGAAGTTTGAAGTTTTCACCTTGATTTGACCTTGACTTTTTCTTTGCAAAACTCTTTATGGCCTGATATTTCCACATGGTAATAAATGTTAAGTATGATATATGTTGCCATAAACGACATGTTAGTACAAAAAACCCTGATCCTTAAAGGATAGCGAGAGTAAGTAACCGATGCAAGTCATGTTTTTCGCTATGCTTGTAGTACATTTTTTAGCATTGTGGTTCAGACAGCTAGGATCACTTTGTGGAAGGAGGCTTTGGTCTGTATAATTCTTTGTTGTAATGAACCCCAATTTGTGGGTTCCAACTGACTAAAAGAGTGCTAGAAATGGAATCTTCACACACATGCTTACACACTCTCTCTCTCTCTCTCTACACACACACACTCACTCTCTCTCTCTCACACACACACTCACTCTCTCTCTCTCACACACTCTTTCACACACTCTCTCCACACCTCACACACTCTCTCTCCCCACACTCACACACCACACTTCTCACTCTCTCTCTCTCTCTCTCTCTCTCTCTCTCTCTCTCTCTCTCTCTCTCTCTCTCTCTCTCTCTCTCTCTCTCTCTCTCTCTCTCTCTCTCTCTCTCTCTCTCTCTCTCTCTCTCTCTCTCTCTCTCTCTTTCATAATCTCTAATCTTGTATATCATTCAGACTGCAATACTCAGTCTTATGGAACCTGTTTTTGTAGATGGCTTGTTTTTAATCCATTAAGTACAAGTTAGTTCTTTTGACAAATACCTTTATTTTGAGGTGAAATTTCTGAATTTGAAACATTTGTTTCATTGTGACAAGCCGTTATATATATTTAATAATATATTCCCGAATTACATGTACATAGTATCTGAGCGGTAGCTTTACACGCCTATTACCTCCCTTGTATATAAGTCACATGTTACGATCCGCAGAAACTAAGCAGTTTCAATAACAAGTCCTTGATTAATTTATCCCAGATAGTAACCATAGTAACTGATCGATCTGGTGTATTATGATTGTTTGATTTTGTTTATCAGGCCAGACCAACAACATTTTTTGTTTAAATATTTCTCTGACCAGCTAAAAACTTGTTGATTATTGGGTGGTTGGTATCTCCATACTAGGCACCAATTCACTACCATAGTTTCGTTTGGAGTATGGTCGGAAGATATTCAAATAATTTACACTTAGTATTGATTGAAGCATGCAGCGAAACCACCAGAACTTGATTTGATTTGCATGTTTTCTCAAATACAACCAGATCGGCTTATTGCACAGAGCTCAGTCCTCTTCCTCAATACTCAAAAATGTTTTTTCTCAAGTAAACTTTATAACATTTTTCTGATGATTAAATGGGGCGGTGGTGTAGCCCAGTGGTTAAAGCGTTGGCTCGTCACGCCAAAGACCCGGGTTCAAATCCCCACATGGGCACAATGTGTGAAGCCCATTTCTGGTGTCCCCTGCCGTGATGTTGCTGGAATATTGCTAAAAGCGGCGTAAAACCAAACTCAGTCAGTCTGATGATTAAATACACTGGGTACACCCTTGAAAAAGCCACTATGTGGACCGTGGATCTGTGCCAAACTTGTGTTCAGATTGGTTGTAGTCTCAGTGTGTCTATTTAAACTTCTATCAACTTGTGTTATTATAATAGGGATGGTGGGGTAGACTAGTGGTTAAAGCACATGGATACAATGTGTGAAGCCCATTTCTGGTGTCCCCTGCCATGATATTGCTGGAAATATTGCTGAAAGGGCATAAAACTAAACTTACTCACTCACTCACTCACTCTTTATGATAACCTAGATGACTGAGGATGAGTTACGTGATAATGATAATGTTTAGCACGCCATTGTCCACCTACTGGTACATGCTGAAGGCGCTACAGAAAATGAGTTAACTAATGGACACTTATGACATAATTTTTTTATGTAATTACAACATAAAAGATAGGTTATAATTACGAGAATGATTCCATAGGTTGTATAGGACACCATGATTAATGCATATTATATTGTGATCACTTTTTACAAGAAATCAGATTGATCTGGCCTGTATAAACCCAATCTAGTTACCTACAAGAATGTGCCAAATATACAGAGCAGTGTTTGTTAGTTCATGTTTGCATTTGCTTGCCATCTTTTTGTCTCAATACACCATCTTGTTATAGCTGTTCTACTGTAACCTAAGAGTTCAGATCCCATATTTGAACTCACATGCATGATCACTGATTGGCTGAGACAAACACCTCAGTTTCAATCAAACAGGAAACAATTTGAGTCATTGACAACTTCCTTCCTTATGAAGCTTATATAGATCTGTTATCTTAGCATAGCGTGATACTAAGATCAATTTGTTGAACAGGCCCTTAATTCAGTTTTCTAATAATAATATACTGAGAGAAAAAAATAAGGGATCACATGAAAGCACAAGTGTTCCAATATTCGTTTCCAGGTTTCTTCACAAGCTGTGCGATACAAAGCTTGTGAAGAAAGATTGGATGAAATATAGAAACACTGGTGCTTTCATGTGATCCCTTATTTTTTGTACCTCGGTATATATGTATAAATATAATAATAAGACCGTTGAAAGTTTTAATTAATGTGTGGAAGATGATTGTCCGTGTCATTTAAAACAGTTTGACTTTGGAGGCTAATTTCAATTTTGATTTGACTATCTTTTCTGGTTGGTGCCTTAAACTGCTTATGAAGGTCACAAGATATTGAGCAAATATTTTGTATTGGATGCATGTTTCCACAGCATGAACGCTATACCATGGAATGGACTATACACATTCCGTATATTTTGTTGTTTTCTGACAAGTATTGTACATATTAATACTGGTTTACCCTTGTATACAACATCTGTTTTGTAAATAAATTTGACATATATTTCCTGTATAAACAGTGTTTCTTCTTGAAATACCATTGTTACCTTGTAAGTGGAGATAACTTGAGGCGGGAAGCGTATTTTTGTTGGGAAACTTCTATCAGTCACATAGTTTATGGTTTGTTAGAGAAAGGCACATGTTGGGTGTGAAAACTGGCCCTTTGTGGTTGAAGGTCAGTTCCTACACTGCTACAATGTGTGAAAACCCATTTCTGGGAAGTCCCTGATGGTGATGTAGCTGGATACTGGTAAATGAGGCGTAAAACCATTTTCACCTATATAAATTGTATCAGGTGCTTTGTACAGTGGTATAAATGAGATTTCACACACATCATGACATGTTCACTGGTTTAGTGAGATTCATACACAATCACCCACATTTTTCCTTACCTGTGGATTGTGCTTATTAACAATGGCCATGTAGATTCCATTCTCATGATGTTTACTGGTATCAAAATCTTTCCTGTGGGTAAATATATGAGTTATCTCCCTTGGTAAGTGTACAAAACATGCAGAAAAGAAGCTTTTGAAATATCATGGGCTTCATTTGACGTACTGCAGCAATAATAGTATGAAGTTATCAGCCAAAATATCAAACATCCCATTCTATATCTTCCATTGAGCCATACATAGCCAGGCTTTCTGATCAAACTCCATTAACATGGCTTTGTGTAGCAAGAGTTGCATCTTGTGCTGTGTCTAACAAAGGCTGTAAACATGCAGATTAACACCACTGAAAATGACTTGGGGACGGTGATGATGAATTTTAAGGGGAGAAGGGTATGAAGAAGAGCATTTTTGTTCTTGGGAGAGGGTTTGTCATAAATTTTGTACACATGGGGGTCTTCAATTTTGTACATGACATGCAGGGGATCTCTTACTTTGTTCATAATTTATTTATTTTTTGAGGGGGGGGAGGGGGCATTCACATTGTACATTCTTCTGAAACATCAAGGCCTTAATTTTTTAATGATCCCTAAGTACCTGAGTCACTGAGGGATTTACAGGGTCGTACCCCATGGGACAGAGGTCAAGGATTGTACACAAATGAGGGGCTCAGGTCTGAGGCACAACTAATTGTGCAGAATTGCTTACCTTCAGGATGCCAGAAACCTAGAAATGTAGGTTCTAATCCCATGTCTCTAGTGTAATGTTATCACTGTTAGTGACAGTCATATCCATCCCTCAGAGTTACTTCCCTTACCTTTTGGCCCAGAAGAGTCCACCAGGGTTATCCATGTAGACAGTAAAATTATTCCCCACATGGGTGCAATGTGTCAAGCACATGGTGTCCCCGCCAAGATTTTGCTGGAATATTGCTAATAGCAGCATAAAGCTAAGCTTCACTCACTCACTCACTACAACTGTCTGTGTTACAGTGAGGCCGCTGTACTTTGCACTCTGGTTGGCAAACTGATGTGTTGACTTCTGCTATTGTTTTCTATCTCTAGTGTGTCTGGCCTGATGGGCATTTCTGACACGCAGATACGCACCACAGCAATGGTGTAGGGTCTTAGAATCATTTACAGACGTATTTATCTGAAGAAAAGTATTGTTTTATTGTTTATTGACCTGTTTACACAAGAGTAGCAATGTTGTGGTGCATATATGAAACGAAACACAAGATTACTGATAGTCCATTAGCTTCCATTCAGTACTCTAAATGTACACTTAAGGTTTTCCAGTACTCAATTTTGAACAAATAAGGAGTACGTACTCCCAGATGTTGAAAAATTATCTGGAGCCCTGGAACTTTTCTATCTCTAGTGTGTCTGGCCTGGAACTAGTATGTACAAGCCATCATGATAGGCATTTCAGACTGTTAAACTAACTTAACTAATTAAATTGAATTTAACACCTACAATCTTATAATTCTTGATTCACCTTTGTAAGTCAACCTGCCACCAGGATAATGTGCAGAATTTCTGCTTTGTTGGTACCAACAATTGGTAACCTAGATTGTGATTGACAGATTAACTTATAGTTATACCATGAATGTTATGGATTAGTCAGAGGTTTAACAGTCTTTTAAACAGCCGAGTTGAAGGAAGTATGACCATGGAAGTAATACTCAGGGAAGTACAAACTGCTGTCAGAAACATTATGATACTGTAGCTTACACATGACAGAGTTGTGGTTACCATGGTTACTGCAATATTCACAGCATGTACAACCTTTTGTTTTTGTCAGAAATCACAATTTGGTTCACAACCTAGTCTGAATAGATTATGTAAATGTTTTGGGAGTGGCCTCGTGCTTAGAGCATTAGCTTGTCAGTCCTATAACTGATTGTTCATGTGGATGAGGTGTGTGAAGATATTACTGGAATATTGCTAAAACAATACTCACTCACTCACACTGTGGTGTACGATTTACAACTTTGTTTTTGAATCTTAAGTAGAAGCACTAGACTAGAATTTTAAATTCAAAAACAAAACTGATCAAAAACGTTGAATGTTATGATTTGGATTTTGAAACCAACTGATGAAAAGTAAGGGGTCTTATGATATTGTTTCTATAATGCATTTGAATTAATTCATTCCAGCCGAACCGGATGAAGGGACGTGAAAACAACGCCATGGACGAGCCTCAGGAGCGTAACCCACATAACTACTACAACAACCGCGGCCAGGCTAACCCTGCCATGGACGACAACCTGGACGACAGCAGAGCCAGCCCGGACGAGCTACTTAATTTTATGACAACAACACCGACACCAGGAGACCACAGGGTTATGGATCAGCCGATAGGAAGTGGCGACAGCAGCAACAACGTCATAAATAAACAACATTAGCGTCTATTCCATGACTTACACAGAGCAGATGATATTCTGAAAACCGTAAAATGGAGAGTATGCAGGGATGTTTAGTTTCTCAATAGAAAAAATTAGATATTTGGGAATTTGCTCTGTGTAAGTTAAGAACGAGGCTTTTCACATTGAAGCGACCATGTGGAAATGTTAATTATAACATTTTGTTCTGATTTGAGGAAATCACATATCAGTCACAAATTATTTACCCAAAACTGGTTCTTTGAATGGAATTAATTAGTCACCAACAAAATCATAAATTAAAAAATCATCCTGGGTTTTGGATGCTGGGTTGAGACAAATTGATCCAAGTCTGTCCATTCGATAAACACCATGTTAAAACTTGTGAATAATAAGTGGTGGAATATATAGGTCAAAGGGCAGCCAACTCTTCCAATACACACAGAAGTATGGGGGACATCAACATGGATGGACAGTTGCTGAAAGGCAGCACAATTTGCAGTGCACAGTTGTCTCCCTTGCATATGCCAGGAACCTACAATGGGTACAGATCTAGTTGACCCCGATTATGGTTCTATGTGTGTCAGCACCATTCCAGGGGGTTTTACCGAAGTGGTGAATGGCTCGGACCTATATCTCGTCAAGTGTTCCTCCATGGTGAGCTGACTTGCTAGAACTGTAACTAGAACGGTTCCAAGTGATGTCAGACCAACACCCACGAAACAGCTCCTTCATTATAGATTCATGATTGCAAGGAATAGGTTCATGATTGTGAGTGAATGTGAGACAGTGTTCTCTTAGCCTAGAGTCATTTTCACTTGTAACTGGTCTGCAAATGCTGTCATATTGAAGATATTGGGTTTTTGTGTGTAAATTTCCTTTTTGTAAATTGGATTGACATGAGGCTGTAAACACATAAGTGATCTTAGTGAAACAAAATCCGTCCCAGTTTCCCGGCTGATCCACAGCAAACATATGAAACTATTTTTGTACTTTAAATGTAGAAATTTGGCTTCTTGCGGTGCAACCGATAAGTTATGCAACATTGGAAGGGCAGCAGTTCTAGAAGACATTTAAGAATCTGCAAGAAATAATACTATGGTTGTTTCTTTTACTGTAATTAAAGATATGATGTGTCAGAGGTTTTATAGATACGGCACAGTTTGTGCTTAAAGCTTTTCAGACCTATCGTAAAAGCAATATTTGTAGTTGTGTTCAGTGTCACAATGTCAGCTAATATTAGAGTCGGCTAGAATGAGCAATTTTAGGCTTTGAACTGGTGGATACATTACATTTGTTTTTAAACAGCAAAGCTGAGAGTTGAGTTGCCTTGCCCAACATGTTTGGAATCTTATCAACTTGATCCAGGAGGACGGTCTAAGAATGACTAAATTAATTTGAATTATAAAAGGATACCTGAAAATTAATATGTTAGAGTTTAAAGTCAGGTAAAATGGGTGGCTCCCAAATGGTTTCCTTGGCTATATATTTATTTTCATAACAATAAGATATATAAGTTCGAGGCATTATTTTTATGTTGTATATAATCTCTGGGGGTCCCATTGTCCCGATTCGTACATTGTGAATAGTGATCAAGTGGCCTTGATCCGCATTCCCTCAGTCTGGAGTTTCATCCAAGTGTCCCAGTTTGTGGGCCGTTGGTCCAGATTGGTGATCCCTCAACATGGATTGTTGTTCCAGAGATCCAATGGTCCGGATTAGCAGGTCATCAGATCAAGGTTAAGGTTGTAAATTGTTGAAAAATCTAAAATCCTCAAATATCATTTGTCAATAATCGTGCTATTCATATACAAGTGTGCTTCTTCATATTAAATAATCACACAAGTTGATATCTTATGTTGCTTACAAATTTAGAATTTAAATTTATTTTTTTTCCATTTTATTTTCCACCTAACTGTAAATACATATATAAGTAAATAAGAGTGATGACATGCCAGTGTTGTGAGACTAGCAAGTGTATTAGGAGACCTTAGGCATGGGCATATTTCTGTCTTCAACATGCTCACTTCATTCCTCCTTGGCTGTTGAAATGGTTTTAGGGGTTTAGTTATGGTAAATTATTTTTGTAATTTTCAAGTTTTTGTACTCAGAAATTACAGCAAATATCTCTGCATCTAAAATGCAGTTGTTATGTGAGAAAAGTGTTTTTAGATTTTTTCTGCTCAACTTCTTGACTGCATAAGTTTTTGGTGTTTTTTTAAAATTACAATAAGCTTCCTAAATAAATGTTGCTACAACTTGAAAAACCTTGATTCATCACAATCATCAACTGTTGTGTTGCTAGACCTGTGACTAGTTGTATGTCTAATAGTTTCACAGATATGATTCACAGGGAATCTGGTTGTGGTGCACTTAGAAAAAATGTCCACATAAGCAAATTTCCAGATTAACAACTCAGTGACAAGTAGTAATGTCACTGTCCATCTCTCTAAATGTAGTCAACATTTCTGGACAAAGAGTGTCCAGATTAACGAGGTGTCTCTCTATTGGATAGTGGTGACAGTGAACATGTTGGAGATAGAAAGGCATCCTGTAACAGTTAAGGAACAATAGTGCTGAAAATTGCCCAGTAAATTACTTACCAAATTTGTTGACAACTCTGAAACATATACAAGTGCTTTTCTTCAGTTTCTACAAGTTGTAATTTTCTGATGTGGTTAGTCAGTGAAGGGCTGAACAGTTTCAAGACTTCTCATAATTGTTCTGGATTTCGAGATGTTGTGTTTCTCCCTTTCCATAAATATCAAGTGAATTGTGGATTAGATGGTTCCTAGGAACCAACGCTGCCCTGAGGCACCTAAAGGATCAGGCGGTCTGGTTCTGTGACTGTAATCCATGTCAGCATCCCTCGCAGGCGATCCCTACCATATACGGAATATTACGGAGTGCAGCATTTCTTGAAATTGGTTGAATTCTTCGCTCAGCAATGTAAAAAATGAATTGTATATTTGATATAAATCCTTGGAAATGAATTGTATATAGTTGTTGTGTGTGTCTGGAGAATTGTCTGATTGATTCATTAATTCATTGATTCACTCATTCTGTTTCGGAATGTTATTTTGCCTGTGTACCAAATATTTAGACATCTATATTACATATATCACATTGTATATAATCATTTTTGTATGTCCTTTATATTTTTACCATGCTGTTTGATGTTATCATGAAAATATCGTGTTAATATTTACGTTTTCATCTTATGCAATATGAAGATTTTTTTTTGTGATTTGTATTTCCACATTATTTCCTTTGAGGTCTGAACACATTCCATTCTTGTTACCATAGTTACATTTCTTTATTGGTTTGATTTTAGCATGTTAACAGTTAAGAACAAAGGGTTGCTAACTTTGACAGTAATATTTCTTTCAAACTCAATAGGCAGTGAATATCCAGATTTTGAAGGACTCGATTATTGTAAATACTTGACCCCATCTGGGAAATGTTTATAAATTATCTGAATGACAAAGTTCATTAATATTCAGAAACATTGATTTTCATATATTTTTGTTACAAAAAAATACCAAGTAAATTTTGAATTTCTTTTTGAACTTCTTCGCTATTAAAATCATGTTTGCTTAATGATTCATTGTTATAAACTTGTGTTAAAAGGATGGTTATTTAAGAACATGTACTGACAGTAGCAAGGTATGACTAGTTATCGTAATGTAGAGATGCTAGTGTGCTTGTGTTTATACAGTAATTTGCCAATATTTCCCTCGGACCTCAATCTCCAGTATGTCTGACTCCCTGGTAACTCTGACCAAGAAGTAGTATGAGCTCATGTTACCATGGTAACTCTGACCAAGAAGTAGTATGAGCTCATGTTTCCATGGTAACTCTGTGACCCAGAGGTAGTATGAGCTCATGTTTCCATGGTAACTCTGTGACCCAGAGGTAGTATGAGCTCATGTTTCCATGGTAACTCTGTGACCCAGAGGTAGTATGAGCTCATGTTTCCATGGTAACTATGTGACCAAGAGGTAGTATGAGCTCATGTTTCCATGGTAACTCTGTGACCCAGAGGTAGTATGAGCTCATGTTTCCATGGTAACTCTGTGACCCAGAGGTAGTATGAGCTCATGTTTCCATGGTAACTATGTGACCAAGAGGTAGTATGAGCTCATGTTTCCATGGTAACTCTGTGACCCAGAGGTAGTATGAGCTCATGTTTCCATGGTAACTCTGTGACCAAGAGGTAGTATGAGCTCATGTTTCCATGGTAATTCTGTGACCAAGAGGTAGTATGAGCTCATGTTACCATTGTAACTCTGTGACCAAGAGGTAGTATGAGCTCATGTTTCCATGGTAACTTTGTGACCAAGAGGTAGTATGAGCTCATGTTTCCATGGTAACTCTGTGCCCAAGAGGTAGTATGACTTCATGTTTCCATGGTTGTGAAGGAAGGAACAATAAAGTCAGAAGGAACATGTTCTTTGATTAATGATAGATATGTCTGGATAAATGAAGTTCGTCTCAAAGAGATAGTTTTGTTAGCGATAACAATGTGACTTGAAGTGTTATATTTTCTGAATTTTCATTTATGTTGTAATATCTGTAATTGATTATATATAAAATGAAATTTACCAGATGTATCCCTGTTATAAATTGCTTGAAATGTCAGAATTAACTCAGTCAGAATTAGCCAATCAATATTGATGGTTCTTATTTCTAAACTAAGTGTAGACAAGCATATCTGTATTTTTTGAAAATGATAATTAAGGAAATCCAGCTTGGAAAATTACTTATAATACATGAACATTTGTGCTCCAAACCCTTGTAAAAAAAGCATGATAAACGCTTTTCTATATCCACTCATTGCTTGCTCATTAGTTTTAGACCAAGCATGGGAAAGGTATCGTAGCAAGCGATAGTTAAATAAAATAGGAGTATTCCAATGATTTCCTAGATTCATCACAACATATTATAGTTTTGGAAAGCCTGATGCCATGACTGACACAAACTCACGCACACCGACGATGGTAGTTTTCCTCATTTCTGACTATTTCCCTTGGTCACAATGAAAAAAAAGGAAAATAACAACCAGCAGATCATCAGAATGTTTCGGACTACTTACATGTCACATTTATGCATGTACGTTGCTTGAAACAACGAAAGTGTCCTTAAAAAAATCCGACGTATTCGTGTCAGTGAACACGCCATTTTGAGTAAGTCGCTTCTCGATAGTGATGTCGTGCGTACGTCAACATTGTTATACATATTTGGTATTTTCATTGAGGGAAATACACGAGATCAATCTGTCCTGCTGCTTACATTTTCAGTTCTTATGCTTCTTTCGTATTTTCACCAAAAAAATTCACGTGATTAATTTCAGTATTATTATTTTTTTATTTGGGACTAGACAGGAGACCAGTCTAAAATCAAGTGGCACCAATTACGTCATAATCTGATGGTACCCATGATGGCATACCATTTCAGCACTTATTTTCAGGGTTATACTTTCATTGTAATAAAAATGACTGTATTTTCAAACATTGATATTAAATAATTAAAATAATTCACTTTGTTTCACATTAGAATAAATGTGATTTTTGTGTGTACACTTCCCCTTTAAATGAAATACTGTTTAAAGCTGTGTTGGAACTGGAAAGGTATTACTGAGTTATGTCCCTTGTGTGTTGTTGATTCAGTCCCAGATTTGCCCCGGTCATGTTTCCAGATTTGTCAACTCCATTTCTGAGCTAAAAGTAGCTAATGTCATGGTGTGTCAGCTCACAGCAAATCCCAGACATCTAGAACACTTTAGGAAAATGTATTTTGACATCTTCTACACAAACTGGTGATAAGGTTACTTCCATGGTTTGTGATAGTTACCATGGTTACAGGATTCAAACAGATGTTGGTTGTTGAAATCATTTTTGTACATTATGAAGAAATTGTAGAAATTAACATGATTTTCATATTTAATTATAAATAATATTTTAGCTATAATCAATCAAAATAAAAAAAATAAAAAATATTTTGTTGATTTTTGTTCAAGTACGAGAGAAGAGACAATAAAACTTGACGGTCATTTCATTTCTTCAGACTCCCACATGGAAGAACTCATTCAGTCTCTTTACACAAAGGTCAAATTGCACAACCTTGCTTACATAAATTTTTACTTTTATCAAACAGTTGTGCTCTGAGATGCGATTCAAATGTCATGTCCACATGTCTGTCTTATGGTTTGGTCTGTGTAAGTGTCACTCCCTTACAGAGTAATTTAGTCACGATATCGTCAGTGTGACAAGTTTTGTTAGATGTTTAATGCTGCACTCAGCAATATTCCATCTATATAGCAGCGATCTGTAACCAGACCAGACAATCCAGTGATTGTTTACCATAGACTTACAAATGTTGTAACCGCCTCCGTGGTGTAGTGGTTAGATCGTCCGCCCGGAGAGGGGAAGGTCGCGGGTTAGATCCCCGACCGCGTCATACCAAAAGACGTTAAAATATGGTACTTGTTGGTCCCTGCCTGGCGCTCGGCATTAATGGGTACAACAAGAACTGGTCGGCTCGGAGTCAGTATAATGTGTCTGAGTGGCGTATTCATGCTTCACTGTGGCATGGTATCTCAGTGGGCTAGCACTGTAATACCAGCTTCAGTCTGGGCTAGTACAAGCAGCCGCACATACACATACACACTCAAGCACGATGATAAACCAAGTTCCACCTCACCTCACCTACGAATGTCGTAATGCTACAAACGCTTTGTGGATCAGAACCCAGCTGCCTCTTATGATAAGCATGTGTTGCTGAAGACAATTTCAAACCTGCATCTTTATGGTAGCCATTCAAGGAGGTAGATAACCTGAAGATCTGTGGTGATCACCAACCTGCCGAGTCGTCCTTTATCCACCGAACATCTGTGTATCGAAGAAATAACTCTTCACCTCACAACAAACACTGCCATGTAAAAAATGATAGATTTTTATTCTCACAGTGGTGATTGCTCTTAAAATATATGTCCGATATGTACATCATAACAGTGAAAACTGAAGCAAGGCAAATGTCTACACAAGAAGCAAACAGTACAAACAGCGTTGTGCGTCACATCAACTATACAAACATTGGCCTCTCAGACTACCCTGGTGTGAGACCTGAGTCCCAAACATTAGAAAAAGAATTGGTTGCCATTTTAGAAGCAACCATACTACTTGTGCATTTCGTCTAATGGGACTAGGATTGTCACTTTTGGACTTTTTCCAGTGTTTGTTGTTTAACGCCACACTCAGCAATATTCCAGCTATGTATAATTAAGTCTGGACCACAGAACCAGTGATTGACATAATGAGCATCAAACTATAACATCAATGACATGTTGGTACTGGAACACATTTGTTTAAGGAAATTTCAGTATATTAACCAAATGACTTCTATACTGTTCAACAGTGGCTATTCTGGTACATGCTAATTAGAGTACAAAATTCATCGTTGCAAGTCAGATTAGAATAAATATTTTCGTTCCACAAAGCAATCCTGCTGTTACGGATACCACAACTCTGGTCGATGTAGAGTTATCGTTAAGATCGTTTTGTGGAACAGGCCCAGGTTGAGAATGTTTGATTTTCTTCAGTTCAAACTTAAGCTACCACCAACGATATACAAGCACACACGCACACAAATTGCACAAAAAGCAAATCGCAGACCAAAAGCTGCCTTTGTTGGGCACAGAATTTCCAGTATACTCAACATGGAAACAGACACAAGACAAGGCAGTGAGTGGGTGGGAGTCTTCTTAATTCATATCGGATTCCAAATCAACTGATCTTGGGAAAAACTGAATGAACCTGGGATTTTGGGATTTATTTTTACACTATTAATGTAAATCCTCTTTCCCTATATTGGTCCTGTGACGGAGAAATCAGATTCCTATTACAAGGTCTTAACATTAGTCATAAATATGGAGATTTGAGTGAGTGAACTTTTATGCCACTTTTAGTAATATTCCAGCAATATCATGGCGGGGGATACCAGAAATGGGCTTCACACATTGTACCCATGTTGGGAATCCGCGTGACGAGCGAACGCTTTAACCACCGCCTCTGGAGATTGAAACCAAATTTCAGGGAGATTAAGATCCTATATCCCAGATTCACATCACAGTAACGATAATTGTAGAAATAATCATTTCTGCAACATATCTGTATTAATTAACTCTCCACTCCCGGCACTGCCTTGCCTCAAGTCTACTGACTACACACACTACCAAAGCCTCGTACATCACAGGACTGGAATGTTGGAATGAATTAATGGTCGTAGTGAGCACAAAAACACAACTGAGCATAACACAAAAATTACCAGCACTTCCCAAAAAACTACGTATATAGATGACACTATGTTAGTATTGCCTGTACAGAAGGTACTTTTGTCGACAAAAAAATACCCATGTTCAACATCTGTTGAAAATTTCTATTAGAACTTTGCATCAGTGTTGGCTTAGCCACAGCCTTTTCCATTTTATCTTGAAATTTAGGGACTTGCATTAAAATACACTGCCTCCTTTTGAAAAAGCCTATCAAGGTTTCCCATAAATAAGTTTCTGAAGTCATGATATGGTCCCCACATGTACAGTGAACACCTGTTAATCAGGACAACAAAGAAAAAAACTCAAATCTTTTAAATTTCAAAGATTTTTCACTGATTTTTTAGAGTAATGTCACTGTGTGTGCATGGAAGTGCAAAAGCAGTAATCGCCCTGAATGATAAGGTTTTCAGATTATCAAGGTCCTGATTAACAAGGTCCTGTTTAACAAGGTCCAGTTTAACAAGGTTTCACTGCAGTAGTTGGAAGAGAACTCATCTACACCACATAAAGCAAACGGCAATACATATCAAATTTATTAATAAACACAAGAATAATAAAATTAATCACTTCAAATTTAAAGAATGAATAACCAAGTTGTTAATCTCTTGTAAGCAAAGCTAATTAATAATTTTTAGAATTAAGACATAAAACTGATTTATGAATCAGCTCAAACTAATATTGCCCGGAAAACATCCAACAAGCTCAATACTACCGGCAATCTGAAAAAAGTTGGTATTCTTCTCCAAATATACGTAAACAATACAAAGCAAATGAACATTTTAATAATCCTGTCTTTCAACATCAGATGCAAACAAGCTAACAGAGACCATCAAGAAGATCTCATTACAATATTTGTTAACCCATATCACACATATATATATATATATTATCGTGATACTCCCAGTAGTAATAGGTTACAACAATATTTACATAACAGACAGGAAGTTCTCCAACGTATTGTTCACCAATTTGTTCAAAAAGAAAACTTTCAAACTTGTAACATCCTCAAACATTTTTGGCAAATTTCAAAATTCTTTCACAGACCCGACGATAATATGACAGTTTACTGGACGACTGCAGATGAAATCTGTACATCTGATTGACAATCCTTTCAGCTTGTCTTCGTATCACTGTGGTCTCCTAAATTTGCAGACCTCAGATCTATGGTACAAATCAAATCTGTGACAGTTTGTCTAATTAGTGGTAGGAAAGTATAATCCCCTTGTCTTGACAGATTAATTTCTGCTAAAATGGAGTTCAAAAGGAAGTCCACCAATCAGTTGTTTTCTTGCTTTTGTGTCTCGGTCCCTGTTTCTTTACTTTTTCAGTGTTTCAACCAATAGATTTCACTATACATCCTTTACACCTCACCCTTATCCTTTACACCTCACCGCTTCACCCTTTACAGCTCACCCCTTCACCCTTTACAGCTCACCCCTTCACCCTTTACAGCTCACCCCTTCACAGCTCACCTGTTTCTCTTTTACAGATCCCCCTTACATGTCTCAGCCTTGAAACTCAGCATAACTCTCCCTTTACGTATCACTGCTTCCACCTTATCCTTTACAGCTCACCCCTTCACTCTTTAAATGTCTCACACTTCAACCTCTGCATAACTCACCCTTCACATCCAGCTCCTTCAACCCAATCCTTTTCAACTCCTCTTCTCATATTTCATCATTTACTTCTTTAAATATTGTTTAATTAATAGATTGGAACGCCTGTATCTACACAAAACTGTATGACTATCACCATGTGACATGAAGACTTATCACAGATCCAAAACATACCACAGATCTGAAAATCTAGCAAAGACAATCGTCTTGTCTCTACCTGCTGTCTCGGCATGACGACTGTCATATTTTCAATAAGAGAGACATTTAACAGATCCACTGATCTTACAAATAATTCAATAATTATCAAACGATACTGTTTTCAAAAACCCATGAATAATTCAACCAATTGTACCACCTGCTACAAAGTTCCAAATTGTCCAGTTTATTTACAGCTAAAAAAGGCCAAACTCTGACAACACCATTGGACCACCTCATATACAACTGAAGGTCTTATATACATACATCATAAACGTTGTACCGTATTCAACATATCAAGCACTCGGATGCAATTAACATATTACATTTCTTAAGACAAATCTCGTGTCCTTGATGCAGGCAGGACACAGACTGTATTTCATCGTGAATACTTCTGAGGTTCGTATGGACTGTTCCTCCATCACACATGACTGACTGACTGACTGAGTTTGGTTTTACGCCGCTTTTAGCAATATTCCAGCAACATCACGGCAGGGGACACCAGAAATGGGCTTCACACATTGTACCCAAGTGGGGAATTGAACCCCGGGTCTTCGGCGTGACGAGCCAACGCTTTGCCCACTAGGCTACCCTACCGCCCCCCATGAACACATGAACACACACAGCTGCTATAAACCCAACCTTGCTTTGTTCGAGTAAGCGAGTGAGTAGTGTTTTACGCCGCCATTAAAAATATTCCAGCAATATCAGGGCAGGGGACACCAGAATTTGGCTCAACACATTATACCGAATCGAATCAAATCCGAGTCTTCGGCGTGACAAGGGAACGTTTTAACCAATTCGGTACCCGCCGCCACTCGACTACAAAGAGCCTGTAAGTGTCCATGAGTGATAGAGGAAGGGATATATCAATGTATTACACACTATTGTAACATGTCAAAGAACGCCCACAAATGGAATGCTTATCTGCAATACCCACCAAAGCATAGTTCACGATCGTCTTTACAAACATCGAGTGCTTCGTAACATGTTTCCAGTTGTAAATACAAACATATGCAGTTCTGACTCCATTACTGATTTCCATCATATTGAAGTCTTCAAAAGCAAAGCAAGCACCTGTCGAACCGGAATTCTAAAGCCAACCCTTTGAAAACTTCCCTGTCCTGAGTGCTTCATACATTGAACACAATGATAATGTTTCTATATCTCAAAACATCAACAACATCAAAAGTGGAGAGCCAAATTCAAAATATACAAACTATTTAAATTACAGAGAAATCTTTGAAATTGCTTATACAAAATGATAAATTTGAAAATCAAACTTATTCGGGACGGTTTGTTTTCAATGGCCTTTCAAGGAGACAACATCAACAGATAAGTTTGTGCTGAGAATAAAAAGTGAAATCTATATTTCCTGAATATATTCACGTCTACATAAAGGTTCCGTCTTCCATATTTACACATATGTATACACATATATATAGGGTATAATATTTCAATAGTATCTACAAATACTTTCACAATCCTTTCCAAACAGTACATAGTTACTCTAAATTATACATGTGAACTCTCCTTGCTTGTAAATGACAGCAAACAATTTATCATTCACTACGTTTGATCAGAATTATCAGGTATTCTGTTTCAAAATACTCCAAAAATGAGCTTCACACAATGTATTAACACTTTAACCACTGCCCTACATAGGAGATGGTTACTTTTGACAGATATCCGATATCTCGATCCACAAAGCGTTCGTAACGTTACGACCTGTCGTAACTTTATAGCTAATCATCAACTGACGAATGTCATAGCTCTACAAACGCTTAGTGGATCGGGAGCCTGTATTCCGATCAGAAGTTGAGCAGTATTTGAGGAGGAATAATTTAGAGTAAGTATGGCAGATTCATCAATGGCGTACAACCAACACTTGCACACGTCCCCACCACCATGTCCAGTACCACAGATCCTCTTGTACGTCGACAAGTATTGTATCAACAACCCATCCCATGTCCTCAAAAAATATGTGTCATTATCTGATGCCACCCGTCTGGAGCACGGCAACAACCACCAGCTTTTCTATCATCAAAAATACAAGGGGCGTTCATTCTGTCGACCACAAGCTTGTTCCTTCTTTTGGGTAATGGACTCACCCATCACATTCCCCTTCTGCATAATGGACTCTTCCATCTCATTTCCATCACAAGCTCCCTTCTTTTGCACAATGGACTCAACCATCACGTTCCCCTTCTATTGTATAATGGACCCATCCATCTATCTCCATCAGCAAACTCGCTTCATCTACACTCGACTCCCCTGTCAATTCCTTTATAGTTTCCTTCTAATGAAAAATAGACTCTCCCATTTCACAAACTCCAACCCTCCCCACCTTTTCCATTGAACTCTTCTTTTCATCATCAGTTCCCCCTCTCTCTGTACAGAGGACTCTCCCATCTCCGTGTTGATTCCGACAATCACTCAATCCAACAAGCACACCACCACTAGGTAGTAGCCGTCTTTGAATAAGCCCACACTTGTGAACAAGCCCACCTCCTCTACACATTCAACAACTAATGCACACCTTGCCACACGCTGACAGCAAAAAATAACGCATCACTGACTTCAAGGACAATTTGTAAAAACGGTAACCTTGATTTTCTCCAAATTTTTCTACATTCTTTAAGAGTGTGAATTTTCACAATAAGGAAATATAAACATCTTTAAAAGATATATTCCCTAGTCAAGAAGAAATGGAAATGAATATTATTTTTATATTTTCTTAACCCTTATCTCAACTATCATGAATGAGGGGGACAATGATTCGCCCGTGAGCCAAGCGCTTTAACCATTAGGCTACCCCACCACCCCCTATGAATGAGGACAATGATGCGTTACTTAAAGTGGTCAGTATACTGATCACATGAATTCCCCCTGTTTCACAGAGCATAAAGAACAGTTCTCAAATCCGAGGTGAGGTGTGTTCACCCAGTCTCACCCAGCAACAGCAAACAGCAATAACTAACAGTGTTCACAACTCGGCTATTTCAAGGAGCCAAGCGGCTCAGCCAAAACGACTCTCTGGAGCCATTACCAATACTGGGGAGCTGATACAACACATGATTTCTATCAAATATTTCCAGACAATTACACTTTGAAACATAACACCAATGTCACTAAGTTGTCATATTCCAATGTTTCTGAGTATTGTTACCATGGTAACATGACATTTTACGATTAATATGTTGGTAAAACAGTTTCTGTATCTGTGGCAACAACATATAATATTGATCCAAATATATCAGTCTAACCCAATTCCAGTATTGGCAAAAAGTATACCATCCATCAATTTGGAAAGATATGGCTTCTCTATTTATATTCAATAAGATTACACTCCTTGGTGCTCTCTACACCATTATGTATCTTTCTTGTATCATGGGTTTGGACATAAAAATTGATAATTTAAAAAAAGAATGTTTTTGAAACATTTTGCACCTTCATATTGAGTTTGTTCTCAAGCTGTCTGAGTATAAACACAAACACACAAGCAATATGACCTTCAACTTGGCAACATACCGGTTTCAAGGTCATTGGCATCAATGAACATGATGGACAAGTGGTTATTTGTCAGACTGGACATTCCAAGTAGACATTAGACACACAGAGATTACCAACCTTCAACAAGACACATAGTTATAAACCTATATTAGACACAAAACACATCTAAAATACATAATCACAGGTCGAGATTCTGTTTATGGGACATATCAAACTCTCCATACAAAATATTCCTCAATACGATGAGTACTACAATTCCACGTTCTTCCTAAATTCTGCAAATTCTATTTCTTGCAAAGAACTGATTCAGATCAAATACACTTTTCTTAAATATTTTTTCATATGAACTGAAAAAAGATCAATGAAAAGTTTGAGATAGTCCCTAAAATACATATATAAAATACAAATGGCCAACTCTGTTTCATAAATATGACAAGTTTTTTAGCACTATGATATATATAATACATAAATGGCGAACCGTGTTGCTATCAATGTTAGACTCCTACCATCAATAATTGTGTTAGAGGCTATTTGTCTGAACAAAAGTCGATTCAAGAAAGGAAGCAACATAATTGTGGCATAAAGATGTCTGAAGTTATACCGCAAGCACAAAAAATCTTTGTTCTGTGGATATTAAGAAAAAAATCATAGTATTAATAAACTCACACAAATAAACATACAAAATGCATATTTTTATCAACTCATGCTGGTATTTGATGGAAAATCGGACTATTTTGTTCGAGGTCACCATAACTGCTGGTATAAAGGTTAAAACTGGTTATTTCAAGAAACAAAAAGCACTGATAAATCGACAGGGAAAATGTAATAATAACAATAAAAAAAGATTCCAAACAAAAATAAAGATCCACACTTCCTAATAACTATGTGAAAAAGAAATTCAGAAAGTTTTAAAAATGCAAAAACACATTACCGAATGAATGAAAATAATGAAACAAATTTAAACGATTCCCATCTTGATCAGATCTGTCCTTCCTCAGCACAAGCTTTCAAAACTACTTCTGATTTTATCAGCAGTGACTGAATTTTAACACATTTACAAAAAAATCAACATTCATTATAAGGATCTAATCTATAATCAACTACCACTGTCAAGAGGCAAAATTAATCAAAATTATACACAGTGTATCAACAATTATGATATAAGTTGAAACTTAGTGAGTGAGTTGGGTTTTACACCGCTTTTAGCAATATTCCAGCAATATCATGGTGGGGGACACCAGACATGGGCTTCAAGCCGAAACGTAGAAATCCTCAGTTCAAGGGGAAATAATTTGAGCACTAAATCCTGACAGTATTTTCAACAAAACATGGCTTTTTGGTCACACCAACTCGTGATATTTGTCAACTTGTCCAAGTGCCACATCAATCTACTGTAAACAAGGCAATTGCAAAACATTTCTAGACAGCACCAGAAAGACTGAAAGACAATAAGTAGATCGTAAACAAGTAATGAAAACATGGTGCACTGTACACAACTGATATGGATAGGTATGTCCTCCTCCGACGACATTTTCATACTTTACACACAAAAATAAAGAAAAACAAACAAACAAATAACCACTAGCTAAGACAATAATTTACGCACCATTTTTCTAAATTCCATGTTCTACTGATCAATGGACTGGTAATTTGAACAAAGTTTAATAAACAAAAAAGTTCCTCTTCTTACTACTAATACTGACAGCTAATTTCAGCTATAAATGTGAAGGTCATTGTGAAAGAGAGGTAACTCTTTCATATCTCATCATAAAACCTATTTTCTTCTATTTTGTGTATTCCAAATCAGATTATTATCGAGGGATGACTTTGCAAAAACATTCTGCAAAAAATATCTGTACAATAAGAGAAGGTTACAACAAAGGTAAACAAAACTTAAACAAGTCAGTAATTTAGGAAACAGAGTCACACTATCTGTTATCGAGGCATTAAGTTATATACATGGGTAATGCAACAATGGTATGTAGATCAACATTTTGACATTGTTTGGAACAGTCACAAGAGAATTTACCTACAACTTACAGTAGGTTATATCTTTAAATATACATAGCAGGCATAAAAAAAAAGTCTGGCTGTCATTTCTTGGTTGACAAATCATTAGTTTCAAACTAAACCTGAAATTCATTTGTTAAAATTACACATTCATGTTAGATTAACCCCTGAAAAAAAATGAATTGTTGAAATGAACTTTGCATATGTGACTTGTTACATTAGGACAGCACTCATAACATATATCTCCAGTCTGGACTTTTCTTACTCAAATATATCTCAAACAGCTACACAGAAAAGTCTTTTCACGATGATCTTGTTAGTGTTGAGATTATTTAACAAACTCAACTTTCACCTCTGGTTAATCATGTGAAAAACAAAGAAATGGATATCTGATTAATAAGGTGTGAGGCGTTTGCTTTTAGACATAACTGATGCCACATTCAGGTCAATCAGAGTTATTTTTCACATAAATAAAACAGGAATTCAACATGGTGATGTCATGAATCAGCCCGGCCTGCATATGGCTGCATGGATCATGGAGATGTTACGCAATGACGAGTGGAACATCGTCCGAGAATCCCTGGATCATAGGAGTGTCTTCATCATCACCTGAAAATGAGAAAAAAGAGTGAATGAGCTGGGCAAGGGATTGGACTGACTGACTGACTGAGTTTGGTTTTACACCGCTTTTAGCAATATTCCAGCAACATCATGGCAGGGACACCAGAAATGGGCTTCACAACTTGTCCAAGTGCCACATCAATCTACTGTAAACAAGGCAATTGCAAAACATTTCTAGACAGCACCAGAAAGACTGAAAGACAATAAGTAGATCGTGAAACAAGTAATGAAAACATGGTGCACTGTACACAACTGATATGGATAGGTATGTCCTCCTCCTCCGACATTTTCATACTTTACACACAAAATAAAGAAAAACAAACAAACAAATAACCACTAGCTAAGACAATAATTTACGCACCATTTTTCTAAATTCCATGTTCTACTGATCAATGGACTGGTAATTTGAACAAAGTTTAATAAACAAAAAGTTCCTTTTCTTACTACTAATACTGACAGCTAATTTCAGCTATAAATGTGATTGAGAAGGTCATTGTGAAAGAGAGGTAACTCTTTCATATCTCATCATAAAACCTATTTTCTTCTATTTTGTGTATTCCAAATCAGATTATTATCGAGGGATGACTTTGCAAAAACATTCTGCAAAAAATATCTGTACAATAAGAGAAGGTTACAACAAAGGTAAACAAAAGTTAAACAAGTCAGTAATTTAGGAAACAGAGTCACACTATCTGCTATCGAGGCATTAAGTTATATACATGGGTAATGCAACAATGGTATGTAGATCAACATTTTGACATTGTTTGGAACAGTCACAAGAGAATTTACCTACAACTTACAGTAGGTTATATCTTTAAATATACATAGCAGGCATAAAAAAAAAGTCTGGCTGTCATTTCTTGGTTGACAAATCATTAGTTTCAAACTAAACCTGAAATTCATTTGTTAAAATTACACATTCATGTTAGATTAACCCCTGAAAAAAAATGAATTGTTGAAATGAACTTTGCATATGTGACTTGTTACATTAGGACAGCACTCATAACATATATCTCCAGTCTGGACTTTTCTTACTCAAATATATCTCAAACAGCTACACAGAAAAGTCTTTTCACGATGATCTTGTTAGTGTTGAGATTATTTAACAAACTCAACTTTCACCTCTGGTTAATCATGTGAAAAACAAAGAAATGGATATCTGATTAATAAGGTGTGAGGCGTTTGCTTTTAGACATAACTGATGCCACATTCAGGTCAATCAGAGTTATTTTTCACATAAATAAAACAGGAATTCAACATGGTGATGTCATGAATCAGCCCGGCCTGCATATGGCTGCATGGATCATGGAGATGTTACGCAATGACGAGTGGAACATCGTCCGAGAATCCCTGGATCATAGGAGTGTCTTCATCATCACCTGAAAATGAGAAAAAAGAGTGAATGAGCTGGGCAAGGGATTGGACTGACTGACTGACTGAGTTTGGTTTTACGCCGCTTTTAGCAATATTCCAGCAACATCACGGCAGGGGACACCAGAAATGGGCTTCACACATTGTGCCCATGTGGGGATTCGAACCCGGGTCTTCGGCCTGATGAGCCAACGCTTTAACCATTAGGCTACCCCACCGCCCCACAAGGGATTGGAGAGAGATGACAAAATGAACCAAGGCACAAGAACCTGAGGCTTTTACAACTAGCAAATCAGAATTGAAACTAGATTGCTGACTGTTACCGAGAATATCTGCTGGCGTGAAAGTCACGTTACCAAGTCATCCTACCGCGTACCCAGTCACTGCTGGGCAAGTGATTGGAGTAACATGACAAAATTATCCAAAGCATACTGGCCTGAGGCTTTTATGACAAGCAAATTTAAACTGAAAATAGATTTCTGATGGTTACCAAGATCATCTGCTGCCGTGAAGGTTGTAGTTCCTGAGCGTGGGTCATAATGGCTGTTTGCGAAGGCGAGGAAGCTGCGTTGTAGTCGTCGATGCCGAACGATGTATACTGTCAGCAGCGTAGCCAGGATGAGGACAATGACACCAATAGGGACGAGGATGGCGACAAGGTTGGTGGTCGTGAGGATTCTAGAGCTCGGCTGGGCGATCGGGGCAGTGACGTTAGAGACTGGAAACAAGCCAACAGTTGTTTATGTTTTGTCAAAGTGATCATCACTATCACAGACATTAGGGCTGGGACCAGGCCAGATTTACTACCCCGGGGGACCAAACTCTCTTCCATGACCCTACCTGGTTACCTGCTGTTAGTCTCAAGAGTCAGGTACAAAATATTGGATTTGGAACTGCTTTACCACAGCCCTGGCAACTATTTTCCACTATAAAACAATCTGATAATGACTGACTGACTGAGTATGGTTTTACGCCGCTTTTAGCAATATTCCAGCAACATCACGGCGGGGGACACCAGAAATGGGCTTCACACATTGTACCCATGTGGGGATTCGAACCCGGGTCTTCGGCGTGACAAGGCAAAGCTTTAACCATCAGACTACCCCACCACCCCATCTGATAATGATGTAATGAGGCAGTGTTATACCTTGTGCAACAGTGTTTCTACTGTTATACACTATACGTGGATTCAGTAGGAGGCAGTGGTGTGTCATATTTAGACTTGCACTACAGGCTTCCACCCACAGAATATCATAGAATGTTCTTGCAACTTATTATTGTGTTTATAAGGCTAGCTATTGTTTATCACCCAGATTACATCTGAAGTTACCAGAAGACCAGCATTGTGTGTGATCATACACCCTGCCTAGGCCTATAGTTACATGTCAGATTACTGTGTCTGAGAGGTGAGGTGAGGTGAAATTGGGTTTAACGCCGTGCTTGAGAATATTTCGCTTCATATGATGATGTGCATGCGTGTGTATGTGTATGTGCGGCTGCTTGTACTAGCCCAGACTGAAGCTGGTTTCATAGTGCTAGCTCACTGAGATACCATGCCGCAGTGAAGCATGAATACCCCACTCAACACATTATACTGACTCCGAGCCTACCAGTCCTTGTTGTACCCATTAATGCCGAGCGCCAGGCAGGGACCAACAAGTACCATATTTTAACGTCTTTTGGTATGACGCGGTCGGGGATCTAACCCGCGACCTTCCGCTCTCCGGGGCGGACGCTCTAACCACTAAACCACTGAGGCGGTCCAGATTACTGTTTCTGAGAGGTGACTACTGCCATCATTGTCTTTATAGCTAAAGCTCCTGGATTATATTGCCACCGTGGCCTTAATATCCCGACATCTCAATGGCCTTGACAACCTAGTAACACATATGTGGCCTTGACAACCTTGTAACATATCCTAAGCAGCAAAAGAAACGTCAGTTTGGAATTTTCCTTTGCAGAAACGGATAACTGTAAACTTATTTAATGTTTTGATGGTATATTTTTGACAAAATCTCCAACTTTACCTGAGCAAAGACATTCCTTCCCAAACTCAGAATGGAACCCAGGAAATGGTGCCAAAAACGCAACCTGATCTCGGAGATGGTACGGTGTTCTCCATGTTTTTCATGCAACTCATGCTGCAGGTACTGTTCACAAGGGTCAGCCCTATAAAATGCACCCCCAAACATGGTTGAAACATTGACATTACAACGTCAGCAGGATGCCGCGACTCACGACAACTCAGAGGAACCAGGCGCTAGGAAGATTTGAAGCTGGCCACACTGCACAAGCCGTTGCCAATCACTTCCATGTCAACGTTCGGACCATCTACAGGCTGCAGCAACGTTTCCGGGCCACCAACACCACAAATGATCGCCCCCGTACTGGCAGACCAAGGGTGACCACAAGACAAGACCGCTATATTGTGCGACAGCATGTACAGAATCCCTTCATGCAGGCATCCGAAACAGCACGCCAGACAGTGGGAACACACAGAAGACCAATCAGTACTGATACAGTACGCCGACGTCTTAACAGCGGGAACCTCCATTGCCGTAGACCTTACCTCGGACCTATCCTCACCCCTCGTCATCGGCGTGAACGTCTACAGTTTGCCTTACAACACCAAAACTGGCGATACAGGCAATGGAGAACTGTTCTGTTCACAGATGAGAGTCGGTACTGCGTATTAACTGCAGATGGCACAACAAGAATATGGCAACGACGTGGCCAGCGTTACTCAGACCAATGTGTTATGGAAAGAGACTCATGGGGAGGTGCAAGCATCATGGTATGGGGTGGAATAGGCCTGAACCAGAAAGTGGGTCATGTGGTGTTCCAGAACCTTGGTCCAGGGAGAGGAGGCGGCATCACAGCGGTGTGCTACATCGACCAAGCTCTCAGACCCCACGTCATACCACATGTCGCCTGAACAACATTTTCCAGCATGATAATGCCCGGGCCCATACTGCCAGAGCTACACGGGACTTCCTACAGCAGAACGGTGTCAACATTATGCAGGGGCCAGCCCTTAGTTCTGATTTAAACCCAGTTGAACATCTTTGGGATGAAATTCAGAGGAGACTGAATAATGTCATACCAAGGCCAAACACAGCTGATTTATTGCGCCAGGCCTTTCATCATAGTGTGGTTCGAGGTGCCAATGGCCTTCATCAATCGATTGGTGCACTCCTTGCATAGACGCTGTGCTGCAGTTACTGCCGCTCTTGGAGGTCACACTAGATACTGAAGTCAAGGGTCTGAATGGACTGCAAACGTTCGTGTAATGTCTTGGAATTGTGCCGAGTTATTCATCGATGTGTCAAAATATTGTACACCAAAAATGATCCACTTATTATGACCATTTCTGTAATGATCTGATTGCAGTGCCTATCTAATTTTGAATTTGTTCAAGTTTTTTTGGCTGCTGATTATATATGTGGCCTTGACAACCTAGTAACACACGTGGCCTTGACAACCTAGTAACATATATGTGACCTTGACAACCAAGTAACACATTTGTGGCCTTGATAACCAAGTAATATTTCTGTGGTTTTAATAACAGAGTAACATGCAGATCGTTCTGTGAATCCCTGGTAGGTACAAATATGTTCCTCTGACAACATTTGAGAGCCACACATCACATCTGTCTCCTTGACAACTATCAATGACCTCAAAACATTACTGTTGTCTTGACAACCCATGACAGATTGCAAACATACCCACTCCCCGACAATGTCCAACAAAATCACATGTTGTCCAAATAACATTTCACAATATCACAACATATCTGTTACCTTGGCAACATATTATAACCTCACAACACTTCAAGTAACACATCTGTGGCCTTGACAACCAAGTAATACATCTGTGGCCTTGACAACCAAGTAACACAGTTGTGGCTGTTTGCCCTCAAAACCTGTGGCAGCTTCCAAACACACCTAATGCATGACAACACAATCTGTTGCCTTGACAACCTTTAAAGCTTCACAATACACTTATTGCCTTGACAACCTGACAACACAATAGGTTGACAGTTTACCTGGACACAAGACTGAAGCCTTTTCTCCAAGGAAGCCGTTCTTAGTGTTGTACTCCACTGTGAAATTGTAGACGAAGCCCACCTCCAGGGTGAAGCTCAGCTGGGTGGCGCTGGTGTAGTTGGTCATGTGGAAGTCGGTGCCAGTCCCGTCACGTCCACCTGGAACATCGCCTACCAGGCAAACAGGAGAAATGTCAGGCCAAGTTACAGAGATATTTCCTCCCTCCTTTACATGCTTCAGAAGATCTGTTAGAATCGACCTCCCTTTGCAAGTCTTTAGAAGCAACAAATGAGGCAAAAGCAAACTTCTGGTCAAGGTAACCCAGCGATATGATGAGCAAAAAGTGACTTAGTGAGTATGGTTTTATGCTGCTGATGTTACCTTTACAGTATTAACCCCCAGAGGTATAACATCACAGTCTGTCTTCGACACTCAGTGCATCAACTCCAAGTTGGCAAGTCCTTATCTCCATAAGTAGAACACCATAGGCAGGTGAATGAGGTGTGCATAGTTTTACGCCATGTTTATGCATAGTTTTCCATATCATGGTGTGTGTGTGTGTGTGTGCACGCATGTGTTGTTTTTTTTTGTTGTTTTTGTGTGTTTTGCTGGTGGGGGCTGGGGGTGGGGTGGGGCTTGCTTGTTTTGGGGGTTAAGAGAGAGAGAGAGAGAGAGAGAGAGAGAGAGAGAGAGAGAGAGAGAGAGAGAGAGAGAGAGAGAGAGAGAGAGAGAGAGAGAGAGAGAGAGAGAGAGAGAGAGAGAGAGAGAGAGAAGCAAAGAGGGAGAGAGAGAAGGAGGGAGGGAGGGGGAGAAAGGAGAGGAGATGAGGACACCAGAAATGGGCTTCACACATTGCACCCATGTGTGGAATTGAACCCGGGTCTTCGACATGACCAGTGGACACTTTCACCACAAAGCTACCCCACCACCCAGGCAGGTAAACAACAAGTATACCATCTTTTAATGTCTTGTGGTAGGAAGCAGGCAGGAACTGAACCTTCTGCTCTACCGGCTACACCAAGGAGGCAGTAAGACATATACAAATTATGGATACTCACTTGAGAGCTGTTGGTGATTGGTGGTCTGTCCATAGTGGGCGCCCTCCATCTAAACAAGACCTTTCCTTGTCCTAAGTGCACTGCCTCAAGGTTGATGGGTGCCGCATATGCAGCTGTAAGACAAGATCAACAATGTGATAGACATATGTAGACTATATTACCGACACAGGTAGAAACACAGTGCAATAACACTGATAATATCCTGCACATCATGTTGACTATATTACCCACACAGGTACAAAGACTGAGTGTAATAACACTGATAATATCCTGCACATCATGTTGACTATATTACCCACACAGGTACAAAGACTGAGTGTAATAACACTGATAATATCCTGCACATCATGTTGACTATATTACCCACACAGGTACAAAGACTGAGTGTAATAACACTGATAATATCCTGCACATCATGTTGACTATATTACCCACACAGGTACAAAGACTGAGAGTAATAACACTGATAATATCCTGCACATCATGTTGACTATATTACCCACACAGGTACAAAGACTGAGTGTAATAACACTGATAATATCCTGCACATCATGTTGACTATATTACCCACACAGGTACAAAGACTGAGTGTAATAACACTGATAATATCCTGCACATCATGTTGACTATATTACCCACACAGGTACAAAGACTGAGTGTAATAACACTGATAATATCCTGCACATCATGTTGACTATATTACCCACACAGGTACAAAGACTGAGTGTAATAACACTGATAATATCCTGCACATCATGTTGACTATATTACCCACTGAGTGTAATAACAGGTACAAAGACTGAGTGTAATAACACTGATAATATCCTGCACATCATGTTGACTATATTACCCACACAGGTACAAAGACTGAGTGTAATAACACTGATAATATCCTGCACATCATGTGGACTATATTACCCACACAGGTACAAAGACTGAGTGTAATAACACTGATAATATCCTGCACATCATGTTGACTATATTACCCACACAGGTACAAAGACTGAGTGTAATAACACTGATAATATCCTGCACATCATGTTGACTATATTACCCACACAGGTACAAAGACTGAGTGTAATAACACTGATAATATCCTGCACATCATGTTGACTATATTACCCACACAGGTACAAAGACTGAGTGTAATAACACTGATAATATCCTGCACATCATGTTGACTATATTACCCACACAGGTACAAAGACTGAGTGTAATAACACTGATAATATCCTGCACATCATGTTGACTATATTACCCACACAGGTACAAAGACTGAGAGTAATAACACTGATAATATCCTGCACATCATGTTGACTATATTACCCACACAGGTACAAAGACTGAGTGTAATAACACTGATAATATCCTGCACATCATGTTGACTATATTACCCACACAGGTACAAAGACTGAGTGTAATAACACTGATAATATACTGCATGTTAACTGGACTATATTACCCACACAGGTACAAAGACTGAGAGTAATAACACTGATAATATCCTGCACATCATGTTGACTATATTACCTACAACAGGTACAAAGACTGAGTGTAATAACACTGATAATATCCTGCACATCATGTTGACTATATTACCCACACATTTGTGATATTGATAACCAAGTAATATTTCTGTGGTTTTAATAACACTGATAATATCCTGCACATCATGTTGTAACATGCAGATCTTCTGTGTAATAACACTGTAATATCCTGTACAAATATGTAATTATATTACTGACAGGTACATGACTGACAGCCACACATCACATATCCTGTCTTGACTATATTACAACTATCAAAGACTGAGTGTAATAACACTGATAATATCCTGCACATCATGTTGACTATATTACCCACACAGGTACAAAGACTGAGTGTAATAACACTGATAATATCCTGCACATCATGTTGACTATATTACCCACACAATATCACACATATCTAATACCTTGGCAACACTGATAATATCTTACAACACTTCAAAGTAACATATCTGTATCCTGCACATCATGACAACTGAGTAATACATGAGTGTAATAACACTGATAATATCCTGCACATCATGTGGCTGACTATATTACCCACACAGCTTACAAAGACTGAGTGTAATAACACTGATAATATCCTGCACATCATGTTGACTATATTACCCACACAGGTACAAAGACTGAGAGTAATAACACTGATAATATCCTGCACATCATGTTGACTATATTACCCACACAGGTACAAAGACTGAGTGTAATAACACTGATAATATCCTGCACATCATGTTGACTATATTACCCACACAGGTACAAAGACTGAGTGTAATAACACTGATAATATCCTGCACATCATGTTGACTATATTACCCACACAGGTACAAAGACTGAGTGTAATAACACTGATAATATCCTGCACATCATGTTGACTATATTACCCACACAGGTACAAAGACTGAGTGTAATAACACTGATAATATCCTGCACACATCATGCACTATCATGTTGACTATATTACCCACACAGGTACAAAGACTGAGTGTAATAACACTGATAATATCCTGCACATCATGTTATATTACTATATTACCCACACATGGACTATATTACACACAGGTAAAAGACTGAGTGTAATAACACTGATAATATCCTGCACATCATGTTGACTATATTACCCACACAGGTACAAAGACTGAGTGTAATAACACTGATAATATCCTGCACATCATGTTGACTATATTACCCACACAGGTACAAAGACTGAGTGTAATAACACTGATAATATCCTGCACATCATGTTGACTATATTACCCACACACAAGGAGAAAGACTGAGTGTAATAACACTGATAATATCCTGCACATCATGTTGACTATATTACCCACACAGGTACAAAGACTGAGTGTAATAACACTGATAATATCCTGCACATCATGTTGACTATATTACCCACACAGGTACAAAGACTGAGTGTAATAACACTGATAATATCCTGCACATCATGTTGACTATATTACCCACACAGGTACAAAGACTGAGTGTAATAACACTGATAATATCCTGCACATCATGTTGACTATATTACCCACACAGGTACAAAGACTGAGTGTAATAACACTGATAATATCCTGCACATCATGTTGACTATATTACCCACACAGGTACAAAGACTGAGTGTAATAACACTGATAATATCCTGCACATCATGTTGACTATATTACCCACACAGGTACAAAGACTGAGTGTAATAACACTGATAATATCCTGCACATCATGTAATGACTATATTACCCACACAGGTACAAAGACTGAGTGTAATAACACTGATAATATCCTGCACATCATGTTGACTATATTACCCACACAGGTACAAAGACTGAGTGTAATAACACTGATAATATCCTGCACATCATGTTGACTATATTACCCACACAGGTACAAAGACTGAGTGTAATAACACTGATAATATCCTGCACATCATGTTGACTATATTACCCACACAGGTACAAAGACTGAGTGTAATAACACTGATAATATCCTGCACATCATGTTGACTATATTACCCACACAGGTACAAAGACTGAGTGTAATAACACTGATAATATCCTGCACATCATGTTGACTATATTACCCACACAGGTACAAAGACTGAGTGTAATAACACTGATAATATCCTGCACATCATGTTGACTATATTACCCACACAGGTACAAAGACTGAGTGTAATAACACTGATAATATCCTGCACATCATGTTGACTATATTACCCACACAGGTACAAAGACTGAGTGTAATAACACTGATAATATCCTGCACATCATGTTGACTATATTACCCACACAGGTACAAAGACTGAGTGTAATAACACTGATAATATCCTGCACATCATGTTGACTATATTACCACACACAGGTACAAAGACTGAGTGTAATAACACTGATAATATCCTGCACATCATGTTGACTATATTACCCACACAGGTACAAAGACTGAGTGTAATAACACTGATAATATCCTGCACATCATGTTGACTATATTACCCACACAGGTACAAAGACTGAGTGTAATAACACTGATAATATCCTGCACATCATGTAGACTATATTACCCACACAAGGAGACACACACAAAGACTGAGTGTAATAACACTGATAATATCCTGCACATCATGTAGACTATATTACCCACACAAGGAGACACACACAAAGACTGAGTGCACTGGTAATAACACTGATAATATCCTGCACATCATGTAGACTATATTACCCACACAAGGAGTACACACAAAGACTGAGTGTAATAACACTTCAGTAAGACAAAATAATAACTTTAATAACAGCTGCAGTACACATTTTAACAACGTGTGGATTAGAACCCAAATCTTCAGTTAACGAGCAAGCACTTTTTCCTCTAGGCTACCACAATGCCCCTGAAGTGTTCCAGACCTTTAGTTTTTCAGTTGTTTTGTTAAAAAAAATTAATGCTGGACACAGCAATATTCCAGCTATATGGTGGCTGTTAGTACAGTGAGTGAGTGAGTGAGGGAGTGAGTGAGTTGCGTTTTACGCTGCTTTTAGCAATATTCCAGCAATATCAAGGCAGGGACACCAGAAATGGGCTTCACACATTGTACCCATTTGGGGAACTGAACTTGGGCCTTCGGCGTGACGAGCCAACGCTTTAACCACCAGGCAACCCCACTGCCCCCTGTTGGTACAGAAGCATCAACCAGACAATCCTGTGATCAACAGCATAAGCATCGATCTACACAACTGGGCTATGATGACATGTCAGCAAACCTGACCACCCATTAGTCATCTTTTACGACCCAGGGCCCCGTTCCTCAAAGTGATAGACAATCGTAAGTCTATGTTAAAGTATGGGAGTTACAATCATAGTAGCGCTACACTCGTTTTGAGGAACGGGACCCGGGGCCCGTTCCTTAAAGCGATCGTAGCGCTACGACAATTGTAAGTCTATGTTCAAGTATGGGAGTTACGATCATCAAATTTCATGGCCGTTTGTAATTAATCCTGTCTAGGTGGTTGGTTTGTTTGTTTTGGAAGTGGCATAATAATATCTCTCTCCTATCAGTAACCTGGTTGTCAGGTTCTTGTTTAACGCCGCACTCAGCAATATTCCAGCTATATGGCGGTGTACGTCTGTCGAGTCTGGACCAAACAATCCAGTGATCAACAGCACAAGCATCGACCTAGGTAATAGGGATATGATGACATGTCAACCAAGTCAGCATACCTGACCACCCGATCCCGTTAGTCGCCTCTTACAACAAGCATGGGTTACAGACGACCCATTCTAACCCGGATCTTCACGGGTTAATCCTGCCTAGATGAGACAAACGCGTGGTTAATATCAGGAGCAATTTCCAATGTTTTCTTGATTTGATAATGCCATTAGCCAAATCGCTGGTCCGAGCAGTTGCAAATCACAAGCAGAAAGTGGTGGGAAGTAATTTAAACCTTGAAGTGAGTTTGACTTCACACCACTTTTAGCAATATTCCAGCAATATCACGGGGGACACCTGAAATGGGTTTCACACATTGTACCCATGTGGGGTATCAAACCTGGTCTTTAGCGTGATGAGTGAACGCTTTAACCACTAGGCTAACGCAACGCCTCTTAAACCTTGAATTCTCTATCACACAACAAACACTCGACACTGTAGCTATGCCACACGAGTGTGGGTGCTGGACACTTACCAGTGAAACCCCCTCATAGTAACAGGGCGCCTCCCAGGTTATGTTGACGGAGATTTTCCCTTTCTGGTGCACAAAAGTATATCTCAAGTTCTTTGGGGGAGCCTTGGTATCTGTAGGAAAAGGAGGAATTCTTACCTCATGGAAAATACTGAAGAATGGATAAAGCACTCATAGGTTGGATGACGTGTCGAGGGGTAGGATGAAGTGTCAAGGGGTAGGATGAAGTGTCAAGGTGTAGGATGAAGTGTCGAGGGGTTGGATGAAGTGTCGAGGGGTAGGATGAAGTTTCAAGGGGTTGGATGACTGACTGACTGACTGAGTTTGGTTTTACGCCGCTTTTAGCAATATTCCAGCAACATCACGGCAGGGGACACCAGAAATGGGCTTCACACATTGTACCCATGTGGGGAATCGAACCCGGGTCTTCGGCGTGACGAGCCAACGCTTTAACCATTAGGCTACCCCACCGCCCCCAAGAGGTTGGATGAAGTGATGAGGGGTTGGATGAAGTGTCGAGGGGTTGGATGAAGTGTCGAGGGGTTGGATGAAGTGATGAGGGGTTGGATGAAGTGTCAAGGGGTAGGATGAAGTGTCGAGGGTTGGATAAAGTGTCAAGGGGTAGGATGAAGTGTCGAGGGGTAGGATTTAATGTCAAGAGGTTGGATGAAGTGTCAAGGGGTAGGATGAAGTGTCGAGGGGTTGGAAGAAGTGTCAAGGGGTTGGATGAAGTGTCAAGGGGTAGGATGAAGTGTCGAGGGGTAGGATGAAGTGTCAAGGGGTTGGATGAAGTGTCAAGGGGTAGGATGAAGTGTCAAGGGGTAGGATGAAGTGTCACGGGTTTGGATGAAATGTCGAGGGGTAGGATGAAGTATCAAGGGGTAGGATGAAGTATCAAGGGGTTGGATGAAGTGTACGAAGGTTGGATACAGTGTACAGGTGATAGCAGACATACCTGGGTCAGTCTCGATGGAGACAACAGGTCCAAGTGGACACCCTTCCATTGTTCCCACTCTGAAGAAGTACCGTTCACAGGCCTGAAGCCCAGTGATGAAGCTCTCCTGTGTTGGCCTCAGATTCTTCCTCTTCGCATGAAGCAAGAATTCCTCCACATCCAACTCTCGGTGCTCCATGTAATACACGATGTGGGACTAGAAGAGAACACACACGTAACTCTCTGTGCTCCATGTAATACACGATGTGGGACTAGAAGAGAACACACACGTAACTCTCTGTGCTCCATGTAATACATGATGTGGGACTAGAAGAGAACACACACGTAACTCTCTGTGCTCCATGTAATACACACACGATGTGGGACTAGAAGAGAACACACACGAAGAGAACAACTCTCTGTGCTCCATGTAATACACACGATGTGGGACTAGAAGAGAACACACACGTAACTCTCTGTGCTCCATGTAATACACGATGTGGGACTAGAAGAGAACACACACGTAACTCTCTGTGCTCCATGTAATACACGATGTGGGACTAGAAGAGAACACACACGTAACTCTCTGTGCTCCATGTAATACACGATGTGGGACTAAAAGAGAACACACACGTAACTCTCTGTGCTCTATGTAATACACGATGTGGGACTAGAAGAGAACCCACACGTTTGTGACCTCTATTCTTAGTAAGTGAATGAATATAGCTCTACACCATTATTAGCAGTATCCCAGCCATATAATGGGGAACACAGAAATGGGTTTCACATATACTGAGGAAAACAAATAAGGGAACATCACTTCATGGCAGTGTTCCTTTATTTATTCTCAGATATCCTCCCACAGCGCTATTCAAAGCTGGTGGAAAATATTAAAGGAACAGCTGAATTTTCCAGTGTTCCTTCCATTGTTTCTCTCAGTATATTACAACCATGTGGGGAATCAAACCCAGGACTTTGGCATGACAAGCAAATGCTTTAACCACTAGACTGCCCCACCACCCCCTTGTATTACCATCAGAACTCAACCCTCTACAACCATGTTGCCTCACATACAGTTCACCTTTATCAAATATAATCACCTATTTTTCTATTTTCTAAGTTATGAAAAGTCTCTTGTCTAATAACATTTCCTGAAACATATGCACTTACAGACCACCTGATTTTCTTCATGCCTAAAACGGTGTCTAATTATTTCTTTTGAGCAGTACATATTTTGTTTTCCAGAGTGACAAAGTCATAAACAGTCGGTTAGCGGTGGTAGGTTTCACCAACAACAAACAGAAACAGGGCTTGATTTCAGAGAAGTTAACCTACTTGCACCAGGTGCAACCTACGATAAAGACCTAGTTGCACCAGCCAAATTCCAGTTGCAACATAGTGTGTTTAAAACGCCAGAAGTTTCGGTGCACATAACAATATTTCCGTGATGTAGTACCCATGAAACCATAGCAACACAGAGACACAGCTGATATCTGTTTTCAAGAGCTGTCATAGCCGAGACGTGTCTATGAATAGCAATGTTTCGGTGCCATAGCTATTCAAAGTTTAGAAGAAAAATGAGCTGACATATTTATGCTTATATTTAGTTATAATGTTAGATTCATCATTGATTTATTTCTCAAAAACTGACTTGCACCTTGTGCAAGTTAGACTCATAACTAGGTTGCACTTTGTAATACTGGGTTGCACCAGTGCAAGTAACAAAGCACTAAATCGAGCCCTGAGAAGTGAGAGTGATTTTAGTGTTAAGTCGCTGTTAGCAATATTCCAGCAATATCCCAGCAGGGGAACCAGATATGGGCTTCACACATTGTACCCATGGGCGGAATTGAACCCAGGTATTCAGTGTGACAAGCAAACGCTGTAACCACTGGGCTACCCCACCGCCCCACAAATAACACTACAACTTAAGTTATACCAAAGGTTGTCAGTACCCATGAGATCCTGTTTTGATTTGGTCTTCAGCAACCCACGTTTGTTGACTGACTGACTGACTGAGTTTAGTTTTACGCCGCTTTTAGCAATATTCCAGCAATATCACGGCGGGGGACACCAGAAATGGGCTTAACACATTGTGCCCATGTGGGGAATTGAACCCGGGTCCTTCGGCGTGACAAGCCAACGCTTTAACCACTAGGCTACCCCACTGCCCCCACGTTTGTTGAAAGAGGACTGGGTGGTCAGACTCGCTGATTTGGTTGGCACATGTCATCATATTCTAATAGTATAGATCGATGCTCAAGATGTTGATTACTGGATTGCCTGGTCCAGCCTCGATTGTTTATAGACCACCCAAAGTAGCTGGAATATAGCTGACTGCGGCATTAAGGAACCACCACCCACAGCAAACAAAGCCAGGAAACGTGACAGAGTCTTCAGTAAATATTCATCCCAACCCAACTTACATCGGGGCCATTACACTGTCTCCATCCCAACCCCAACACAAAACCAACCGTTCCGAACATAGCCAATACGACGTGAAACGTTTCCTGCTGGACAAGTATACTTTGCAGTATTTCAGCACAAAGTGGGAGAGAGGTAAGTACTAGGACAATAAGCATACGTTATAGGAGACAAGCATGAGCAAATAGAAGCTGTGTTCTCCCCAATGCCAGAACTCTATGGTTTAACTAGTCTGTCCAAAGATTGCTAAACGAGTTATGAGAACCTACTCTCTTTGCTTCATCATTAGGGAACCGAATGTCGACCTGGGTGGCGTCAGACTTAGTGATGTTGACATTCTTGGGTGCCAGGACCTTGTTTCCTGCAACAGAAAGTAATAATGAGATTATCACAGACAGACAGGGCAGTGTATATATACTGAGAGAAACAAATAAAGGATCACAGAAATATTCAAGCGTTCCTTTATTATTTTCAAGTTTTCATCACCACAGAGCTATTCAAAGCTGGTGATGAAAACTGGAAAATATTAAAGTCACGCTTGAATATTTCTGTGATCCTTTATTTCTTTCTCTCAGTATATCATGTTACGTCATACATTGGGAGGGCACATGGGTACTGTGGGCCTACTCTACCCAGTTATGGGGACGTACCTTCAGTGTTCTTGTAGACAACTTGTGATGGCACCCCGGGCCCGGCCTTAAACATTGGCTGCACAATGAAAGAGTAGGCAGTCCCAGGGCAGAGATGTGTGACTGAAAGAAGACCAGTCAAGTCATCAATGTTGAAGTAAGTATGTTTTGTTCAATATTTCAGATATTTCAAGGTGTGTGAGCTCAACGTGGATGGAAAGCACCTCAGACATTTCTCACTTTGGTGACACCAACGGTTCTCCTCTACAGACTTCCCCATCTACAGATTTTTTCAACAAGAGTTGTCTCCCCCCACATTTTACAGTGGTATTCTTCAAACTGAGTTATCTCACCTGAATGAGTTATTCACCCTCTACAGAGTACTAACCTGTTAAATTAACATTTTTAACATGAGTTATTGCTCCTGTTTGAGGTGTACCCTCGACTGAATACTCACGTTATATTGACATTCTTCAGTGTAAGTTATCTCCCCTGGATGAGGCATTTCACCTCTAGTGAGAACTCATATGCTACAGTGGCAATGATCAAAGTGAGTTATCTCCACTGAATGAGATACTTCCCCCTCCACTGACTACTCACATGTTACAGCAGTTTCCAATATGAGTTATCTCCCCTGTATCAGTTATTCCCCCTCCAGTGACAACTCACATGTTACAGCGGTTTCCAACATGAGTTATCTCCCCGTATCAGTTATTGCCAACCCTCCAGTGACAACTCACATGTTACAGTGGTTTCCAACATGAGTTATCTCCCCTGTATCAGTTATTTCCACCCCTCCAGTGACAACTCACATGTTACAGTGGTTTCCAACATGAGTTATCTCCCCTGTATCAGTTATTGCCAACCCTCCAGTGACAGCTCACATGTTACAGCGGGTTCCAACATGAGTTATCTCCCCTGTATCAGTTATTTCCACCCCTCCAGTGACAACTCACATGTTACAGCGGTTTCCAACATAAGTTATCTCCCCTGTATCAGTTATTCCCCCTCCATTGACAACTCGCATGTTGCAGTGGTATTCAACAAGAGTTATCTCCCCTGTATGAGTTATCTCCCCTCCAGTGACAACTCACATGTTGCAGTGGTTTTCAACAAGAGTTATCTCCCCTGTATGAGTTATCTCCCCTCCAGTGACAACTCACATGTTGCAGTGGCATTCTTCACTGTTTTCTTTGTCTCCAAGTCATCATCAAATGAAGACAGCTGGTGCCGCATGGTGGCCACATACGATTCGACGCCTTTGATTGCTGTCCATGACAGAGTTATGCTGGTATTGCTTGACTTGGTCACCTTGACACCTTGCACTGGCTTCCAGTTCTGGTGTTGGAAGGTGATGCTGGTTTTATTGGTGGGGTCGCTTTCTCCTCCATCTGACACAGCAGTCACCTGCATAGACAATTTCACAGAATTTCACTAACCAAACTTTAGAACTTTTAAAGATTCCTCACTCAGTTTCTTACTTATCATCACACTCAGTAATATTTAAGCTGTACAAAAATAATCCAGCATGGACCAAACAATCCAGTGACTGACAATATGATCAGCTGTCTTTGTAGCTAGATACAATTAGGAGATAAACATCATGTGTTGGCCAATTTCCGGGTATTATTGAGTATTTGAAGCACGGGAATTCATTTGGAATTTCAAATGAAACATTCCTGGCCAACACATGATGTTTATCGACATTGTAAACACAAAAGTAAACCATGGGTTTTACTGTCTGCACTCATTGACATTGAGTACGGGTACAGCAGTGAAGTGTCATAAGCTGACTGTTTCCGTTGTCTCCCATAGTAGCATCTCGAACTGCTCATTTGTGACATCATTCCGACTTTACGTCACAATGTGATTTGAATGACGTCACCACTGCTGATGATGCAACAATGAAATTGTGTGCGATATTCGTACGTGTCAAGTCTTGAAGTTTCCGGGAATCAAATACCATTCGATCATGTTTTCCAACCAATCAGATTAAAGAACATGTTGACTTAGATTTACAATGATATGTATCAATCAACCAAGTCAACCAACCTCACCACCCAATCCTCTTTATAGGCCCCTACAAGAAGCATCGATACACGAAGCATGGGATGGTTGGTTGGTTGTTTAACGCCACACTCAGCAATATTACAGCTATATGGTGGGGGTCTGTAAATAATAGAGCTTGGACCAGATAATCCAGAGATCAACATCATGAGCATCGATCTACGCATTTGTGATTCAATGACATGCATCATTCAAGTCAGCGAGCCTGACCATCCAATCCCATAAGTCGCCTCTCACGACAAGCATAGGTTGCTGAAGACCAATTAAAACCTGAATTTCATGGTTCAGAAACATGGGTAGCTGAGGACCAACTATAACCTGAATTTCATGGTTCAGAAGCATGGGTAGCTGAGGACCAATTATAACTTGAATTTCATGGTTCAGAAGCATGGGTAGCTGAGGACCAATTATAACCTGGATTTCATGGTTCAGAAGCATGGGTAGCTGAGGACCAATTATAAACTGAATTCCATGGTTCAGAAGCATGGGTAGCTGAGGACCAATTATAACCTGAATTCCATGGTTCAGAAGCATGGGTAGCTGAGGACCAATTAAAACCGGAATTTCATGGTTCAGAAGCATGGGTAGCTGAGGACCAATTATAAACTGAATTCCATGGTTCAGAAGTATGGGTAGCTGAGGACCAATTATAAACTGAATCTAATGGTTCAGAAGCATGGGTAGCTGAGGACCAATTATAACCTGAATTTCATGGTTCAGAAGCATGGGTAGCTGAGGACCAATTATAACCTGAATTTCATGGTTCAGAAGCATGGGTAGCTGAGGACCAATTATAACCTGAATTTCATGGTTCAGAAGCATGGGTAGCTGAGGACCAATTATAAACTGAATTTCATGGTTCAGAAGCATGGGTAGCTGAGGACCAATTATAACCTGGATTTGGATTATTTACTTCACTGCAGATGCTAACATTTCAATGCTGCTGTTTAAACACCTATTAGTTACTCTTCCTAATCTCTCATGTGCCAAACACTTTCATCCAGCCCAGAAAGGTCCAACCATCAGTAGATAACTTAACAGCAACTGGAACTACAACAACATCAATACAAATTGTCATTCACCTACCCAGATGTGATTGTTCACCACCCCTGGCAATCACTTGTACAAAGCCCTGGCCCCAATTTCTCAAAACAAAGTTAAGTTTTTACTCAAAATTCAAACTCAGTTTGACAATTTGAAACAGCTGAATTTTTAACTCAACTGAATTTTTGCAAAAAAAAGCCCAAACAACTTCAGAAATCTATTTACCAAAATCAAATTGTCTACCAAATTTGAGTTCAATATCGATTCCAGTTCATTCTGGGAAATGCATTTACTTGCGTTTTTTTCAAATTTGAGTAAAAACACAAACTTAAGTCAAAACTCAGACTTAAGTTTGTTTCGAGAAATCGGGCCCTGATTGGTCAACTGTTTGTCAGATTCACCATGCACTGATCATGGTTGTCCTGCACTAAGTCTACAGCTCTATCCACTATCACTCACTCATACCCAGCTCTGATTGGTACACGTGTCAGCCAATCATTAACGCCCAGCTCTGATTGGTAAACATGGCTGTCAATCACTCACAACTAGCTGTGATTGGTCCATCCAGCTGTCAGTGACTCACCCAGATCTTGTAGTGATGGTGTTTCTCCAGCTGGGAGGAGGTGAGGGTGTACGAGTACTGTCTCTTGGTGGTGGAACTCGTTGTGGGAATAATCTCCATCCTGTCACCAGCCTGGGTAGTGTCCTGGTAGTGTAGCTGAGGAACAAAGTTAATATTGCTTCATTTTGTTGGTATACTTGTGGGCGTACATGGGGGTTTGGGTGTGATGTGATACACCTATCCTCTACAGATAGTCAGCTTGTAGGGGTGTGGTTGTGTGAGAAATAGGTCCACCTACCCCGTACTGTTACACAGCCTGTGGACGGAGGTGGGGTGTGTGGTTGTGTGTGATATAGGTCCACCTACCCTTTACTGTTACACAGCCTGTGGACGGAGGTCGGGGTGTGGTTGTGTGATATAGGCCACCTACCCTGTACTGATACACAGCCTGTGGACGGAGGTAGGGGTGTGGTTGTGTGTGATATAGGTCCACCTACCCTGTACTGATACACCGGCCGTGGACGGAGATGGGGGTGTGGTTGTGTGATATAGGTCCACCTACCCTGTACTGATACACAACCTGTGGACGGAGGTGGGGGTGTGGTTGTGTGTGATATAGGTCCACCTACCCTGTACTGATACACAGCCTGTGGACGGAGGTGGGGGTGTGGTTGTGTGTGATATAGGTCCACCTACCCTGTACTGATACACAGCCTGTGGACGGAGGTGGGGGTGTGGTTGTGTGTGATATAGGTCCACCTAACCTGTACTGATACACAGCCTGTGGACGGAGGTGGGGGTGTGGTTGTGTGTGATATAGGTCCACCTACCCTGTACTGATACACAGCCTGTGGACGGAGGTGGGGGTGTGGTTGTGTGTGATATAGGTCCACCTACCCTGTACTGATACACAACCTGTGGACGGAGGTGGGGGTGTGGTTGTGTGTGGTATAGGTCCACCTACCCTGTACTGATACACAGCCTGTGGACGGAGATAGGGGTGTGGTTGTGTGATATAGGTCCACCTACCCTGTACTGATACACAGCCTGTGGACGGAGGTGGGGGTGTGTGATATAGGTCCACCTACCCTGTACTGATACACAGCCTGTGGACGGAGGTGGGGGTGGTGTGGTTGTGTGTGATATAGGTCCACCTACCCTGTACTGATACACAGCCTGTGGACGGAGGTGGGGGTGTGGTTGTGTGTGATATAGATCCACCTACCCTGTACTGATACACAGCCTGTGGACGGAGGTGGGGGTGTGGTTGTGTGTGATATAGGTCCACCTACCCTGTACTGATACACAGCCTGTGGATGAGGAGGTGGGGGTGTGGTTGTGTGTGATATAGGTCCACCTACCCTGTACTGTTACACAGCCTGTGGGCACAGAGGTGGGGAGGTGTGGTTGTGTGTGATATAGGTCCACCTACCCTGTACTGTTACACAGCCTGTGGACGGAGGTGGGGGTGTGGTTGTGTGATATAGGTCCACCTACCCTGTACTGATACACAGCCTGTGGACGGAGGTAGGGGTGTGGTTGTGTGATATAGGTCCACCTACCCTGTACTGTTACACAGCCTGTGGACGGAGATAGGGGTGTGGTTGTGTGATATAGGTCCACCTACCCTGTACTGATACACAGCCTGTGGACCTACCCTGGCCTGGGACCGGAGGTGGGGGGTGTGTGTGATATAGGTCCACCTACCCTGTACTGATACACAGCCTGTGGACGGAAGTTGGGGTGTGGTTGTGTGTGATATAGGTCCACCTACCCTGTACTGATACACAGGCCGTGGGCCGTGGACGGAGATGGGGGTGTGGTTGTGTGTGATATAGGTCCACCTACCCTGTACTGATACACAGCCTGTGGGCGGAGGTGGGATATGTGGTTGTGGTCCACCTACCCTGATACACAGCCTGACTGATACACATACACCCTGTGGGGGGTGTGGTTGTGGTTGTGTGATATAGGTCCACCTTCCCTGTACTGATACACACCCTGGGGATGGAGGTGGAGGTGTGGTTGTGTGTGATATAGGTCCACCTACCCTGTACTGATACACAGCCTGTGGACGGAGGTGGGGAGCCTTCCACTGCATTACCACCTGCAGAGTCTCTCCCTTCCACATGTGACACATGAAATGGGTTGGTACTCCAGGCTCTGAAAACACCAGCGTGCGTGAGTGAGTGAGTGAGTCTGGATACATCCCATGTTTAGCAGTATTTCAATCAGTTTAAGTGAAGCAGGCCCTTGATACTATACAGGTCATAAAAAATTCAATACAGAGCAAACTTTTTGGATAACAACTTCTTTTTTATTCGTGAGTGCGACGTTTCGATACAGATTCTTGTACCGTTGTCAAGCATTAATGGTACATGAAGAAGGGGGAAGTATATATAGTATGACCAGAAATTTTTGAGAATTTTAGGAATGTGTTTAATTGGATTTCTAGTATAAACAACCTTGACCAGCTATGAAGTGCTTGGTTTTATTCAAGAGAAACAACTCCGTTAATCCTTTTTCATTAGTTTGTGAAGAGTTATCCCTCTTTGTTTACTTGCTAGCAGACATTTTCAGTGATCCTCAGTATGGATGATTTAGAGAAGAGGAAGTTGATTTTAGAGTATTATAACATCAGATCAGCTAAAGTGATTTCCATGTTGCAATATAGGAGTTACTTGCTACTGACCATGTCATAAGTCCATGTTGCAGTATTTTAGAGTATTATAACAAGTATAGATTTCAGTTGCAATAGCGCCACGAATCGTCGTAAGTCCATGTTACAGTATAGTCCATGTTGCAGTCCATAGGAGGAGTTAGCTAAAAGTCTATGTTACAGTATAGGAGAAGTTAGCGTAAGTCCATGTTGACTGTCGTACAACTGTCGTAAGTCCATGTTGCAGTTACAGCATGTAGGAGTTAAGCCATGTAACAACTGTGTTAAGCAAAGTCCATGAAAGCAGTATTGTGGCACTACGACTGTCGTAAGTCCATATACTGTAACATGGACCTTAGCGCAAGTCCACTGTCGTGTGGTAGAAGTCCATGTTAACATGGACAGCGCTACGACTGTTGTTACAGTATAGGAGTTAGCTTTGTTAAAGTCCATGTTACAGTATAGGAGTTACCGCAGCATACGACTGTCGTAAGTCCATGTTACAGTAACATGGACCTTAAGCAGTATAGGTCCATGTTACAGTATAGGAGTTACCGCTACGACTGTCGTAAGTCCATGTTACAGTATAGGAGTTAGCGCTAAAGTCCATGTTACAGTATAGGAGTTAGCGCTACATTAACTTTGTTAAATGGGTCCTGGGCCCTGTTCCTGAAAGCGATTGTGGCACTACGACTGTCGTAAGTCTATGTTAAAGTATGGGAGTTACGATCATCTTAGCGCTACAATCCCTTTGAGGAACGGGGCCCTGGATTGTTAATGTCGTAAGAGAGAGTTCAGCTCAACTCCACCTTCAACACTACTCGTTATGTATCATGGCGTATCAGCGTCATGTGACAGAGTGAGTGAGTGAGTTTAGTTTTACGCCGCACTCAGCAATATTCCAGCTATATGGCGGCAGTCTGTAAATAATCAAGTCTTGACCAGACAATCCGGTGATCAACAGCATGAGCATCGATCTGTGCAATTAGGAACTGATGACATGTGTCAACCAAGTCAGCGATCCTGACCACCTGATCCCGTTAGTCGCCTCTTACGACAAACATGGGTTACTGAAGGTTTATTCTAACCCGGACCTTCACAGGTTTAAGAATACAGAAGATACTAAGGACTGAGTGAGTGAGTTAGTGTAGTTTTACGCCGCTTTTAGCAATATTCCAGCAATATCACGGCGGGGGACACCAGAAATGGGCTTAACACATTGTACCCATGTAGGGAATTGAACCTACGTCTTCAGAGTGACAAGTGAACACTTAAACCATTGGGCTATCCCACCTCCCAGATATTAAGGAACATCGAGGAGGTATATAACATCTCTTGAATGCCCATGGCTGAGACAAAGAAAGAACTGCAGAAGTAAATAATATGAATACATTAAAAAGACCTTTTACAAGCAAGCAGTATTTTAAATATCTAACTTAAAACAAGGAAAATGGACCAACCAAAACAAACCAATGCCAACTCTCTTCTAAGTGAGTTATCTCCCCTCCTTGAGTTAATCCCCCTTACTCACTTCCTTCCAGTGTAGTGACAGCGAGAACGTTGGAGTGGCGATGGATCAGTTCACCTTCCTTCTCATACACGGCCACTTTATACGTTGTGACGGGTTGCAGGTGCTTCAGTGTGAACTGTGTCACATCAGTTACTGTTCTGTTGACCCACTTGGTACTGTCCGTGGTGTCACTGCAACCCAAACATTGAGTGAGTGATTGAGTGAGTGATTGAGAGAGTGATTGAATGAGTGAGCGAGCGAGCTCTTCAGCAATATTCTAGCAATATCACATTGGGAACATCAGAAATGGGCTTCACACATTGTACCCATGTTGGGAATCGCACCCAGATCTTCGGTGTGAAAAGCCAAGGCTTTAACCACTAGGCTACCCCACATAATGCACTACCTGAGGAGTGAGGGAGTACAGGTATTACACCACTTTTAGCAATATTCCAGCAATATCACGTTGGGGGACACCAGAAATGGGCTTCACACATTGTACCCATCTGGGGAATTGGAGACGGGTCCTCGGCTTAATGAACAAACAATAAAACCAGAAAAGTGATGATAAACTGGGTCTATGATTGTACTTACAGAGACGTGATGATAAACTGGGTCTATGATTGTACTTACAGAGACGTGATGATAAACTGGGTCTATGATTGTACTTACAGAGACGTGATGATAAACTATGTCTATGACTGTACTTACAGAGATGTGATGATAAACTGGGTCTATGATTGTACTTACAGAGACGTGATGATAAACTGGGTCTATGATTGTACTTACAGATATATAATGATAAACTGGGTCTATGATTGTACTTATAGAGACGTGATGATAAACTGGGTCTATGATTGTACTTACAGAGACGTGATGATAAACTGGGTCTATGATTGTACTTATAGAGACGTGATGATAAACAGGGTCTATGATTGTACTTACAGATATATAATGATAAACTGGGTCTATGATTGTACTTATAGATATGTGATGATAAACTGGGTCTATGATTGTACTTATAGAGACGTGATGATAAACTGGGTCTATGATTGTACTTACAGAGACGTGATGATAAACTGGGTCTATGATTGTACTTACAGAGACGTGATGATAAACAGGGTCTATGATTGTACTTACAGATATATAATGATAAACTGGGTCTATGATTGTACTTATAGATATGTGATGATAAACTGGGTCTATGATTGTACTTATAGATATGTGATGATAAACTGGGTCTATGATTGTACTTATAGATATGTGATGATAAACTGGGTCTATGATTGTACTTACAGAGACGTGATGATAAACTGGGTCTATGATTGTACTTATAGATATGTGATGATAAACTGGGTCTATGATTGTACTTACAGATATATAATGATAAACTGGGTCTATGATTGCACTTATAGATATGTGATGATGAACTGGTTCTATGATTGTCCTTACAGACATGTGATGATGTACTTGGTTCCAGCTTTCACTTTGTCTCTGGAATTCCAGGTGACTGTGATGCTTTCGCTGGAAGCACTGGCTGATACAGATAAACGATTGGCTGCTGTAACAGATAACAGACAGAGACGATTAGTACTGATAAACAGCTGACTCCATATTGATAAAGTGCTGCTATAACTATTGTCATAAATATTGATAAACAGTTGACTTTTTCTAGAGAATTGATATAATTAGTTCTGAAAAACAGCTGACTCCGTATAGATAAAGTGCTGCTATAACCATTGTCACAAATACTGATAAACGATTGGCTGCTGTAACAGATAACAGACAGAGATGATTAGTACTGATAAACAGCTGACTCCATATTGATAAAGTGCTGCTACAACTATTGTCACAAATACTGATAAACAGTTGACTTTTTCTAGATAATTGATATTATTAGTTCTGAAAAACAGCTGACTCCGTATAGATAAAGCATTGTTAAACTTAACTAGTTGCGATAAACAGCCGAATTCTCATAGATAAAGCATTGTTATAACTAGTTCTGATAAACTGCAGACTCCTTATAGATAAAGCCTTGTTATAACTAGTTCTGAAAAACAGGTGACTCGTCATATATAGTGCCAGTTTTAGCTTGAGTAGCCTACCGAGTCAGTATGGTTTTATGCTGCTATTAGCAATATTCCAGCAATATCATGGCGGGGGACACCAGAAATGGGCTTCACATATTGTGCCCATGTGGGAATCAAACCCGGGCCTTTGGCGTGACGAGTGAACGATTTAACTCCTATGCTACCCCACCAACCTAATGAGACACCATGATGCGATTTATGGATACCCCACTCAAAGAATGTATCAATACTTGGTTGACAAGTCCATATTTGTCCCTTAAATGCTGAAAATAAAAGCAACATGTTTTAAAGCCTGTGGTGTGATACAACATGTGTTGTATCCTTGAACGTACCTGCTGTGCACATGGGAAGGTTCTCGTCAGCCCGATCCATGCAGTCGGTCTTTCCATCACACACATACAACCACAGAATGCAGGTTTTCTCCTGGGGACACAGGAAGAACTTCTCGGGATGCTTGCAGGTGCTTGTCGGGGGGAGTGGACTCGCTGGAGGAAACATTGATTGAATAATTGGTTGGGTTTTTTTTAATTGATTGATTCACAATACTTGAGTTGAAGTGGAATTGCTGAGTGTGAGTGAGTGAGTGAGTGAGTGAGTGAGTGAGTGAGTGAGTGAGTGAGTGATTGATTGATTGATTGATGCACAAGTACTTCAGTTTGAGGCGGATTAATCAGGAGTGAGTTTAGTTAAGCCTTAACAGCATTTCAGTGGTATAAGTGACTTGGCCTTTAGTCAATGAGTAAGTGAGGGGGAGAGGGACCACAGTTTGGAACAGTATTTTCACTACAAGATAGCTGGACAGTTTAAAGGGTGGAGGATCCCCAAATAATGAATGTCGCAAACATTTACCACTTTAGTGAAACCAACTAATGACTAATTATGTTACTTAAGACTGATGATAAGACTGAAGCATTGGTTTGAACATATAATCACAGGATTCTGGCATGTCTAAGGGGTGCAACTCTGAATTGCAGTACCGCTGACAAGTACTAGATATTGTACACAGCCAAGAGTGAGTTTAGTTTTATGTTGCACTCAGCAATATTCCAGCTATATGATGGCGGGCTGTAAATCATCCAGTCTGGACCAGACGATCCATTGATTAACAGCATGGGCATCGATCTGCGCAATTGGGAGACAATGACATGTGTCAACAAAGTCCGCGAGCCTGACCACCTGATCCTGTGTGTCGCCTCTTTCGACAGGCATGGGTTGCTGAAGATCAATTCTAACCCAGATCTTCACAGGTCACACAGCCAAGAGTGAGATCGTTTGGTGGAAAAATGATCACAACAGCAAGGAATCAACAGGCACACATGAATCTTTCTGGGCCTCTTAATTATTAGTAAGTTGGGCTTTTAACACAGCTTTCAACAATATTTTAGAGTGTACCATCTCAATGTGGGAGGGAAGCCTGATGTAGTAGTCTATTGTGCATAATGTGAAATCCGTCTTTCTTGGTGTATTGTGAAATCTGTCTTTCTTGGTGTATTGTGAAATCTGTATTTCTGGGTGTATTGTATAATCAGTCTTTCTGGGTGTATTGTGAAATCCGTCTTTCTGGGTGTATTGTGAAATCTGTCTTTCTGGGTGTATTGTGAAATCTGTCTTTCTGGGTGTATTGTGAAATCTGTCTTTCTGGGTGTATTGTGAAATCCATCTTTCTGGGTGTATTGTGAAATCTGTCTTTCTGGGTGTATTGTAAAATCCGTCTTTCTTGGTGTATTGTAAAATCCGTCTTTCTGGGTGCATTGTGAAATCTGTCTTTCTGGGTGTGTGAAATCTGTCTTTCTTGGTGTATTGTGAAATCCGTCTTTCTGGGTGCATTGTGAAATCCGTCTTTCTGGGTGTATTGTGAAATCTGTCTTTCTGGGTGTATTGTGAAATCTGTCTTTCTGGGTGTATTGTGAAAACCGTCTTCCTTGGTGTATTGTGAAATCGGTCTTTCTGGGTGAATTGTGAAATCCGTCTTTCTGGGTGTGTGAAATCTGTCTTTCTTGGTGTATTGTGAAATCTGTCTTTCTTGGTGTATTGTTAAATCTGTATTTCTGGGTGTATTGTATAATCCGTCTTTCTGGGTGTATTGTGAAATCCGTCTTTCTTGGTGTATTGTGAAATCTGTCTTTCTGGGTGCATTGTAAAATCTGTCTTTCTGGGTGTATTGTGAAATCCATCTTTCTGGGTGTATTGTAAAATCTGTCTTTCTGGGTGTATTGTAAAATCCGTCTTTCTTGGTGTATTGTAAAATCTGTCTTTCTGGGTGTATTGTAAAATCCATCTTTCTGGGTGTATTGTGAAATCCGTCTTTCTGGGTGTATTGTGAAATCTGTCTTTCTAGGTGTATTGTAAAGTCTGTCTTTCTGGGTGCATTGTGAAATCTGTCTTTCTGGGTGTATTGTGAAATCTGTCTTTCTGGGTGTATTGTGAAATCTGTCTTTCTGGGTGCATTGTGAAATCTGTCTTTCTTGGTGTACTGTGAAATCTGTCTTTCTGGGTGTATTGTGAAATCTGTCTTTCTGGGTGCATTGTGAAATCCGTCTTTCTGGGTGTATTGTGAAATTTCTGTATTGTGAAATCTGTCTTTCTGGGTGTATTGTGAAATCTGTCTTTCTGGTTGCATTGTGAAATCCGTCTTTCTGGGTGTATTGTGAAATCTGTCTTTCTGGGTGTATTGTGAAATCTGTCTCTCTGGGCATATTGCATGGGTGTGTTGTGAAATCGCATCATCCTTTAGCTCAAAGGAATCTTATCTTTCTAGGCCTCTAGGCAATCTAATTCTTCATGGCCTAACAGAAATCATTAGGTTTGCAGATCAGGTGAAACAAATTACTATTTTCTCTGCCAACACCTGACACAACAAGTAACTAGACTTCTCGTTGTGATGTACTTATGATAAATGTTGGTGAGACGCTCACTTGTTGTGTTGGTATCACAGCCGTTCTCGTCAGAATGATCCGGACAGTCCACTATTCCGTCACACACTTGCCCTTGTGAGACACAGCCATAGGAGTAGGTGCACTTGAACTGATCGGAATCACACACCAACCCGCCTGCAACAATTGAGAGGAAGTGAGTGAGTATAGTTTTACGCCACTCTTAGCACATTCCTGCAATATCATGGTGGGGACACCAGAATGGGCTTCACACATTGTACCGATGTGGGGAATCAAACCGATCTTTCTGTGTGACGAGCGAATGCTTCAACCACTAGGCTACGTCACCGCTCTTCCTCACCGCTCTTCCTCACTGCTCTTCGATAACAGAAATATTCTGGGACATAACTAGCAGGTAACATCAGTGCAGGTGACACATAACGTATACAGGAATTGGGATTGGGTGGGGGTTGGAACCCCTTCATGTATGGAGAATGGAGTGACTGAGTGAGTTTAGTTTTACGCTGCACTCAGCAATATTCCAGCTTTATGACAGCAGTCTGTATATAATAGAGTCTGGACCAGACCATCCAGTGATCAACATCATAAGCATCGATCTACGCAATTGGGATACGATGTGTCAACACGTGTCAACCAAGTCAGCAAGCCTGACCGCCAGATCCCGTTAGTCGCCTCTTATGACAAGCATTGGTTACTGAAGATCAATCCTAACCAGGATCTTCGCTGGTTTCTGTGTGAAACATAGCAATCCATTTCATCTGTACAGCCAACAGTTGTGTGTGCTGCAATGCAGATTGTCTCTTCCCCATGACCACTTGTTGTAACCAGGCTTCGTACAAATTATCAGCTACCAAACATAGGGCCTTTAAAGGGCTTTGAATAGGCAACAATATTAAGGCCCTATAAAAACAAATCTAAATCATAAGCAGTTGAACTAACATGAGGTTGGTTGAATGTGGGACCGACCGTCAGAGGGAAATAACTCGTAGCTACATCATTGTGATGGGCAAGTTTAAGTCGCAATGGTGAGTGAGTGAGTTTAGTTTTACGCCGCACTCAGCAATATTCCAGCTATATGGTGGCGGTCTGTAAAGAGTCTGGACCAGATGATCCAGTGATCAACAGCATGAGCATCGATCTGCGTAATTGGGAACCGATGACATGTGTCAACCAAGTCAGCGGGCCTGACGACCCGATGCCCTTAGTCGCCTCTTACGACAAGCATGGGTTATTGAAGGCCAATATTGAACGCGAATCTTCACGGGTACTTCGCAATGTTGATTAATGAACATTGCAAAGTATTTTTTATGTCTCAGTTTAATATAAAAATATGTAATTTTTTAAGTAAAAATGTAATTTTTAGAGTAAAATTGATATTTTATACTTATCCTGACTCATGCTCTTTTTGCTTGTCTTCTTCTTCTTGCGAACATAGTGGAACACTTGTATCTCCCTAATTGAAGCTCCCTTCAAGGTAAAATCACTAATTAGTACTCAGCACGAGTTACCTCCCTTCCACAAGCTCGGGAACGAGGGCGCCACCTCCACCCATGTGCCTCACTCTCTCCTCATATACTGAGCCCAACATTTGAATTTACAGGGAAATCCAAAGTGTTATGTGGGGAGGATGGGAGGGCTTACCTCATGAGTCAGGATAAGTATAAAATATCAATTTTACTCTAAAAATTACATATTTTTCCTTATCCTGACTCATGCTCTTTTTGCTTGTAGAATCCGACGGAAAGGGAGGTGGGAAATATATAATACTTTGGATTTTAATAATTAGTGATTTGAACTGTGATGATTGTAATAACCCTATGGGAACTTCATAAAGGTACTGAACTGATGAATTCCTGCTGCTAACTTATCAGCTGCCATATAAAGGTTATTACAATGTACTTATTATGATAAAGTATATATAACATTAATACAATGCTGATATGAATAAGCTTTAGCTACATATATAATAGCAAAACTCTGTAGAGTTTGTTAGCTAATATATTTTTACAATATGAGTATAGTACTGTGCTTAAGATATAATTAACTTAAGCTACATATATAATAGCCAAAACTCTGTAGAGTTTATTAGCTTATAGATTAATAATGTAACCATAGTACTAAGCTTAAGATAAGATTAGACTTAAGCTAAATGTATATAGCAAAAAAAACTCCTTAGAGTTTATTAACTAATATACTTTTATGTTATAACCATAGTACTGAGCTTAAGATATAATTAAACTTAAGCTACATATATAATAGCAAAACTCCGTAGAGTTTTGTTAGCTAATACATTTTATAATGTAACCATACTGCTTAAGATATGATGAAACTTAAGCTAATTGTATAATAGCAAAAAACCCTTTAGAGTTTGTTAGCTAAAATACTTATATGATATAAACCTAGTATTGAGTTTATGAAGGAAACCTTAAGCTACATATATAATAGCAAAACTCCGTAGAGTTTGTTAGCTAATATACTTATATGATATAAACATAGTATTGAGCTTTGAAGGAAACTTTTAAGCTACATATATAATAGCAAAAACTCCGTAGAGTTTGTTAGCTAATATACTTATATGATATAAACATAGTATTGAGCTTAAGATTTGAAGGAAACTTAAGCTACATATATAATAGCAAAAACTCCGTAGAGTTTGTTAGCTAATACAAGTTATAATGTAACCATAAAGCTTAAATTATGATGAAACTTAAGCCAAATATATAATAGCCAAAAACTCTTTTAGAGTTTTGATAGCTAAAATACCTATATGATATAAACATAGTACTGCGCTTAAGATATGAATAAGCTTAAGTTACATATATAATAGCAAAAACTCCGTAGAGTTTGTTAGCTAATACATGTTATAATGTAACCATATTGCTTAAGATATGATGAGACTTAAGCCAAATAGCAAAAACTCTTTAGAGTTTGTTAGCTAATATACTTATATGATATAAACATAGTACTGAGCTTAAGATATGAATAAGCTTAAGCTACCTACTAGTATATAATAGCCCAAACTCTGTAGAGTTTGTTAGCTTATATATTTTTACAATCTGAGTATAGTACTATGCTTAAGATATAATTAAGTTAAGGTAAATATATAATAACCAACTCTGTAGAGTTGTTAACTTATATATTGTATGATGTAATAATCATAGTACTGTGATGATAAAAAGACCTTAAGTAAATTATATATAGCATGTAGCTATTTAGTACTGTTATAAGATAAGTAGAAATCTGTAAGATTGACTTATCTTCTCCGAGGAACTGTCAACTGTTGTGCGAGGACCATGGGATCGAATTGGTGGATACCTGAGACGTCCTCGGTGATGATATCTCTCAGATAATGGTTGGCAACCACCATATTGGATCTCCAGAAAATAAAACCCTCCATTATTTCAAATAACATTGTGTAGATCAATGTAGAAGTTAGCGCTCTAATATCATGAGTATTAAAAGCTCATGGAGGGTCGGATTGGGTCCATCCGTCTTGTATGCACGTAGTATGACAGTTCTGATCCAAACGGAGATATAGTACGTGAGATTTCATTCTCGTAAGTTGATGATAGAGGAAATAATCTGTTGTATTATTCCCTTCTGTTTGGTTCGGTGGAGATAAATTTACAGTGCTCTTGCTGGCCATCGTGATAGATAGAATCATCGTATCATGAAGTCCAAGTATGTCATCCAGGCGTGTTCATAAACCTCACTTGTGAGGTGTTGGAGCACTATATTCAGATCCCCAAGTTGGAGGGTGAAACTTCCATTTTAATTCTCCAATCAGAAAGTTTAAGTAGGTTTACTAACCATCTAGTTGTGTTAGTAGCTTGATTATGAAATTCAGCTGTAGTCTGAGGCGCTGTGGATTTAGATCCACTTGTACCCGTCGTCTAAGTTATTAAGCTCTGCTAAGTCCTTGACGATGTAGGTGCACAACCAGGTGTGTCTGTCCTCGTTGAACTTTATGTAAAATTGCCTGACTGCCGTGCCCTCGTCCCTAACTTGACAGGGGAGGTCTCTAACCTGAAGAAAGCAGCCCAATCATGAAGGTTCAGATTAACTGGACTGTAAGGAGGCTTGCTTCGCTCACTGATATATAGTTGTCACTTGTAACGTAAGTCTTGACCTGTGAACTAAGATCGACCTCTCGTGGAGTCGTTGTCCAACGCCGGTCCAATCAGAACAAGGCATTTTGATTCTGTAGAATACCCGCTGTGATGTCACCGGTGTAGCAGGAAAAACCTTGTATAAAATCTTGCGTCGTTGATATTAGCATAATCGTCGGTCTTCACCGTAACTTCGAAGTTACCCGGTGACCACGTGTTTCGAGGGTTAAAGGTAAACGCATCGAAACCTCCGGTAGCGAAATACCTGGCTCTGTAATATTAATGCTGGGTAGGTTATTTTCCTGGCTGTCGTGAAAGTAACTTCAGTTTTGAATATAATTCCGACTTTCTTATATAAAGGTACAATAAACTTGCAAGTTGTCAGCTTGTAGACTGTATACATGAATGTATCGTCATAATTGTAGAATTAAAGCTGAACTTGTTGTACATATTTCTTCTCAGAAACTTTGGCGATTATGAGTTATACTGCTGTAACAAGGCTGCTGTTCAATTTCGATATTGAATTGTCTGCAGATCTGCGTGATGGTCGCGCATGTAGATAATCGTATCGTAGTCGGGATTGCATATTCTAGCAATCTATCACGGAAAGGTTGATTTCTGTGAAGATCTATGCAACGTCGTTGATTAATTAATATAGCGGCGTTCTGTGTTGTAAATAGCCTGTGCAATTGTCTTCGTAGGCTTATAGGCGGCATATGGCATACAGTTGATAGACAACTTATGCGATGTCTTGAACGGACTGACGAGTAGCTATATATGACGAGTGGCTAATATATGGAGACCTTGGAGGAGAATTCCTCGGTGGGCGCCGGAGATTTCGCTAAGCTCTCGAAGTATCAATCTAGATTTCCTGTGTGAGGTAGACTTGGAGCCACTTAGCCTTCGCGACCTTGCGAAGGTATCGAGTCAGAGCCCGATCAGTATATATATAATATATATGGCGCTTGCTTCGCGAATCGACCTCTGTGTTCAACAGGAGTGAGTGAGTGAGTGTATTGTTTTACGCCGCACTCAGCAATATGTGGGGTCGGTGAAGCGCTACTCCTCCGTGACGTCCCTTGTAACTGGTGAGGCTCTAGCTCCTTCGCGGAGGTGGCCTGGGACTTCCTTAGCGAAGTGTCTAGAAACCGATCAATATATGAGCGTTAGCTTCATACAGGGTGTGGTTCTTGCTGGTTCTGCATAAGTAGAGCCGAGTAGATCATCCTATCATCTTCAGAAGTCGTGTCACGAAATCTGGTGATAAGAATCTCATTGATCGTTCTAGATCTATTAATGCCAAGAACATACGCCTCTGGCGTTTGAACTGTTATGGCTTTATGGTAGGCTGTGTCCACATACTGTGGCACCGCAGCAATCAAGTCGATTGGAGGTAAGGTGATGGCGCTCTGCCTCGTCTTCCTTTATCAGGTATGTCTGCGCCGAAGTTGCCACTCTTGGAAGGTGAAGAGATCTCTAGATTGTTTACCATCCAATATCGTGATCTCAGCGTCTGAGAAAATGATGCCTCCATCATTTTCTATCCCAGCATCACTGATGAGAGGTTGATGCTCTCTGATGGTGGACTGTGTATTTCTATCTCTATGTCGGGTGACGCTCGGGGAGACCTGACTGTAGACTTGTGTGCAGACTTGTGTGGTGACCTGTGAGACGATCGGCGTGGTGATGTAATGAGGAGATCGGCGCGTTTAACGGCGCTGAGATCGTGTTGGTGAACTGCGTCTATGGGTTGACCTTCTCGGAGACCTGTGAGGAGAATGTTGATAGCTTCGCGAAGCTCTCGTGTAGTCAGGTGTCCTTCGCTAAGGCCTTCGCGAAGCTTCCTCTGCGTCCGGTCCTGGGGAACGGCGATTTGACCTTCGCGAAGGCTTCCGTGAGGTCTGACGGTCTGAGTCCGCATCTAGGGATGAAGCCGAGGAAGGTGATGATCTATCCCGCTTCGCGAAGGCCTTCGAAGCTGTACATCTGGGTCCTTCGTGGAGGTGGTCTGCGACTTACTTCGCGAAGGTGGCTTCGTCGTGGCTGCTACGCTGATGGGGGTGCCTCTGGGGTGTCGTCTGCGTTGGAACCTTCGCGAAGGCTCGGGCCTTGGGCTGGCTGCTTCCCAGTCTGTAGTGGCCCTCCATCATGATCATGATTTGCCGCAACAGTTCATCTGGGATGGTCTGCGACGAATTAGTCGGTGCCCTCTCTGCGATGTTAGCGGCGGGACCCTCAGGGAAGTCGTCTGACGTCAGTGTAGAGACATCAGGCTGCATGGCGATCTCTGCTGATGTCACTGTAGCTGTCTCCGGTCGCTTCTTGTGGCGTACGTCGGGGATGATGATCAGCTGATCATCGTAGAGGCCCAGTTCAGCGGCTGGAACAATCTCGGTTGAGAAAGTCCTAGTAGACTTCGTTGATTTCCGCTTAGAGGTCGACGCTGCCCTGGGGGTGCGAAGTCTGCATTGAGTGTTGGTAGCGACGGGACCCTTGGTACATCAGGCTGCATGTTGATCTGCGCTGACATCACTGTTGCCGACATCGGTCATTCTTTTGATGTACATCAGGTATGATGATCGGCTGATCATCATACAGGTCCAAATCTGCGACGAGAACAATCTCGGCTGAGAAAGTTCAAGTAGACTTCGTTGATTTCCCCTCAGAGGTCGCGTTGAGATGCAGTAGAAAACCTCTAGTCTTCGGCTGCGACGATGGGATGTCTGGGGAAGCAGGACGCTTCTTTGAGGCGGCGGACTACGTCCCAAGCCTTTCCACCACTCTAGCGGAACACCAGACGGAGCCGGGGTCGACCAACAGCAGTAGACTGGCGAGGGGTTCAGGTGTATCAGTCATGGCTAGACTCTGCATCGCAGCGACCTATCTGCTGCGGCGTCTCAAACGCAAAGTAATTATTTATTAAAGGCAGAAATGGATAAATTAGTACCGCAACTGCAACGTGAATAAAATGAACATGGCGCAGTACAACTAGGGCATATTAAATGCGGATCAGCAGCAGAATAAAAAACGTAATCTGCAACAGAACAGAATTTTTATCAACGTAATCCACTGAAACAAACACGGCGTCCCGTGAATAAACAGTAGAAACATGACTAAATATCAATATATAATTGTTGAAGGATACTAGCTAAACCTCTATAGATGTCTATACGAGGTAACTAACTAAATATAATCAAAGGATATAGTGTGTTGGGAGACACAGGCTCTCACGTCCAGCTCACTGGGCTTAAGAAGGAGAGTGAGGCACATGGGTGGAGGTGGCCCCTGCTCCCGCTGGAAGGGAGGTTACCTCGTGCTGCTGAGTACTAATTAGTGATTTTACATTGAAGGGAACTTCAATTAGCTGAGTACTAGTGTTCCAGTGATTTTACAAGAAGAAGGGAGCTTCAAAGGAAAATTTGAAATTTTATACTTATCCTGACTCATGATCTTTGCTTATCTCCCTTTCCCTTTCAAATGGTAGTGGAACACTTGAATCCCTTGAAGTTCCTGAAGCGGACGTATAAATACTCACCCACGAGTTACCTCCCTTGCCCTTTTCCGCACAAACGTACCATGTGACGTGCCCATACTTGTCACTCTCTCCTTTTCAAGACATAAAGAATTTAGGGCCTTTTTAGAGCAAAAGTTTCACATTTCAAGCTTTTAAACTCCGTGCGAGCCTTGGTAACACATAAATCAAGTTCTGTGTACTCACTGCAGTTGCGTTCATCCTCCCCGCTACTGCAGTCGTTCGTGCCGTCACAAACCCAAGAGTCCCTGATGCACGTGGGTTCTGTGTTTGACGAGTAACACAAGAACTCGGTGGTGCTGCAAGTCGTCTCTGAAACAGGCAGCGTTGACAATGTAAACATAACATTCACTTGCTGTCATGTTGCAAGTGAAGGAGAAAGCCTGGGTCTGACCTAACAAGGTGAGTCGAAAGATCCACTGAATAGAAGCGACGGACAGATTTCATTTTAGATTTTGCACTATAATTACAATCATGGCTGCTGTCACAAAGCTGGCTATTGCCAAGAGCGGTAGAGATGAAATAAGCAATATTTCCTTTCCTAGTAGTCTACCCCCTTCTACTCTGGTAGCCTAAGCCTACCCTCCTACGACTTTGGCAGCCTACCCTTTCTGCCTTTTGAGTCTCTCTCTCCCCCCTCTCCCCCCACACACTTACCCGCTTAGCCTTCCTCCTACTACCCTACCCCTGTTCCCCTAGTAGCCTGTCCCCTATTCCCCTAGTAGCCTATCCCCTAGTAGTATGTCCCTGTCTGTTCCCCTAGTAGCCCCTAGTAGTCCTGTCCCCTAGTAGTATGTCCCCTAGTTCCCCTAGTAGCCTGTCCCCTAGTAGTATGTCCCCTGTTCCACTAGTAGCCTGTCCCCTAGTAGTATGTCCCCTGTCCCCCCTAGTAGCCTATCCCCTAGTAGCCTGTCCCCTAGTAGTATGTCCCCTGTTCCCCTAGTAGCCTGTCCCCTAGTAGTATGTCCCCTGTTCCCCCTAGTAGTATGTCCCCTATTCCCCTAGTAGCCTGTCCCCTAGTAGTATGTCCCCTATTCCCCTAGTAGCCTGTCCCCTAGTAGTATGTCCCCTGTTCCCCTAGTAGCCTGTCCCCTAGTAGTATGTCCCCTATTCCCCTAGTAGCCTATCCCCTAGTAGTATGTCCCCTATTCCCCTAGTAGCCTGTCCCCTAGTAGTATGTCCCTGTTCCCCTAGTAGCCTATCCCCTAGTAGTATGTCCCTATTCCCCCTAGCCTGTCCCCTAGTAGTATGTCCCTGTTCCCCTAGTAGCCTGTCCCCTCCCTAGTAGTCCCCTAGTAGTATGTCCCCTGTTCCCCTAGTAGCCTGTCCCCTAGTAGTATGTCCCCTATTCCCCCTAGTAGTCCTATCCTAGTCCCCCTAGTAGTATGTCCCTATTCCCCTAGTAGCCTGTCCCCTAGTAGTATGTCCCTGTTCCCCTAGTAGCCTATCCCTAGTAGTAGTATGTCCCCTGTTCCCTAGTAGCCTGTTCCCCTGTCCCTAGTAGTATGTCCCTATTTCCCTAGTAGCCCCTATCCCCTAGTATGTCCCCTATTCCCTAGTTCCTGGGGTCCATTTTATGTCCCTTCTGCAGAGCCATCAACACAATTCTGCAGAGCCATCAACACAAGTCTGTAGAGCCAATCAAAACACAACTCTGCAGAGCCAATCAACACAATTCTGCATAGCCATCAACACAAGTCTGTAGAGCTATCAACACAACTTTGTAGAGCCAATCAACACAATTCTGCAGAGCTATCAACACAAGTCTGTAGCGCCAATCAAAACACAACTCTGCAGGGCCGAAATCTAGCAATAACAAGTACATTTTTCCCAAAGAGCCACCAAAGGCACTGATTGTAAACTCCTGGATACAGTCCATGGTCAACTATTACGCCTGTCGCCACTCACCACAATCCACTTCGTCGGAGTTGTCGCCGCAGTCGTTGAAGCCGTCACACCTGGCAGCATGCCAGATACAGAAGCGGTTCTTGCACGTGAACTGCCAGGAATGACATGATGGCGGGGTCGTTGAAGATGTGACAGGGGTCGTAGCAGTTGCTGCAAATAGGACAGGTAGATCAGTGTTCGGAACTATTTGGTACCAGAGGCATGGTACACCTAAAACAAGATTAGTTCTCCAAAGGCATCCTTAGAAATGTTCCTGAAAATGCCAATGAACAATGATTGTTTGTTTTGTTAGTTTGTTGTTTAACACTGCACTCAGAACTATTCAAGCTATATGGAAGCAATCTGTAAATAATCGAGTCAGGACCAGACAATCCAGTGATCAACATCATGAGCATTGATCTATGCAATAAGGATATGATGTAATGCGTCAACCCAGTCAGCTAGCCTGACCATCCGATCCCATTAGCCCCCTATTACAAGCACTAAAGACCAATTCTAACCCAGATCTTCATCGGTACCAGTGAAGAGTGCAAGTTCATCAAACTTGTGTGTGTGTATATGTGTCTGTGTGTGTATAAAACAAGCACCTGTCTCACCTGTACAGTTCTCCTCGTCGCTGCCATCAGGGCAGTCCCTCTCCCCACTGTTTGACAGTATGTGTCTGTGTGTGTATAAAACAAGCACCTGTCTCACCTGTACAGTTCTCCTCGTCGCTGCCATCAGGGCAGTCCCTCTCCCCACTGTTTGACAGTATGTGTCTGTGTGTGTATAAAACAAGCACCTGTCTCACCTGTACAGTGCTCCTCGTCGCTACCATCAGGGCAGTCCCTCTCCCCACTGTTTGACAGTATGTGTCTGTGTGTGTATAAAACAAGCACCTGTCTCACCTGTACAGTTTCTCTCGCCGTTAAGCTGCCATCAGGGCAGTCCCTCTCCCCACTGTTTGACAGTATGTGTCTGTGTGTGTATAAAACAAGCACCTGTCTCACCTGTACAGTTCTCCTCGTCGCTGCCATCAGGGCAGTCCCTCTCCCCACTGTTTGACAGTATGTGTCTGTGTGTGTATAAAACAAGCACCTGTCTCACCTGTACAGTGCTCCTCGTCGCTGCCATCAGGGCAGTCCCTCTCCCCACCAACAGTATTTGACTGTATAAAACAAGCACCTGTCTCACCTGTACAGTGCTCCTAAAATCAGGCACCTGTCTCACCTGTACAGTGCTCCTCTACGCTGCCATCAGGACAGTCCCTCTCCCCATCACAGATCCAGGTGAAGGAGACACACAAGTTGCCTGAGTCACACTTGTGTCGCCAGGGTGGGCAGGTGGTCTGGTTGCAGTTGTGTTCATCGCTGTGGTCCTGGCAGTCAAAGATCCCATTACAGTAAGCCTGAGAGCTGACACACTCGCCAGAACCACACTTCTTCTCCCACGACCTACACGGAGCTGTGAGCAAAGCATGACAATCAGTAGGGTCACAGGACAAGAGTAGTAGTGAGTTTAGTTTTACGCAACACTCAGCAATATTCCAGCTATATGGATGTAGTCTGGTAATAATTGATTCTGGACCAGACAATAGAGTGATCAACAGCACACGAATCGATCTACTCAATTGGGAACCGATGACATGTGCCAACCAAGGCAGAGAGCCTGACCACCCGCTCCCATTAGTTGCGTCTTACCACAAGCATGGGTTACTGAATTCAATTCTAACCCGGATCTTCACGGGTCAACAGGACAAGAGTACGAATATCAAACTTTATCCAGTTGGTCATAGGTCTTGAGATGGTGACATATCAAAACATTTGACAAGTCAATGGAAGATTACCTCTGTGCAACAGTCAATAGAAAATATCTTGTAGCAGCAGACAAGTTTCAACAAAAAACTTCAGTTCAATTTAACAGGGCTGCTAATAAGTTTTTTCAACAGCACAAATTCATTTGTATTTTTATTACTACCTCTCCAAACTGAATAGTCTGTATAGCATAAAACAAATAAATTGGCCTTGACCTCATAGTCATGCATTTTGTATCGTCATCGCTTGAATGTACATAGTGTTACCGACCCATTGTGGTGCAGTTGACCTCGTCTGAGTTATCGTGACAATCATTGTCGTTGTCACACACCCACGTTTTGGGAATGCAGCGGTTGTTTTGACATTGGAACTTGTTGGCGCTGCAGTTGGTGTGATCTGGAACAGTGACAGATGGACATGAAGGGTGACATCCCCCCAATCCACCACCCCCCCCTCTCTCTCTCTCTCTCTCTCTCTCTCTCTCTCTCTTCACTTCAAAAGCCTAAGAGCAAAACCTTGCATTAAAGGCACTATATCAAGCCACACTTCTATATAAACATGAATGCATTTCTCTCAATAATACTAACTATCAGCCCTCAGGAAAGCTACCATATAATTTATTCCACACAAAAAATATGTACAGTGAAATCTGCCAACACCGGCACCTGTCTAATCCGGCACACTGTCAAAACTGGCATAAAATTTTGGTCCCACCATTTTACAACGATATTATGATCATTAAAACATTGTCTTATCCGGCACCTGTCTATTCCGTATTCTGGCACGCCTTTCCGGTCCCAACAAGCAATTTTAACTGTAAGTAACACTGTCTAAACCGGCATGGGTATGAGTGGTCCAATCAAGGACCAGTAATCCAATACACTAATTACCAGTAATCCTCTTGGCACGCTAGATAATCATGAAGTAGTGATTGATCGGTGGGTACATGGGTATGATCAGCCCAATCAAGGTTCCTTATAATACACACCTCTCAGCAAGCTAGACTGAGAGACCGACGAGGGTAAATGGCAGCCATGTTGGAAGATAATCGTTACTGTCTAATCCGGCATCTTGTCTAAACCAGCATTTTATTTCGGTCCCGAGGGGTGCCGGTTTAGGCAGGTTTCACAGTATTTAGATTACATTATTAAATAAAAAAGTTGGAATGAATTAATGCAACATTGCATTAAATCGACGCACGTGCCCTCTATCAGCCGAACAATATTTCAAGTAAACCCCATAGAGTTATGTTCCTTGGAGCGCTCTTTACGAATATCCTACGCACAATTTGTGATTGAAACCAGTTTAACAAACACTGACAACACTACGTGCAACAGTTTTCAATGTAAGGAGCAATTGTTTACACTCCATATATGGCAAGTGTTCTCTGTGTGAAGGCTGTTCACCTCAAAGTTTCAATTATCGATTTTCAGGCAAGTCGTAAGGGACAATAAGTCTTTTATTGCATCAATATGAATCTAAAGTGAGTGCATATGCCCAAATATATATAATATAGGCCAAAATCTGTTGAAAGTGTTTGACACTGTGCCTAATGATTGTAGGAGTTCTATTGCTGAAGTATGTGATTCCAGGTAAAGAACAAAGAGAACTTCAAGAAAGTACATGCTAGTCAAACTTTGTCCAGAGCTCCAGATAAGATTTAGCTAATGTGGGTACTGTACCCACTGTATTTTTTTGGAGTGGGTATTATGAATTTTGAGTGGGTATTTCATTTTCCGTTACCCACTGCTTTCAAATATGTGCGTATTTCACATATTTCACGTATTTCAGTCATTTTACTCACCTAAGTATTATGCCATTGAGTAAGTTTACTAAGCAGGTATGTTCTGCCTTATGTCATACCTAATCAAAACCAACTTAAATATAATGGAAATGATTTCATAAAGAATCACTCATCCTGTACTGACAGTACAACACTAGTCCTATACTAACAGTACAACTTGATAGCAATCGATGTCTTTTTCATTACGCAAGCGATTTTTATAAATATATTCCGTACGCATTTGTTTTAAACGTTTTGCGTATCTGACATTTTAAATGCGTAATTGGTACGCAACAATTATTTTCCAATGCGTAATTGGAAATTTTCTATGCGTATTTTACCCGGATACGCAGCTTATCTGGGCCTCTGTTTGTCATAAGAAAAATGTTTGAACTGGGACCACTTACGACAACTGCGTTCGTCGGAACTGTCCCCACAGTCATTGTCAAAGTCACATCTCCACTTCTCTGGGATACAGCGTCCATTTGTGCACTGGAAACTGTTCTCTGGGCAGGTGGCATAGGCTGGAGAAGAGAGGGAAATGTTTTACACTGCCTTCAGCGAGTCCAGCAGTACCATGGGGCCAACCAGAAACACTCTGCCAAGGGTGTGAACACTTACGACAATGATAGAAATGTAAACACAGAAGCAAACCATCCAATGACAACAAGAGTGAGTGAGTGAGTATGGTTTACGCCGCTTTTAGCAATATTCCAGCAACATCACGGCGGGGGACACCAGAAATGGGCTTCACACATTGTACCCATGTGGGGATTCGAACCCGGGTCTTTGGCATGACGAGCGGACGCTTTAACCACTAGGCTACCCCACTGCCCCCCAATGACAACAAGAAGACAAAGTCATCAATATCCCCCGCAATGGCAAAATACTCTTCATGATTATGTCTAGGAGTTATGATTATGTCAAATATTTAGGTGTGTATATAGAAAAGTGGAAGGAGAGTATTGAAAAGTTTTTAAAGTTCTGCTCCAGAAAGGAGCACTATCACCAATTTCAAAGTCAAACTTGTTGGCATGGAAATGCCAAAAATATTTTATTCAGGATTCCAAAACTACCAAAAGGCACCAGTACACCACCAGACCAATCTATGTGCCAAGTTTGATGAAGAAATAGTGAATGGTTTTAGAGTTCTGCTCCGGAAAAGAGCACAACCACTAATTTCAGTCTAAGTCGAACTTGTTGCCATGGAAACGCCAAAAATATTTTATTCAGAAGTCCAAAACTGCCAAAAGGCACCTTAGAACAACATACCTCAGGTGGAAAGTAACTCAACAATATACCTCAGGTGGAAGGTAACACTTAGGACAATATACCTCAGGTGGAAAGTAACTCAACAATATACCTCAGGTGGAAGGTAACACTTAGGACAATATACCTCAGGTGGAAAGTAACTCAACAATATACCTCAGGTGGAAGGTAACACTTAGGACAATATACCTCAGGTGGAAGGTAACACTTAGGACAACATACCTCAGGTGGAAGGTAACACTTAGGACAACATACCTCAGGTGGAAGGTAACACTTAGGACAACATACCTCAGGTGGAAGGTAACACTTAGGACAATATACCTCAGGTGGAAGGTAACACTTAGGACAATATACCTCAGGTGGAAAGTAACTCAACAATATACCTCAGGTGGAAGGTAACACTTAGGACGATATACCTCAGGTGGAAGGTAACACTTAGGACAATATACCTCAGGTGGAAGGTAACACTTAGGACAATATACCTCAGGTGGAAGGTAACACTTAGGACAACATACCTCAGGTGGAAGGTAACACTTAGGACAATATACCTCAGGTGGAAGGTAACACTTAGGACAACATACCTCAGGTGGAAGGTAACACTTAGGATAATATACCTCAGGTGGAAGGTAACACTTAGGACAATATACCTCAGGTGGAAGGTAACACTTAGGACAATATACCTCAGGTGGAAGGTAACACTTAGGACAATATACCTCAGGTAGAAAGTAATAAAACGATACACCTCAAGAACAAAGTCACATAACAATAAACCTCAGGTAGAAAGCAACAGTTATGACAAGAGAGAAACTAGCCGTAGGACAATTAACCTCAGGTAGAAAACCACCTGAGACAGATATGCAACACTTACGACAATCCACTTCATCGCTCCCATCACTGCAGTCATTGTCGTTATCACACTGCCAGGTGAGGGGTATACATCTGGAGTTTCGGCACTTGAATCTGTCCGCAGCACACGTAGCTGGAAATACAGAGGATCAGTGAATTACAGGTAACTGTTACTGGTACTGCTGTCGATCGCTCTTCCTTGCTGGGTCGACTTTATGACAGCTCTGTTCACAGCTTATCCATTTCTGCCGTTTCAATAGGGGTACGTGTGATTAGATGTCACGTGACCGGAAACTAGCGACATGTGCATGTCAGTATTACGTTTATGTGATTGATATAAACCATTCTTCAATATAAATAATACAGTTATTTTATCATGCCCATATCAGACGTATTTTAGGCTCAAAACTTTTTTGATAGCCCCTCGTACATTCATGTTAGGATTTCTCCTAAGCAATACTTTGGATACAGGAACATCACACTGACAAAGTATGACAAGTCCTTTTACATTTGGGCTTAATGATTAATGTGGACTTCTTTGTTACATACATTTCTACCTGTTTATACGACCGAACCATTGTCAATTGTCCTGGGAATTCTAGAGGTGTAATGATATGATATGCATCCCAATAACAACGATGCGATACAATTTGGATTCTAATGCAGTACTTTTTTTCCATAGGTTTAACTACAATACCCTGGACCATTCACAAGTAAAGTTTTGTTTCGCTAAACAACACAGTGCAAGGGCACTATAGCTCACTGAGAGTGAGATACAGAGTGAAGAGTCCAAAACAAAGAGTGAGCGAGAATGTTTAGTTTTATGCCACATTTAGCAATATTCCAGCTATATGGCAGCAGTCTGTAAATAATCGAGTCTGGACCAGACAACCCAGTGATCAACACCATGAGCATCGATCTACGCAATTCGGATACGATGACATGTGTCAACCAAGTCAGCGATCCCATTAGTCGCCTCTTACTACAAGCATGGGTTACTGAAGGTACATTCTAACCCAGACCTTCACAGGTCCATTCTTGAGTGAATTTAAGGATGAGAAAGGGAGTGAAAGAGTGAGAGAGATAGGTTTAACTTCTCTTTGAGAAGTATTCCAGTTATATCACAAGGTTCCAGCTTCATGTGGGCGAAAAGCATGAAGTGATGCAGGTCAAGGTCAAGGTACTGAGATACAATACTCCGAAAATGTATAATTCCTTCATACAGACAAGAATCAGTGCTCACTGGTTGAGTTGTGGGTGCAGATGCCACCCTGGTTGTCGACCTCGCCTGGCTCACACATGCACTGCTCGTCTCCGCTGGGGCTGAGGGAATGGAACACGCCATCTCCACACTTGCATGTCCGGTTGTGGTGAGACTTGTGGTCAGCTGGAGGGGGGCGGGGCATGCACAGCTGGGTGCAACTGTTTAGTGTGCAGGCGCTGTTGGCTGCAGAAATAGAACCATTCATCAATAAGTTTGTCAAGTCTTCAGTTAGAAGTTTTTTCGCTAGTCGTCTAACACCACACTCAGCTATATTCCAGCTATTTGGCAGGAGATTGAAAATAATTACACATTGACCAGACAATCCAGTGATCAATAGCATGAACTTCAATCTATCCAAATGGGATACGATGACATGTGTCAACCAAGTTAGCGAGTCTGACCACTTGATCCTGACATGCTTCTTACGACAAGCATGGGTTACTGAAGATCAATTCTAACACGATCGTACCTTCAGTAAGAAGTAAACAAAGTTGGTGTCGGTTACAATGTCTTTTCCACGTAACTGTAAACGATGGCAACAACTGAAAGCACAGCCAAAGTTGCTATTGACCTGACAAACACTCTTATCAATGGTACGAACAACTTATTGTCTAAAATGATACAATGAATAGGCTTGTGTCATGTTTTTAAACATCAGATCTGGTCGTCTGTCAGGAAATCACAAAGTTGCCATTGAGCTGTCAAACACTCTTATCAATGGTACGAACAACTTATTGTCTAAAATGATACAATGAGTAGGCTTGTGTCATGTTTTTGAACATCAAATCTGGTCGGCGGTCATGAAATAACAAAGTTGTGTTTAGATAATCGAAACGAGTTGATTTCCCATGATACTGCCACAAAGAATATCACTACACGAACTTAAGGGAGTGAGGGAGTGCAATATTCAAGCTATATGGTGGCGGTCTGTAAATAATCAAGTCTGGACCAGACAAACCAGTGATCTACACGAAATTTAGGAAATATTCACAGGGGAGAAAAGATAAGCACCAATCATTACATGTATCTGTGCAATACAGGCATTTTAATCATATCACATTCTCATTGAAACACACAAAATGATTACCTAACAACATGCTTTATAACTGTTATAAATGGAAATAGTTATCTGATAATGTGACTACTTCCTTTTCAATTTGAGTGAGTTTAGTTTTACGCCACTTTTAGCAATATTTCAGCAATATCATGACAGGGGACACCAGAAATGGGCTTCACACATTGTGCCCATTTGGGGAATAAAACCAGGGTCTTCGGCGTGACGAGCGAATGCTTTAACCACAAGGCCACCCCATCGCCCCTTCAATTTGAGTAAATTTTGTTTTTGACTATGAGATCCGTCCCTCCATCAATCTGCCACCCCTCACCTTGCTGCGATGTGTGTGAAACCACCTTCAGGTCCAGGATGTTGGACGGCAATTGGCTTCTCACCCCCATGATGCCCCAACCATGCTCCTTGTCTGCCGTCAACACTGCATCCTTGGACCAGTCTGCCCAGTAGATGTTGTTCTGGAATAATAGGGAGTTAGACCTTGAAATAGGGAGTTAGACCTTGTAATAGGGAGTTAGACCTAGTAATAGGGAGTTGTTAGACCTTGTAATAGGGAGTTGGGTTAAACCTTGTAATAGGGAGTTAGACCTTGAAATAGGGAGTTAGACCTTGAATAGGGAGTTAGACCTTTAATAGGGGGTTAGACCTTGTAATAGGGAGTTGGGTTAAACCGTGTAATAGGGGGTTAGACCTTGTAATAGGGAGTTAGACCTTGAAATAGGGAGTTGGGTTAAACCGTGTAATAGGGAGTTAGACCTTGAAATAGAGAGTTAGACCTTGTAATAGGGAGTTGCGTTAAACCGTGTAATAGGGAGTTAGACCTTGTAATAGGGAGTTAGACCTTGAAATAGGGAATTAGACCTTGAATAGGGAGTTAGACCTTTAATAGGGAGTTAGACCTTGTAATAGGGAGTTGGGTTGAACCGTGTAATAGGGACTTGGGTTAAACCTTGTAATAGGGAGTTAGACCTTGTAATAGGGAGTTAGACCTTATAATAGGCAGTTAGACCTTGAATAGAGAGTTAGACCTTGTAATAGGGAGTTGGGTTAAACCGTGTAATAGGGAGTTGGGCTAAACCTTGTAATAGGGAGTTAGACCTTGTAATAGGGAGTTAGGTTAAACCACGTAATAAGGAGTTGGGTTAAACCTTGTAATAGGGAGTTAGACCTTGAATAGGGAGTTAGACCTAGTAATAGGGAGTTAGACCTTGTAAAAGGGAGTTAGACTTTGAATAGGGAGTTGTTAGACCTTGTAATAGGGAGTTGTTAGACCTTGTAATAGGGAGTTGTTAGACCTCATAATAGGGAGTTGTTAGACCTTGTAATAGGGAGTTGTTAGACCTTGTAATAGGGAGTTGGATTAGACCTTGTAATAGGGAGTTAGACCTTGTAATAGGGAGTTCTTAGACCGACCTTGTAATAGGGAGTTGTTAGACCTTGTAATAGGGAGTTGTTACACCTTGTAACATGGAGTTGTTAGACCTTGTAATAGGGAGTTGTTAGACCCTGAAATAGGGAGTTGTTAGACCTTGAAATAGGGAGTTAGACCTTGTAATAGAGAGTTGTTAGACCTTGTAATAGGGAGTTGTTAGACCTTGTAATAGGTAGTTAGACCTTGAATAGGGAGTTAGACCTTCTAAGAGGGAGTTAGACCTTGAAACAGTGAGTTGTTAGACCTTGTAATAGGGAGTTGGATTAGACCTTGTAATAGGGAGTTGTTAGACCTTCTAATAGGGAGTTGTTAGACCGACCTTGTAATAGGGAGTTAGACCTTGTAATAGTGAGTTGTTAGACCTTGCAATAGGGAGTTAGAACCTTGTAATAGGGAGTTGTTAGACCTTGTAATATGGAGTTGTTAGACCTCATAATAGGGAGTTGTTAGACCTTGAAATAGGGAGTTGTTAGACCTTGTAATATGGAGTTGTTAGACCTTGAAATAGCGAGTTAGACCTTGTAATAGGGAGTTGTTAGACCTTGTAATAGGGAGTTGTTAGACCTTGAATCTGGAGTTAGACCTTGTAATAGGGAGTTGTTAGACCTTGTAATAGGGAGTTGTTAGACCTTGTAATAGGGAGTTAGACCTTGTAATAGGGAGTTAGACCTTGTAATAGGGAGTTAGACCTAGTAATAGGGAGTTGTTAGACCTTGTAATAGGGAGTTAGACCTTGTAATAGGGAGTTAGACCTTGAATAGGGAGTTGTTAGACCTTGTAATAGGGAGTTGTTAGACCTTGTAATAGGGAGTTGTTAAACCTTGTAATAGTGAGTTAGACCTTGTAATAGGGAGTTGTTAGACCTTGTAATAGGGAGCTGTTAGACCTTGTAATAGGGAGTTGTTAGACCTTGTAATAGGGAGTTGTTAGACCTTGTAATGGCGAGTTGTTAGACCTCGTAATAGAAAGTTGGGTTAGACCTAACAAGAGTCATCAGAAGATGACATATCCCCCGCCCCCATATCTTTGAAAGAACAAATCATCTGACAGTTACTTAAAGTCCAGCTTGATTTTAGACTAAGTGCAAATCGCTTCCATGGAAATCATGAAAAAAATAAATGACAAAAATCTGCAAATAGCAAAAGGCACCACTTTGGGATCTGCCTCACATATCTGCCAAGTTTTGCTGAAAGATATTAAGAAGTTTTCGGGTTGTGTCTCCGAAACAAAACCTACCCCTCCCTTTGAGACTAAGTCCAAATTGTTTTCATGGAAACTGAGAAAATAATAAATCACAAATATCTGCAATAGCAAAGGCACCACTTTGGCATCTGCCTGACATATCTGCCAAGTTTTGCTGAAAGATATTAAGAAGTTTTCCAGTTGTGTTCGAAACGAAACCCATCCCTTCCTTTTTGAGACTAAGTCCGGAATCATTTCCATGGAAACCGAGAAAGTAATAAATCACAAATATCTGCAAATAGCAAAAGGCACCACTTCAAGATCTGCCTCACATATCTGCCAAGTTTTGCTGAAAGATATAGAGAGGTTTTTGAGTTGTGCTCGAAACGGCCCACCCCTCACTTTTGGGATTAAGTCCGAATCGCTTCCATGGAAACCGGAAAAATTAAAATGCCAAAAATCTGTAAATAGCAAAAGGCACAACTTTAGGATCTGTTTGATATATCTACCAAGTTTTGTTGAAAAATATTATAATGGTTTTTGAGTTGTGCCCGAAACGAAAGCAATCCTTACTTTTGAGACTAAGTCCAAAATGTTTCCATGGAAACCGGAAAAATAAAATGACAAAAATCTGCAAATAGCAAAAGGCACCACTTAAGGTTCTGTTTCATACATCTACCAAGTTTTGTTGAAAAATATTGAACGGTTCTTGAGTTATGCTCGAAAACGGCTTCCACCCCTCACTTTTGGGATTAAGTCCGAATCGTTTCCATGGAAACCGGAAAAATAAAAATACCAAAAATCTGCAAATAGCAAAAGGCACCACTTAAGGTTCTGTTTGATATATCTACCAAGTCTTGTTGAAAAATATTGAACGGTTCTTGAGTTATGCTCGAAACGGCTTCTCCACCCTCACTTTTGGGATTAAGTCCGAATCATTTCCATGGAAACCGGAAAAATAAAAATGCCAAAAATCTGTAAATAGCAAAAGGCACAACTTTAGGATCTGTTTGATATATCTACCAAGTTTTGTTGAAAAATATTATAATGGTTTTTGAGTTGTGCTCCGAAACGAAAGCAATCCTTACTTTTGAGACTAAGTCCAAAATGTTTCCATGGAAACCAAGAAAAATAAAATGCCAAAAATCTGCAAATAGCAAAAGGCACCACTTAAGGTTCTGTTTCATACATCTACCAAGTTTTGTTGAAAAATATTGAACGGTTCTTGAGTTATGCTCCGAAACGGCCCACCCCTCACTTTTGGGATTAAGTCCGAATCGCTTCCATGGAAACCGGAAAAATAAAAATACCAAAAATCTGCAAATAGCAAAAGGCACCACTTAAGGTTCTGTTTGATATATCTACCAAGTCTTGTTGAAAAATATTGAACGGTTCTTGAGTTATGCCCGAAACGGCCCACCCCTCACTTTTGGGATTAAGTCCGAATCATTTCCATGGAAACCGGAAAAATAAAATGCCAAAAATCTGTAAATAGCAAAAGGCACAACTTTAGGATCTGTTTGATATATCTACCAAGTTTTGTTGAAAAATATTATAATGGTTTTGAGTTGTGCCCGAAACGAAAGCAATCCTTACTTTTGAGACTAAGTCCAAAATGTTTCCATGGAAACCAAGAAAAATAAAATGCCAAAAATCTGCAAATAGCAAAAGGCACAACTTTAGGATCTGTTTGATATATCTATCCAGTTTTGTTGAAAAATATTGAATGGTTCTTGAGTTATGCTCGAAACGAAAAGCAATCCTTACTTTTGAGACTAAGTCCAAAATGTTTCCATGGAAACCGGAAAATAAAATGACAAAAAATCTGCAAATACCAAAAGGCACCCCTCATGGTTCTGTTTGATATATCTACCAACTTTTGTTGAAAAAATATTGAACGGTTCTTGAGTTATGCTCCGAAACGGAAGCCCACCCTCACTTTTGGGACTAAGTCCGAATTGTTTCCATGGAAACCGGAAAAATAAAAATGCCAAAAATCTGTAAATAGCAAAAGGCACCACTTTAGGATCTGTTTGATATATCTACCAAGTTTTGTTGAAAAATATTGAATGGTTCTTGAGTTATGCTCCGAAACGGCCCACCCTTCTTTAAGACTAAGTCCAAAACGCTTCCATGGAAACCGAAAAATAAAATGACAATTATCTGTAAATAGCAAAAGGCACCACCTTAGGTTATGTTTGACATATCTACCAATTTTGGTTAAAAAATATCAAACGGTCTTTGAGTTATGGTCCGAAACAAAATGATTACGGACGGACGGACGGACGGACGACGGATTTAGACGGATTTAGGCGATGATGACAGTATATCCCACCGCCTGTATTATATGCCGGTGGGATAAGCATGCGGATGTTATGACCCTCAAGGTCGGACACAAACAGTTTGTGGAGGCCGGCATCAGTCCAGAACAGCTGCTCAGAGGGCAAGTCAATGGCCAGGCCATTGGGCCAGCGGACGCTGGAGCCGTTGACGATGGTCTGTACGGAACTGTTTGTGCCATCCATCCAGGCGCGGGCGATCCGGGCATGGTAGTAGGACCAGTCGGTCCAGTACATGTATCTGGAGAGTGAGTGAGTGAGTGAGTTTAGTTTTACGAAGCATTTCAGCAATATTATCACGACAGAGAACACCAGAAATGGGCTTCACACATTATACCTACGTGTGGATCGAACCTGGGCCTTTGGCAACATGAGCAAATGCTTCAACCACTAGGCTACTAGTTTCATGGCTGAAGAAGTAATCATGCTTTCAAAACTAACAATCACAACATGTTCTCATAGGTATTGGTGAGTGAGTGAGTGAGTATGGTTTTACGCCGCTTTTAGCAACATTCCAGCAATATCACAGCGGGACACCAGAAATGGGCTTCACACTTTGTACCCATGTGGGAAATTGAAGCTGGATCTTCAGCATGACACTTTAACCACTAGGCTACCCCACCACCCCACCACCCAATCTGATGAAGTCCAAAACATGACATACCCATGATGAGGGTCAAGGACAAGAGCCCGGGGCCGATCCAATAAATTGGCTCCCTTGTACAGTGTCCGTCTGTAGCGGCCGTTTGTGTGTACCACGGAGATGCTGTGGTTCTGGGAGTCGACCCAGTACAGGGTGTGGGCCGTCCAGTCCAGCGCCAGTGCTTCCACGGTGTACAAGTCTCGCAGCACAACCGGCGTCACAGTATGGTTGCCGTTCAGACACAAGCGCTGGAACACAAAAGTAAATGGTTTCAAAACATGCACCATTAACAGGTTGCTGTGAAAAGATAGAAAAAACATTTTCTTTGTCAACAGATCAACCATGCTACGTACTGTAACTCCTGAGTGAGTGAGTGAGTGAGTGAGTGAGTGAATGAGTAGCGGAGGGGGGACACAATGTTCGCATGAGGGGAATTGAGCTCTGGTCTTCGCGTGACAGGCAACAGATATAACCACTAGGCTAACCCACTGCCCCTGTATCTGGTGGACCCAAAGAAGTAAGTGAGTGAGTTGGGTTTTACGCCGCTTTTAGCAACATTCCAGCAAATATCACGACAGGGGACACCGGAAATGTTGCATGAGCTGCTCTTGTTGACATTTGTTGTTTAATGCCGCACTAAGCAGTATCCCAGCTATGCGACACCAGTCTGTAAAGAATCGAGTCTGGACCAGACAATCCAGTGACTGACATCATGAACTCCCATCCATGCCATTGAGATACAATGACATCATTGACTCAGCCACCCACTGCCTAAAGATGAACAAGAGTTCCTGATGACCAATTCTGATCTTCAAGAGAGACTTGAATGAACACTGAAAAACCATTTTAAACACATGATCTTCTGAAGAACTCACGTACTTGAGGGCATATGAGTCAGTGAGTGAGTTTAGTTTATGCCGCACTCAGCAATATTCCAGCTATATGGCGGAGGTCTGTAAATAATTGAGTCTGGACCAGACAATCCAGTGATCAACAGCATAAGCATTGATCTGCGCAATTGGGAACCGATTGAGGGCATATGAAAAACGAGTGGCCAAGTAATCTAAGGCAGCTCAATTCTCAATGCAGAGCAAGCTGCACCAGAAACTTCTGACTGGAAAAGCCTGAGCATGTCATTTGACATCATCATCAGTAATTGCTGGAATATTTTAAAAGGGGCATAAAGCTTAGTCACTCATATTTTCAGTGGATTTTAGTGTTAATATTCAATCAAGGCTTAGTAGACCTAATGAAACTAGAGTCAGACTAAGGACATGTAGCTAAGCTCACAGGCTTGTAGAGTTATGTCCCTTTTGTGTGCCAGGAGCCGATGATTTTTTGGTTCAAATCTCATGTTTTCCCTGTTTATTGTCCTTGGTTTGTCAGCATTAAAAACATGTTTAAGTCAAATACTTACGTTGATTCTCTTGATCGCTATGTCAGCCCAGAACACACAGTTCTTGGCGTAGTCAAATTCCACTGCTGTCACGTGCTCAGTCCCCCGACTAACTATCGTTTCAAAATGGTTGTCGTCTAGGTTGATGATGTTAATGCTGGTCCGATTTGAGAACAAGAGAAACTCCTTTCTCTCTGAAACCGAAAACATTGCCAACAGTGAGCTTAGTCGGGATTTGTCTTTGGCAACACAGGGGCCGCAGGTTTAGACGATTCACAAACACTACCCCATAAACCCGCGGAATTCCATGGATCTGCGGAAAATTCTCATCCCTGGCAACAGCAAGTAAAACAAGTTGTTTTCTGTCAGAGTCAATATTAGTTTTGTGTTGTTGTTTCCTCAATCACCTTATTTCAAAAACCTGGTTTAGAGGTACAGTGATGGATATTCTCTTCTCACCTCTGATTGGACACGAATACATGAGGGGAGCAAACCGGTGTTCATCGCCATCATGACAGGTGTCACCAGCAACCTTGCGGTACCTGAAAAATAATAGGTTACTTAGCAACAGGCAACAGGTACTTTCACGTATATTCAAACCCTGATCATAGGTTTCTGGTGTGCGCAAGGGAGGCAACTCTGCAGAGCTAATAACAGGACACGTGACTACTAAGCCACCGGAGCCCCTTCTCTGACAGTAGTAAACAGGGTTTATCAAGGATCATAATTCTTTGAAGTTTCCCCAAGGCAAACAAATTTGAATTTTTAATAATATAATTTCGATCATATTTTGCAAAGTTCCAAATACCGGTCCTGTCATCTGTGATAAATCTCCTGAAAGCAATGACATTCGATACAAGTGTAACATGAATTGAGAATATTTTAATTTCAATTTCTGAAATGACACTGATAAACTGTATTTTTGCAGCCGTTAACAAGCCTTTGAACAGGTCGCGATATACAAGTGTGTACTGACCCGCGGGTGTAGGGGTAGTAGGTGTTTGGGGGACAAGGAATCGGCACACGGTGGATGTCAGCAGTGTTTACACGAGGGTCCTGGATGCAGTCGTACGATGTGTTCCGCTGGACGAAGCCGGAGTCACTGAAACAAACATGAGAAGCAATTTGGTGAGCTTGCAGGGAAATATTATATTGTTTTTACAGACTGTGGCATTTATGGAGAAACATGCACACAATGCTGGGAGGTTAATCTGATCAGGAACCCTCATGCAAATAAAAAGTATTCTGTCTAGGATCTCCCAAAAGGTTCAAGGTACATATTCTGTCTGGGGTCCACATGGACCTCCAGGGTACTGGGCAAATATTCTGTCTGTTTCCATGGACCTCCAGGGTACTGGGGACATATTCTGTCTGGGATCCACATGGGCCTCCAGGGTACTGGGGACATATTCCTTCTGGGATCCACATGGAACTCCAGGGTACTGGGGACATATTCCTTCTGGGATCCACATGGAACTCCAGGGTACTGGGGACATATTCTGTCTGGGATCCACATGGGCCTCCAGGGTACTGGGGACATATTCTGTCTGGGATCCACATGGAACTCCAGGGTACTGGGGACATATTCCTTCTGGGATCCACATGGACCTCCAGGGTACTGGGCAAATATTCTGTCTGTTTCCATGCATCTCCAGGGTACTGGGGACATATTCTGTCTGTTTCCATGCATCTCCAGGGTACTGGGGACATATTCTGTCTGGGATCCACATGGACTTCCAGGTTACTGAGGACATATTCTGTCTGGGGATCCACATGGACCTTCAGGGTGCCAAAGACATATTCTGTCTGGGGTCCACATGGACCTTCAGGGTGCCAAAGACATATTCTGTTCCATTAGGGTTCCCGAGGACTTTCAAAGTGCTGGGGACCCCCACAGAATTTCAGGGACTTTCATCCCCATGGATGTTTAAAGGAAAGTAGTGATACTAACCACTCATAGTCCATCCTGGTGCAGGGACAGTTCTCCAGGCGGATCTCTTGGTTATAGTCATAACCATTGTAGCACACAGTCTGCTTGATCCTCCGGCGGTACTGTGTACGGCGGCCCAGCAGGCAGCCCTTGGTGTCGTTGACCATGCGGAAGACCACATCTTGTATGCCCAGCAGGCAGCCCTTGGTGTCGTTGACCATCGTGAAAGACCACATCTTGTATGCATCATCTTTACACTTGGACTCTACAGCAAAGGATGCACCAGCATTAGAAAACCAGAAGCATCAATAGGAAACAGTAATTTTGATTTTGATTTTAATCAACGTGTTACCGCAAAGGATTTTAATCAACAGGAGACGTAATTTTGATTTTACCATGTTACCGCCATGTTGGAAGGACTGACAGAAGTGAGCGAATGGTGAATAATACAACGGTCAGTGTTTTGTCTGAAGTTAATGACTGAAGTGTAAGTTATGATGTTTACCAATATGGTGGTGGAATGTAACTTTTGTCTGTTTGTTTGTTGTTTCCAGCAAAAGTATAGCACACCATAAATATTCAATCTGTACCAGACAATCCTGTGATTAATATCACGTTCATCGATCTAAGCAACTGTGATATAATGACTGTGTCAACCAAGTCAGCAAGACTGACCACCCAATCCTGTTAGTCGCCTCTTATGACAAGCACTGTTGAAGACCAGTTCTAACCCTTGATGAGTGAGTGAGTTTAGTCACACTCAGCAATATTCCAGCTATATGGCGACAATCTGTAAATAATCGAGTCTGGACCAGACAATCCACTGATCAACAGCATGGGCATTGATCTGCGCAATTGGGAACCGATGACATGTGTCAACCAAGTCAGCGAGCCTGACCACCCGATCCCGTTAGTTGCCCCTTATGACAAGCATGGGTTACTTAAGTTCATTATTCTAACCCGGACCTTCGCGGGTCTCTAACTCTTGATGGATCCTGTATGTAAATAATCAATCTGGACAGGACAATCCACTCACTGACGTTAGAGCACTGATGGATGGAAATGAGACATGAGTGAGTGAGTGAGTTCAGTTTTACGCCGCTTTTAGCAATATTTCAGCAATATCACGGCGGGGAACACCAGAAATGGGCTTCACACATTGTACCCATGTGGGGAATCGAACCGGGGTCTTCGGCGTGACGAGCGAACGCTTTAACCACTAGGCTACCCCACCGCCCCTGAAATGAGACATGAAGACACAACCCCATTTTCCTATCCCCCATCATTTTTGAATGGAGAATTACATGAATTAAATAGAAAGACCATGTATTAATCAGGCATTTGTTGGTTTTTATCCTTAAAAGGTTAAAATAATATAACATTTATTTTCATTTGTTAGGATCAGGCAAATATGTAAATCGCTGTTCAAAAAGTTTTGTATTAAATGAGGACTCACTTAGAACATTGGTCATGTTGAGTTGGCTGATGAGCCAACTGTGACGTCCTGTGTGTGAACCAAACACAGAAAACACAGTAGTTGCCTCCCCTGGTTCTGTGAGGATACCATAGATACGGATGGATGTATTTGTGAACTTCTGGGCCCTCCAGGTGGTGCCTTCATCAACGGAATAGCTGGAAGAGACAAACATTGTATGTTATTTAACACCACAATCAACAATATTCCAGCAGAAAGATGACAGTCTGTGTATAATCAAATTTGGACCAGACAATCCAGTGATTGACATCATGATCACTGATCTACACACACAGAAGGATATAACAAAGTTAATTTTATCTTCTTGTGAGGTGAGGTGAGGTGAAATTGGGTTTAACGTCGTGCTTGAGAATATTTCGCTCATATGACGACGTGCATGCATGTGTATGTGCGGCTGCTTGTACTTGCCCAGACTTAAGCTGGTTTTATAGTGCTAGCCCACTGAGATACCATGCTGCAGTGAAGCATGAATACCCCACTCAGACACAGTATACTGACTCCGAGCCCACCAGTCCTTGTTGTACCCATTAATGCCGAGCGCCAGGCAGGGACCAACAAGTACCATATTTTAACATCTTTTGGTATGATGCGGTCGGGGATCGAACCCGCGACCTTCCGCTCTCCAGGCGGACGCCCTTACCACTACACCACGGAGGCGGTCATCTCCTTGTGAATCACATGGAAGTGAGACAGTTGATACAAATAATAACAAACATGAATGATTGAGTGACTTGGGTTTAACACTGTTTAGAACCTGTACAGTGAGTGAGTTTAGTTTTCACGCCACACTCAGCAATATTCCAGCTACATGATGGCGGTCTGTTAATAATCGAGTCTGGACCAGACAATCCAGTGATCAACAGCATGAGCATCATCTGTGCAATTGGGAACCGATGACATGTGTCAACTAAGTCAGCGAGTCTAACCACCCGATCCTGTTAGTCGCCTCTCACGACAAGCATGGGTTACTGAAGATCGATATTCTCACCTGGACCTTCACGGGTAGAACCTGTACAGTATTCGTATAATATCACTGCATGTCAGTTTATGGACCATTCATAATTTATGGCTAGAGCAGGTGATGATTTTTATGGAGAAGCATGTACAATGTGAAAATATATTTACAAAGTAAGTGACATCCCCAACCCCCCAAATGTCATGTACAAATCAATGACCCCCCACCCCTTTCCCATAATTTTCAAGCATAAGTTCTATTTACATGTATGTACAAAATTGCTACTTCCCCACCAGTACATGTGTACAAAACTGATGACCCCCAACCTCCCCAGAGCAAAATGTGTGGGACACATAGCTGGAATATTGCTAAAAGTGGCCTTAGTAAAAGCTCATGCACTTCACTCTATTCCAAGCATAGTCCTTCTTGTGCCATATTCTACATATACCCGGCTACGAGATGTGCCAAACTTACTACACAGTGTCCGTGACATCAAACTGTTTGGCTGCCAGGAGAATCCCGCCATGGTCAGCAAATGTGTACAGGTATTCCCCATGCAGCACCTGTAACGAGGGGAACCAGGTAATTTCTATACAAACTAAACACACATCAGCTGGACTGATTAGTAACAAAATTGTAACAGTAATAGTGATAGTCCGCTTATATGGCGCTCATATCCAGGCACATTGCCTGCTTACGGCGCTACGTACATTACTGTCCCCGTCATAGGACACTATCGTACTTTCAACTCCCTGGGGATCATACAGCCATGCTGCCTGTTAGGCTCAATGAACTTAACACTCACATTGCGAGCACATCCTCACGGGTACCCATTTTACAGCTGGGAACTGAGACAATGTGGAACTAAGTATTTGTAAATACAAATCGTTTATCATGTTCGTCTGAATTTGAAACCAGAAATTTGGGGTTTCATATATCTTTTAAAATCCTTAGTAAAAACGCACCAGGTCCAGACTGATATCTGCACAAAGTCTTATAAATCACATACTGCAAGGACTTTGATTAATGAACAGGGAAACAAACCTTACTTTAATTTGAACTGAGACAAATTCGTCGTGATAGCAACTCATAAAACAAATTGAAAAATTCCTACATAGCAAAATGAGTTAGTGAGTGAGTTTAGTTTTACGCCAGACTCAGCAATATTCCAGCTATATGGCGGCGGTCTGTAAATAATCAAGTCTGGACCAGACAATCCAGTGATCAACAGCATGAACATCGATTTACGCAACTGGGATACGATGACATGTCAATCCAGTCTGCGAGCCTGACCGCCCAATCCCGTTAGTCGCCTCTTACGACAAGCATGGGTTGCTGAGGATAAATTCTAACCCGGACCTTCACTGGTCCTACATAGCAAAAGGTACCAGTTCATCATAAACGTCTACTTCATCTGCTGGGATGATCTCTGTTCATGGGAAGAGGAATATATGTGCAAAGTATGATAAAAACAATCAGGATGGTCTACAAGCTATGCCCGAGGAGAAACATAATGGGCTGGACACCATCCAGATGACTGGACACCACCCTTCGTACCTGGGTCCAGGAGTACCCAGCATCAGAGGACACAAACACATTGGGGTTGTGTTTGATCTTGGTGCCAATGACCCCTGATGCCATGATGATCCCCGGGGCGGACTTGCGGGACATGATGAGGGGGGTGCGGGTGTTGGGGTAGAACCGGTGTAGCTGCTGGGTCACGTGGAGCGAGCAGTTCGTCAGCTGAAGGATATAAAATACGCAATATAAGTTACAATGTAAGCAAGCCGGGAACCAAACTTAGTGTCAAACTCCTGACTTCTAACAGTCAGTTACTGTGACATGGACTGACTGACTGACTGAGTTTGGTTTTACGCCGCTTTTGGCAATATTCCAGCAACATCACGGCGGGGGACACCAGAAATGGGCTTCACACATTGTACCCATGTGGGGATTCGAACCCGGGTCTTCGGCATGACGAGCCAACGCTTTAACCACTAGGCCACCCCACCGCCCCCTGTGACATGGAACTTGATGCACCAATCAACTGCAAGTGTTATGATAGTTTATGATAAAACTAAATATTAAGGCGATCATGCATACGAAGTTTAATCAAATTCCAATCACAAAATGTCAAGTAATCTCATTCACAAGCCATGGAGATACAAAATATTCAGGCAACTATGTGTACCAAGTTTAATCAAATTCTGAAGAAAACAAAAATTATCTCAAGTTATCATCTATAAATGCCATAAAAGCCATACTAAATATGAAAGCAATAATCTATAAAAGTTTTAGCAAATTCTGATAAAAACATGTCAAATCATCATAACAAAAGACATGGAATGTACGAAACAACAAAACGATCATGTAAACAAACTTTATCAAATTCCTACCACAAAATCTCAAGTTATTAGAAGATCAAATATGAAATCTCTGTGTTGTAAGCAAGCGGCAGAGAAAAACAACTGCAGCAGCTGTCAAATTCTCTTTGACACCAAGCAGGAACCCTTTTACTGAGGGTTGTTTGATAGGTACGACAAACAAACACAATGTAAACAACAAAACTTGGGGTGAGAGAACAGCAGAACTCAAGCAGAAAAATACTATCACAAAACAAATCACAGAGTTGGTCTGACGTTTTCATTATGATCAGTGTTTCATTGAGTAATTTATGTTTATAAGTTTTCGAGTTAGACTGTAATTCATCGGTCCGCTTTTGAGCTAAACAGACTATATATAATAATCAATGAGTGAATATGGTTTTACACCGCTTTTAACGGCCTCCAACAACAACACTATCATGGACACCAGAAATGGGCCTGTGACATTGAAGCTCTGACATATGTGAATCAAACCTGTGTCTTCAGCATGGTGGCGAACACTTTAACACTAGGCTACCAGACTTAAAATGACAGCAGTCAGAGCTGTGATGCATTAGTTGAAATAACACCCCCTATTTATTAGCATGTGCTTGTGTATGTTTAATATCCCACTCCACAATATTCTCACCTTATGATGACTGTCAGTGAATAATGTAATTTTTTAAGTAAAATTAATATTTTATACTTATCCTGACTCATGATCTATTCCTTATCTCCATAAATCGGAAAGGGGGAAAGGGAGATAAGCAAAACATCATGAGTCAGGATAAGGAAAAATACAAAATTTGGACCACGCAATCAAGTGATTGACATTATGAGCACCGATCAACTAAACTAAACCATATGGTCTCTGACACAATAACAAGCTTCCATCACGTCAGCCAGTCTGACCCAAACCTATTAATCTGTTCTTACGACAAGCATGGGTTTCTTAAGATCTAACCTGGGAACCAGCTCTCACCAGGAATCACAGGTCATATATTAGCAAAGATAATTCATTATATCACTTAGTAAACAGACCATGCTTACAGGGCTTTAGGTTAAAAACATTCTCTGAAATTTAGGACAAAAACATGATAACTTCAAGATATCCAGACATTGAGATCATTGTCATCTTCATTTCTTGCATGTATCGGGATATATCTATTATATAATATATAATACATACCGGTATCTATAATATTATTTCCTGAGCTGTATCATTATCATTATCCATACTTCACAATATTGAATGTCTGGATACATTGGAGTTACAAGATTTGAGATACCTGGGTCTGAGTGTACTTGTTGCTCAATAGGGGAAGGACAATTAAACACAAGCTTTCATCAATATGGAAAATATATATATATACTCAGGGGAATAAATAAGGGAACATGCAGATATACAGAAAAGTGTTCAGTTCTGTCTTCAATGCACAACAAAAATAGTTAAGAAATACTATAATCAATATATACTACCCAAAGAAATTAAGGACCACTCAATTCTTTCATTTGACAACTAATCTGCTTGGCTATCCTTCACTATGTTTTAGTAGTATTTAAGGCAAAACGTTCAGATAAGCAAAGGGAAGTCATTGTCCTTTGCGGCGATATTAATGTACCAGTAAACTTTCAATTTCGATAAAATATCAAAATATATTTATGGCTATTGATATTAAATCAATAACTTGCTGACACAGAATCATTACAGTTAAGATGGATGAGAAGGCATAAAATATACTACCCATCCAAAGTTTAGATTCACTTGTGTAAATTTAGCCACTTACTTCAGTCAACTGTTCTAAACTAGATTTTGCAAAATATTCCATACTGTTTACACATGAACTGATGTATTGTAAAACAAAATGACAAACGAGCCGAGAACCCAAATTTCCTTCAGGATAATAAAATGTTTTCTGAACTTACTATTAATTCAATAGTCGATGTAAATCAACTTCATGTAATGAACTAGGCCAATATAAACAATAATATACACATTATGCACAGCTGATTTCATGTTAATACATCCATAAACACAAAACATACCGAAGTCAATTAGGAGATAAACATACTGTGTTGGAAAATCAGAGGTATACTACCCATCAAAAGTTTAGACTCATCTAAATATAGCCACTTACTTCAGTCAACTGTTCTAAACTAGATTTTGCAAAATTTTCCATACTGTTTAAAGGTACTGTTTACATATGAACTGCTGTATTGTAAAACAAATTCATAACGCTGAAAAGATTATTGTCATGAGTTCAATAAATGATGAAAATCACCGAAAATTGGTGAGTTCTTAACAAAACTTTACACCAAAATGCAGCTGTTCACATGCACGATATTTTCACATGCTTTTCAGCAATTTGATGCATGATCCTCTTGCAAATCATCTGCATAAGGTTTGCAGTTGGTTCCCCCAAGTTAGTGGAGAAATATATCTTGGATGTAACCACATATACATAACATATTGTGAGTGCTTTAAGTGGGTCTAAACTTGGGTAGTACATATAACGAAATTATAATAGCTCTAAATTCGATTTAAAACCAAATGTGAGGTTTTAAATAAAAAAATTAGAGCTACTATAATTTCGGGATATACCTCTGATTTTCCAACACAGTACATTTATCTCCATTGCTCCATAACCTCATTATTAAGATTTTTTTAAAAAGAGTTACAGTGTTTGAAAATCAGAGGTATATAACCTTTATTATATACCTCTGAATGACTTTGATTAACCAATCACAATCCAGTATTTACTGAAGTCATGGTAGAATTATTAAATGAACACATTCATGTAGGTATTCCCAGTGAAGCACAACCAACTTTGAACGAACATAGGAAACATCAGAAATACAATACAGTTACCTCTCTAGATGACCATGGTGTAACTTTAGCCTGAACGGTTAAACAAAAGTAAGAAATATGGGATTAGTTAATGATGAAAATGAGAGTTAGATGATGAATGATTCCAAATGAACTGAAACTGTTACCATGGTTACAAAAGACGGTGATAAAAAATCAGTGCTTGAAATTAAGAAGGCCTAGGGTCATTGAGGATATTCGCTAGAGCTGGGTTTATCTGGTATTTTGAATGTAGTGCCATTGGCAGGGCAACTGGTAATAAAATCATTACATAGTTCAAAATTGGAATTTTGGGTAAATTTTTTGTCTCTTATATTTTCTTTATTTCAAATGCAACACTACAGAGTTAAGCTTCATTCTCTGTATTGGTTCTGTAATCATTTTAGAAATGGGATATGATTAAGGCTTGTGATAATAAACTTAAAAATAGATGAATAAATATGAACTATAAGCAGTATAAGAACTGTATAGCACCCATATTAATAAGATATGTATGATATCATGGCCTCACCATGGTTCCACCTGTACTGGGGACCTATTTCAATCAAGACTATCTCACCTGGGAGCAGTTAGCGTCCCGGTCACCATCAGCAGGTGCTCTGATCAGCTGCCACTCCCCACCCTTGTCAAAGGTGATCAAACTCCGCTGCTGGTCAATGTCCAGTGTTCCTGTAAGGAGCTGGGATGCTATGTAGATGCCTCGCATGCCATCAACTCTATGAATGTCAGCAAAGGTCTCATTTGTGTAATACCTGGAAAGAGATTATAATATATATTTGGAGTTGAGACCTTTTTTGGAACAAGTATCAGTTCTATCACAGCATGTCAGCTTGATGTGGGATGGAAGCCTGACTGTGCTGCCTGGTTGAAGTCCTGGTCAGCTCAAAAACAGAAGTAGGGCAATTCTGGGAATCAGTTACAGGTTCTTGACAACAATAAGGGGCATAACTCTGTGAAGCAAACTGTGGATGCAGTAGACGACTGGACCATTAGCATGACTAGTGACATTAAAAGATCAGTGATTATCATACAGGAAAACTTGGACTGAAAAAAACCCATCAAAATTGGTATTTTAAGCAAACGAGCAGTGGATTCTGACAAACTTAATTGAAGTTAATACCAGTCTAAGTAAATTTAGGCCCAGTATTATTCGTTACACTGCTATAGTAAGTCTAACAAAACCTAATAGAAGGTCGCGTCAGCTAACCTTCTGGACTGACCAGTCAGAACACAGCTTACCAAATCGCGAAAGTTAACATTCGCACATACTTTTTTAACCTTTACCTCAAAAACTCGAACGACTACGAATGCTATTTTCCGCACGATCTTTTCCGAGTGATACACGCAATGAGTAAACAGTCACAGAAAATAGCGTTTTTGTCAATATTCAAGGATGTCACCTTGCGAAAATCTATAAGCAAATAGTAACCATGTCATTGGAAACCCATAAGCGTATATATACTGCATGTCAAATATCTGTGTTTTATGCAGATTTTCGTTTGTTGATAGATCAGTGTCAGCAGCCAGGGAAGAGAAAATACAAAGTCCAGCCGAATTCTAACAAGTCATAGGTCGCTCAAAGGTGACCTGACGCGACCTTCTACTAGGTTTTGTTAGACTCAGTATAGCAGTGTAACGAATAATACCGAGTCTAAGTTTACTTAGACTGAAGTTAATACGGGTTTCAAGCAAATGAGCATCAGCTTATGACAAACATCTAGGTTTTAACAAACGAGAATCAGATTCTGGCAAACATGTTCGAAGTGAAATTAGTATCACAGCCAACTACCATCAGATTCTGAGAAACATAATCAAAATGAGTGAGTGAGTGAGTTTGATTTTACGCCGCTTTTAGCAATATTCCAGCAATATCAAGGCGGGGGACACCAGAAATGGGCTTCACACATTTTGCCCATGTGGGGAATCAAACCCGGGTCTTTGGCGTGACGAGCGAATGCTTTAACCACTAGGCTACCCCACCGCCCATATAATCAAAATCAATCTTGGAAAATAAACAAATAATGCATAATCAAAGTGAATTTGGATTTCAAGTAAACAAACATTGGATTACGACCGACACAAAAAGAATTTCGGTTTATAAAAAACAAGCATCGGATTAATGTGAATTTACATTTTAGTTTGTATTCTATAATTTGTCCCTTTTGACATCATTTGTATTTTGAACATGTCCCTGTATCTATATATATGCTGGACTGTTTTTTCCAAAATTTGTCCATTTCCCCCTTTTTGTGCTTTTGTATTTAATCCCGGTACTGGAAATACATCGCTCTACCTATATGTACTATGTTCACCACCTGACCTTCCTCTTGGGCCATCTTGCAATTGATGTCCAAGATATTTTTATGGATTAAACTTCTTTGTAATTTCTCACACGCCGTTTCGAGACCATTCCAGGTCCCTTTCATCAGGTGAACTGGCAGTTAGGACTATGACGTCGTCACTATGATGTCATAACTGAGTTATGACGTCACAATGCAAGTGACATCACATTACACTAGGGCGAGTACTGTATAAGTGAGTTTGAAGAGTTATTTACATAATGATGAAAATTCATGCTAAATAATAGAGTTGAAAGTTGAATTGTCAATACACAACAACTGCTAATTGTGTATTGACAATTCAACTTTCAACTCTATTATTTAGCATGAATTTTCATGATTATGTAAATAACTCTTCAAACTCACTTATACAGTACTTTCCCTAGTGTACTGTGATGTCACTTGCATAGTGACGTCATAACTCAGTTATGACGTCATAGTCCTAACTGCCAGTTCACCTGATGAAGGGACCTGGAATGGTCTCGAAACGTCGTGAGAGAAATTACAAAGAAGTTTAATCCATAAAAATATCTTGGACATCAATGTACAACTTCTAAATGCCACTGAAAGACATCATCTTGCAATTGTTTTCATATATCGGATTATGACAAATATAAAGAGAATCTGGGTTGCAGAAAAACAAGCTTCAGATTCTGACAAAAATAATCAAAGTGAATGACTATCCCACCAAAACAGTGCAGTGGTGACAAGGAGATACGCACCTGAGCCAAGTGTCTCTGTTAGCTCCCTTGGGATTGAAGTAAACCACCCTTTCCAGCGACAGCGAGAAGCGGAGTCCCTTCACCTCGGAGATGTAGAGGTTGGTTGCGCTGCTGTTGTGGAACACACAAGCCATCACCTGTTCTTCTGAAGCATCTGCGATGTAATACTCCTACAAATGTCAGATAGTGCCAGATTCCATAGAAAATATCTCACGTCAGTTGAATAAAAAATAATTGCAGAATGTTTGAATTCAGTTTTCTCATAAATACATGCATATAAATCTAAACACAGTATTATTTGGATTCAAACAATTGGATATTTCACGAAGACACAGTTGTTGCTTAATGTCGCACTCAGTAATATTCCAGCTATATCTGTTTATTACATAGGTCTGTAAATAATTGAGTCTGGACCATAAAATCCAGTGATCAACAGTATGAGCATCGCTCTAGGCAAATGGGATATGATGACATGTGTCAACCAAGTCAGTTAGCCGCCCCTGACAAACATGGGTTAATGAAGATCAATTCTAACCCGGATCTACACGGGTGTGATGCAATAAGTAAAGTGTGTGTTGCATTAAGTAAAGTGTGTGATGCATTAAGTAAAGTGTGTGATGCATTAAGTAAAGTAAAGTGTGTGATGCATTAAGTAAAGTGTGTGATGCATTAAGTAAAGTGTGTGATGCATTATTAAAGTGTGTGATGCGTTAAGTAAAGTGTGTGATGCATTAAGTAAAGTGTGTGATGCGTTAAGTAAAGTGTGTGATGCGTTAAGTAAAGTGTGTGATGCGTTAAGTAAAGTGTGTGATGCGTTAAGTAAAGTGTGTGATGCGTTAAGTAAAGTGTGTGATGCGTTAAGTAAAGTGTGATGCGTTAAGTAAAGTGTGTGATGCGTTAAGTAAAGTGTGTGATGCGTTAAGTAAAGTGTGTGATGCGTTAAGTAAAGTGTGATGCGTTAAGTAAAGTGTGTGATGCGTTAAGTAAAGTTTGTGATGCGTTAAGTAAAGTGTGTGATGCGTTAAGTAAAGTGTGTGATGCGTTAAGTAAAGTGTGTGATGCGTTAAGTAAAGTGTGTGATGCATTAAGTAAAGTGTGTGATGCGTTAAGTAAAGTGTGTGATGCGTTAAGTAAAGTGTGTGATGCGTTAAGTAAAGTGTGTGATGCGTTAAGTAAAGTGTGTGATGCGTTAAGTAAAGTGTGTGATGCATTAAGTAAAGTGTGTGGTTAAGTAAAGTGTGTGATGCGTTAAGTAAAGTGTGTGATGCGTTAAGTAAAGTGTGTGATGCGTTAAGTTAAGTGTGTGATGCGTTAAGTAAAGTGTGTGATGCGTTAAGTAAAATGTGTGATGCGTTAAGTAAAGTGTGTGATGCATTAAGTAAAGTGTGTGATGCATTAAGTAAAGTGTGTGATGCGTTAAGTAAAGTGTGTGATGCGTTAAGTAAAGTGTGTGATGCGTTAAGTAAAGTGTGTGATGCATTAAGTAAAGTGTGTGATGCGTTAAGTAAAGTGTGTGATGCGTTAAGTAAAGTGTGTGATGCGTTAAGTAAAGTGTGTGATGCATTAAGTAAAGTGTGTGATGCGTTAAGTAAAGTGTGTGATGCGTTGTACGCAACTGAGGAATTGGACCTGGGTCTTCAGAATGATGAGCTAATATTATAGTCACGAGACAACCCCACTGCCCAAAAACTCATGGCGTCAGATGCATTCAGATGAGAACCAATAAACCAAGGCTGACTAACCAATCCATTTAGTCCACAAAGTCAGCCACCTAGCCCGCTCAGCCACCCCAGCTTGTGTGCTGGCTATTAGGTGCCTGACTCTGAGTCTGAAGGTGTGGGTTCAAATCCCACATGGGACTCAACAAAAGTGCTAGAATTTGTACTTCACGTTACATTTGATATATGTTACATTTGACCACTTTCTAAATGGCATTGTGTAATTCAGTATCGTTTGGGTTTGGTTTTTTTTCGCTTCACGCCGCTCTCAGCAATAGTCCAGGCGGTCTGTAAATAATTTCGACCAGACGTGATAAACTTTATGAGCATCGATCTACACAACTGGGATACGATGACATGTGTCAACTAAGTCAGCGAGCCTGACCACCCAATCCTGTTATTCATCTCTTACGACGAGCGTGGCTTGGTGAAGATAAATTCTAACCCTGATCATCATGGGCCCCTGCTTCACTAACACAACATGTAAACAGGGGAAGGACCAAGCTGGGTGGGTTAAATACATGTGGTCTAGTGGTGGTCCGATTAATTGAAATAATCGAAGATTGGTCGTAGTGACTAAACGACCAAGCAATCGATCACAATTTCTCATAATCGAACACAAACAATTCTGGAACACTTGTTTTCATTAACAATATTTTTCACATGGTTGGTTTTGTCTGTTACATTTCGTAAGCACTACAAGCTGGTTTCAAGTCACGATTGAATTTATCTTAAAGATTCCAAGAAATTTATGTTCCTAACATACTAGTCATCCTTTAATGATGTGAAATTTTGCCCCAAAATCCAAAAAGAACTACTTGTTTTTACCTTATTTTTTGTGTACATTAACAAATTTCATAAATGACGCTAACCAATTATTTTCGATGATTGATCAGTTGTAATGAACCAATCATGAATTATGAGATATTAACCAATTCCCAACACTACTGTGGTCAAAAGATGATACTAATACATTTGTCACAAATTTTGAAACACTCATTTTAAGGATGTTTATATTCTGCAGTTACAATACTTACGTGGTTGTGAGGGGAGGGGAACTCTGCCTTGAGGAAGCGCCCTCTATCAGATGACACCCACAGTTGTGTGTAATGCTCTCCTGCTCCCAACAGCCGCTGTAACACACACAGGAGATTGTGTTCAACCCTAACTATAGGCCTTTTCTTCAAATTAATTTGCATCAGAAAATATTCGAAAACAAAAATTGTATGAGGCTTTTAACACGATTTTACAACATCATTTGATTAAAGGAGCGTTGTTGGAAGAAAATCAATAAAAACACGAGTATGTCCAGTTTAGTCAAAACAATTGAAAGTCTTAAATCTGGACAGTGATTTATTATATGATTCTGAACTATGTGCCTTTCGCAATCAAACTGGGAACAATTTTGTGATATTGTCTACAATCAGACTGTTTCCAATGTTCTTGTTTTCATAAATTCTGAGAAATTGGGAAATACATAATTTTAATTTTGGAATTTTCTATGTCATCTGCTGAAAACTTGGGGCTGAACGGAGGTGTAGATCAATATCTACTGTGACAACAAAACCATTGTCAAACAAACAATAATCCAGTGAGAGAGCAGTGATATTTGGTACGATAATGACACATGTTACCAATTAAATTAAGTCGCCTCTCAGGATCAACCAAGTTAGCTAGGGACAACTTTTTAGATCATGTACCCTTAACAGAACTGAGAAGCGAGGCTTGTGAGCATCACTTACCACCTTTTTCGTAGCAAACAGGTATTTCCCTCGGACTTCAAAGTCCTTGACGTCGGAAATGACCGTGACCTTATTGGCAGACGTTCGGAACAGGTCTGTGCTCTTGTATACAATGTCTAACATTTCAAGTCCATGCGGCCGCTCCTCTTCAACATAGATTGTTGAAGGCAGTTCATAAGGAGCCACTCCCCTGGAATGATTGAATTAACGGGTCAGTAAGTCGGTTAGTGAGTGCGTGAGTGAGTGAGGTTAGTTTTATGCCGCACTCAGCAATATTCCAGCTGCTGTAAATGTACTTTTTTTCGCTTGGTGCAAATTCCTCGGAATTGACAGTTTAGACTACATCGTGCAGTCAATTATTCGAGCAATCAGTAATTGCTGGAACTGCCATGCAGCTGTCTCTTAGGCCGCCACTAATAGCAATGAAAACAAACAGAGTGGCTTAACCTGTCACTAGTGTCAGGCGGCATGTATTGCTTACTCACAGGAAATCCTTACCTGCGCGATATATACAGTAATACGTTTACTCATGGAAGTATTAAGTACTTAGGAAGTGAGATATCGTGATGCAAATATAAGAGATGAAAAACACATCAGTCTTATGTTCCGAATTCTGATGATATGACGATGGCATTGCGAAATTGACCATCAAGGAAATGAACGTTTACCATATATGAAGCTTTTTGTGATTTCATTTCATGATATGCAGGAATAAATATAAATAAAATCTTAATGAATAAATAAAATACTGCTGTATTATATCTTTCCGAGTCGTTTCATGGTAATCCGTTTCGTATCAAACCATCTGTCACTACGATTGGTCAAAATAGAACATGTGAGGACATGATTTGGGAAATCCACTACAGCGACAGTTAAGTATGATTCTTTATGCTACTATCAGTCGTCATTTTAAGATTCCCGTAGATTTCTGTCTTCAAACTTGATGTGTTATGGTAACAACTCAGAGGCGAGCGTGGGTTTATTCGCCGTGTATAAATTTTCGCGGTAAAATATTTTGCCTCAAAAGCGCGAAAATAAAACACGTGCGATATATAATACGCTTACAGTATATGGCGGCAGTCTGTAAATAATTGTGTCTGGACCAGACAATCCAGTGATCAACAGCATGAGATCGATCTGCGCAATTGGGAACCGATGACATGTGTCAACCAAGTCATTGAGTCTGACCACCCGATCCCGTTAGTCGCCTCTTACGACAAGCATGGATTACTGAAGGTTCGTTCTAACCCAGATCTTCACAGGTCGATTGAGTGTGTGAATAAGAGGATGAAAGTGGAAGAGTGAGAAAGAATGAGTGAGTGAACGTGTGAGAGTGAAAGTGAGAGACAGACTAGTAAGAGAAGGAGAGAGAAAGAAAACGCAAGTGGATGAGGCGACTAAGTGACTGAGTAAGTTGGTGGGTGAATGATACTAATTTACACTAGCAACAGAGAAAGACAGAGAAAGTGAGAGAAAGAGAAAGGGGTCGAAAAGCCCAGACATACAGGTCTTGATTGATTTAAAGAAACACAAGATAAAGCTAAGCAGCCTCAATAAATAATCAAGTCCCATCTTGAGTGAGAGAGTAGTTTTACGCCGCAATAAGCAATATTCCAGCTATATGGCAGCGGTCTGTAAACAATCGAATCTGGACTAGACAATCCAGTGATCAACAGCATGAGATCGATCTGTGCAATGTAGAACCGATGACATGTGTCAACCAAGTCATCGAGTCTGACCACCCGATCCCGTTAGTCGCCTCTTACAACAAGCATTGGTTCCTGATGATCAATATTCTAACCCGGACCTTCACGGGTTCCCATCGTCAATAAGAACCAACAATCATATGTTTCCAGTACACACAAGATATGTCAACCTGGCCAGCTCAAGTGTGAACTCAGACTTACCAGAAGAAGGACTTCACATTGTCGCCGATCCTACGCCAGGTGAAACCAAAGTCCTCAGATATGAACAGCTGAAAAATACAACGGAAAATGTTGAGATGAGTGAGTGAGGGAGTTTGGTTTGATGCCACTTGTAGCAATATTCCAGCAATATCACAACGGGGAACACCAGATATGGGCTTCACACATAGTACCTATGCGGGGAATCAAACCTGGGTCTTCAGCGTGACGAGCGAACACTGTAACCACTAGGCTACCCGATCTCCCCACGTTGAGATGACCGGGTGAAATGTATGTGTGCCTTTGAGGTTTTGAAAATGGACAACCCAACAGAAAGACGAGGGCGTGGGGCCAAGATCACTTTGTTGAACGCACCCTTGCAAAGCAAAGGCAGTATTTGCATGCTGACTGGATTAATCTCTAATGTGCACCTCTTTTGTTAAGCTGTCTTCATCCATGGCGAGAACCAAGTTTGGGTTGATACTGTTGATGGAGATCTGTCGAGGTTTGAAGGCCATGTTACAGTATGTGTTGAAAGTCATTGCATAATCCCTGGTGGTGAAGATGCATTTGTCCTCTATGTCCGTGAAGATGTACTGAAAACAAGGACGAAAAGGAGTGAGTTTAGTTTTATGCCGCACTCAGCAATATTCCAGCTATATTGTGACGGTCTGTAAATAATCAAGTCTGGACCACACAATCCAGTGATCAACAGCATGAGCATCGATCTGCGCAATTGGGAACCGATGACATGTGTCAACCAAGTCAGCGAGCCTGACCACCTGATCCCATTAGTCGCCCCTTACGACAAGCATAGTCGCCTTTTGTGGCAAGCATGGGTTGCTGAAGACCTATTCTACCCCGGATCTTCACGGGTGGGACGAAAAGGAACACATTAGTATCTTGATAGAGGAACTTTGCATCACAGTCTAGGGGTCACTTAGAGTCAATGTCCAGAATCCCTAAGGGGGAGGCAAACATGGGGTAGTAGGGATGTGTTCCCGACCATGAGTCAAATTAAGACACAAGCATGGTATAATGGTGACCCCTTCTGGCCTTGAGTGAGTGAGTAAGTTAAGTTTTACGCTGCACTCAGCAATACTCCAGCTATTTGGTGACGGTCTGTAAATAATTGAGTCTGGACCAGACAATAGAGTGATCAGCATCATGAGCATTGTTCTAGGGTATTGGGATACCACAAGTGTTTGCCACTAATATCGCTAAAAAATGGAATATTCATAACATATTTGCTACTTTTTATTTTTTGCTCACATACAAGATGCCTGAAATCACAGGTGTCTGCATAATCACCTAATGTAAGCTGTCAACATAACTGAAGACATTGGATGCAATTTTTTATGAGATATCGCCTTTACAGACGTTGTAAAGTTTGAAATTACTTTCACCAATTATATGATTTCGGTCTGTATATAATCGAATCTGGAATAGACAATCCAGTGATCAACATAATGAGCATTGATCTACAAAGTTGGGATACAACGACATGTGTCAACCAAATCAGCGACCACCTGACAAAAATGACCCAAAAAGGTTGATTCTGGGAAAGATTAGGCTGAAATTGTAACCTATCACACCCAAATCCTAACTGTTAGCATCTGTGTTGCCCCACCCACTCCGACACTGCCTGTACTTACATGGCTGTTGTGTGAAGGAGTGTTGTAGTAGTGAGTGATCTCGGCCTTTATCCCATTGTGCAGCATCTTGTTGCTGATGTTGCTGAATGTCTTCCCATAATCCCTTGATATAAACACCCTACTTCCTGAACTGCCAAGTCCATTCCTGGCCAACGCTATGATGACATCGCTATGCTCCCCTGCCCAGTGGACTACTAGCGTTGTGTGGTTGTCATGGAGATCAAACTGGAAGTACAAAAACAGACATGTAATCTTAATTAATTTGACACAATGCAAGCTTTTATCATGATTTAAGAAGAGAGTCGGATGAACAGGATCCCTTTGGCAAGCAAATCTGTACAGAAGCACAGTAGTCCATCATATCCATCAGGTCCATCACGTCTATCATATCTGTCATATCCGTCATGTCCATCACGTCTATCATATCCGCCAGGTCCATCACGTCTGTCATATCCATCATATCCGTCAGGTCCATCATGTCTATCATATCCATCAGATCCCTCATGTCTATCATATCCATCAGGTCCATCATGTCTATCATATCTGTCAGGTCCATCACATCCATCAGGTCCATCACATCTATCAGGTCCAGCACGTCTATCATGTCAGGTCCATCACGTTTATCATATGTCATTTCTATCATATCCATCAGGTCCATCACATCTATCATATCCATCAGGTCCATCATGTCTATCATATCCGTCAGATCTCTCATTTCTATCATATCCATCAGGTCCATCATGTCTATCATATCCGTCAGGTCCATCATGTCTATCATATCCGTCAGATCCCTCATGTCTATCATATCCATCAGGTCCATCATGTCTGTCATATCCATCATATCCGTCAGGTCCATCATGTCTATCATATCCGTCAGATCCCTCATGTCTATCATATCCATCACGTTTATCATATGTCATATCCATCACATCTATCATATCTGTCATATCCATCATGTCTATCATATCCGTCAGATCCCTCATTTCTATCATATCCATCATGTCTATCATATCTGTCATATCCGCCAGGTCCATCACGTCTGTCATATCCATCATATCCGTCAGGTCCATCATGTCTATCATATCCGTCAGATCCCTATGTCTATCATATCCATCACGTCTATCATATCCATCATGTCTATCATATCCGTCAGATCCCTCATGTCTATCATATCCATCAGGTCCATCATGTCTATCATATCTGTCAGGTCCATCACGTCTGTCTTATCTGTCAGGTCCATCACATCCATCAGGTCCATCACATCTATCAGGTCCAGCACGTCTATCATATGTCAGGTCCATCACGTTTATCATATGTCATATCCATCAGGTCCATCACATCTATCATATCCGTCAGGTCCATCATGTCTATCATATCCGTCAGATCCCTCATGTCTATCATATCCATCAGGTCCATCACGTCTGTCTTATCTGTCAGGTCCATCACATCCATCATATCCATCAGGTCCATCACATCCATCAGGTCTATCATGTCTATCATATCGATCAGGTCCAGCGCTTCTATCATATGTCAGGTCAAACACATCTATCATATCCATCAGGTCCATCACGTCTATCATATCCATCAGGTCCATCACGTATATCATATCTGTCAGGTCCACCACGTCTATCATATCCATCATATTCATCAGGTCCATCACATCCACTATATCCATCACATCCGTCAGGTCCATCACATCTAGCATATCCATCACATCTGTCAGGTCCATCACATCTAGCATATCAATCACATCCGTCAGGTCCATCACATCTAGCATATCCATCATATTCATCAGGTCCATCACATCTAGCATATCCATCACATCCATCAGGTCCATCACATCTAGCATATCCGTCAGGTCCATCACATCTAGCATATCCATCATATTCGTCAGGTCCATCACATCTAGCATATCCATCACATCCGTCAGGTCCATCACATCTAGCATATCCGTCAGGTCCAACACATCTAGCATATCCATCATATTCGTCAGGTCCATCACATCTAGCATATCCATCAGGTCCATCACATCTAGCATATCCATCACATCCGTCAGGTCCATCACATCTAGCATATCCATCATATTCATCAGGTCCATCACATCTAGCATATCCATCACATCTAGCATATCTGTCAGGTCCATCACATCTAGCATATCCATCACATCCGTCAGGTCCATCACATCTAGCATATCCATCACATCCGTCAGGTCCATCACATCTAGCATATCCATCACATCCGTCAGGTCCATCACATCTAGCATATCCGTCAGGTCCATCACATCTATCATATCCAACACATCCGTCAGGTCCATCACATCTAGCATATCCATCATATTCATCAGGTCCATCACATCTAGCATATCCATCACATCCATCAGGTCCATCACATCTAGCATATCCGTCAGGTCCATCACATCTAGCATATCCATCACATCCGTCAGGTCCATCACATCTAGCATATCCATCATATTCATCAGGTCCATCACATCTAGCATATCCATCACATCCATCAGGTCCATCACATCTAGCATATCCGTCAGGTCCATCACATCTATCATATCCAACACATCCGTCAGGTCCATCACATCTAGCATATCCATCATATTCATCAGGTCCATCACATCTAGCATAACTAGCATATCCATCACATCCATCAGGTCCATCCCATCTAGCATATCCATCAGGTCCATCACATCTATCATATCCAACACATCCGTCAGGTCCATCACATCTAGCATATCCATCATATTCATCAGGTCCATCACATCTAGCATAACTAGCATATCCATCACATCCATCAGGTCCATCCCATCTAGCATATCCGTCAGGTCCATCACATCTATCATATCCAACACATCCATCAGGTCCATCACATCTATTATATCCATCATAATGGCCTGGTCAATTAGTTAGGTCCATCATATCCATCATATGTGTCAGTCAGGTCCATCATGTACAACAAGTCCATTCGGTCTATTATGTTCATTAGGTCATTTGGTATAACCAGACGGCTATCTTTTAAAATTTACTATTCCACTAAGGTGACAAGGATTAAAGGCTTCTAAGCCCACAATTCCGATTTTTAGAAGCAAGACAATCAACTGAGTTTAGTTTTACAAAACCGTAAGCAATATTACGGCGATGGACAAAAGAAATGGGCTTCACACATTGGACCCATGTAGGGAATTGAACCCGGGTCTTCAGCATGATGAGCTGACGCTGTATCTACTAGGCTGCCCCGTGAGATTAATCATCTAATTAAAACATGATGGTCAACTTAAGAAATATTCATGAAAACTTCTTGTTAAACTCAATACATTATGCAGGCTGCAACAAGAAGCTTTTAGACTACATCATTCCCATACATGGTTCTCAGTATTTACAGGAGCGTTGAATGTTGTCATTACATGATAGGCAAAAACACTGAAGCTTGCCATTCTGTCCAGAGTATGAAATACACCCATATCAAACATATTTAGAGGCCCTAGCACTTCCGTCCAGCTGAGTCTAGCACAGTGCAAGTAGTCAAGAATTGCCAAATTTCACTGGCCAGGCGGGTACGTAAACACAGCACACGTCATATTTTATCAGCCCAAAATAATTCCGATAAATTACAAAATAAGGTCTTTGATTCTGTTTGAATGGCATTTAGACTTGATGCACATAAGGAAGAGAGTATATATCAGGGCTCGATTTCAGAGAAGTTAACCTACTTGCACCAGGTGCAACCTACGATAAAGACCTAGTTGCACCAGCCAAATTCCAGTTGCAACATAGTGTGTTTAAAACGCCAATAATACCGTGATGTAGTACCCATGAAACCATAGCAACACAGAGACACAGCTGATATCTGTTTTCAAGAGCTGTCATAGCCGAGACGTGTCTCTGAATAGCAATGTTTTGGTGCCATAGCTATTCAAAATTTATGCTCATAATGTTAGATTCATCATTGATTTATTTCTCAAAAATTGACTTGCACCTTGTGCAAGTTAGACTCATAACTAGGTTGCACTTTGTTATACTGGGTTGCACCAGTGCAAGTAACAAAGCACTAAATCGAGCCCTGTATATTGATATGAACTTCTTTATTATGAGAAACACAACATTTCGGAGTATACCCTTACTCCTTCATCTGTTCCTTATGATAAAGAAGTTGACAGCTACAAAAACTCTCTTCCTTAATTCCAAATTTAAACAAAATTACAACAGACATTAGAATTAAATAGCCACACTCCAAGGTCTTGTTAATACTTCTGATCGTTCCTGCCTTTTACATAAACAGAATAATATATTAGTTATTAGTATAAATTAAAACAAATTTAAATGTAAAGGTGAAATGCAATGAATTAGCTATTAAATCAGGGTTAGGGTTAGACTATGGCTTAGTCTCTGAATATATATAATTTTGATAGTAACAAACAAGCCCATTTAAATTGAAAAGGAGCCCTAGGTAGACCAGAGAAACCTGAGGAAATCTAGACTTGCTTTATTTAGGGCTGTAGCACTGCAGAGAGGGCTTGGCAGTAGGGAAAATAATGTGGTTCAGGGACTGTGAGACAGACTAGGCTAGGGTTAGACAACCCCAAACCTACCCCACCAAAAACTGTCACAGGAACGATGAGAACTCAAGTCTGTACTGAATGACTGGTCCGAAGTAATTCTATCCTTTGAAGGGGCAAGTCTAAATGGACAGTACGTCTATGGATGCCTGTGCATTTAGTTTATACATTTGAGAAATTATAATATTAACAAGGGGTTATTGTCTTCAAGACCTATGAAAATCATCACCAACTTCTTGATTCATAGAAATCTGGGATAGGAATGCAATTTCAGGGCTTGACATTCATCCAAATTCCCGAACAAGACCACAGGGCCAGTAACTTTTAAAAATCACTGGTCCTTACAGATTCTTACTGGTCCTGCTAGGGGACTCTATTGTCCATGTTGACAGCCTAAAATATCTACTAGACCATCGGGATAGCACTTATCAAAGTTGCACTGGTCCTGTCAACATTTTACTGGACCCGGGCCGGTGGGATAGCGCGAATGTCGAGCCCTGAATTTTTCAATAGGTGACCTTGGGCACCAGACAGATAACTTCCTGGATTTCCTGATATGAAAACAGGATTTCCTGTCATGAACGCTGGAATTCAAAATGGCCACACATATTAAGCAGTAAGATTGAGAGTGTCACCCATAAACATGATAAACATTTGATCGGTTACAAATATAGTTTTGTATCATTTGAGGTTGTCATTTATTGCATTTTCCATTTAATGAATCATAGTACTATTTTCAAAATATTCCTGTAATAGTTAAAATCCTCGTAAATAGTCTTTCAACAACATATATACATTTGAGCTCAGTTTGCTGAGCACATTATTATGGGACCTTTGCTTATCTGTTATTGTAAAAAACAAACCAATATTTATGTCTACATGCATCAAAAGCATGGCAGAATTTTTCACATTTATGTTTCATTATTCCAGGCCTTTCAGTTGTACTGACCCTACTACATCATCAAGTCCTTTCTTGTGGGAAATTACTAGTGGTGCCCTCACATGTGCCCTGGTCAGATGTCTCGAAGTTCGGATAACTCAATAATTTGTCTTGGTCCCATGAACATGCTCGACTGTACGACCAACCAATTGATCAATCAGATCATGTTTTCTCATAATCGAACACAAACAATTTTTGAAGACTTGTTTGCATTAACAATAGGTTTCGCAAGGTTGGTTTTGTCTGTGTCATTAAATTTACATTTCATAAGCACTATGAGCTTGTTCCAAGTCATAACTGAATTGATCTAAAAAAACTCCAGGTAATTTATGTTCCTGACATACTAGTCTTCCCTTAATAAAGATGTGAAATTTGCAAATGCATTTTGTTCAATTTGAAAAAAACAATTATTTTCGAGGACTGATTGGTTTTAAGGAACCAATAATTATGAGATTTTAACCAATTTCCAACAGAAGTAATTAATGACGCTTTTGTCGGCTTGACATAATCCAATTGTGGGTACTTCAAGATTATGTGGATATGATTCAAATGAAATTTAATGGATTCAATTTCGACCTGGTGATCATGCCAACATATTTATCTGGTGAAACATAGATCAAGTTCCTGAAATTAAGTCCTCGATTGAAACCAATTACTTTCGAAAGTTCTCTGCTTGGCATTCTAGTGCATATAGCGAGTGACTTTGGTTTTATGCTGCTTTTAGCAGTATTCCAGTATTATCAAACAGGGTGGTGAGGTGAAGTGAAATTGGGCTTAACGTCCATTCTCTTCCCACAGAGGTTACTCCTGTCATATCTTCCTACGTAGCTCCTGTGAGCGTTCAAGACTCGTGATTGGAGGCAATCAGATTTAGTTGTGCAATCAGCGACGTTGTTTCAAAAGTGATCATTCACAAGGCCTCGGTAATTTCCGTATGCTTCGAGAAAACTAAACTTCTTCCCCTGCGCGATGCGCAAACGTTTCTTCTAGACAGAACTCAGTCATGTTATGGCGGATCAGTGGCGTCTCCATCGCCTTCGTTGACAACGGACAAGCTAGCCTTTAAACGTCTTGTGTGTAACCTCAACACAAGTCCCCGGCAGATGGGGGATATTTGTGGCCCCACATTTGCTTGTGTTAGTCAAGTTGAATCTAAGTCGATGTAACACGTGTTCTGATTGGATAGAAAGAAGGGAGATAATTTGTGTTGCGATCTTTTGCCGCTAGGGGATTTTACGAGAACCGGGAAATATGGCCGTATTAGAACAGAGGTTCGTAGGAAGATATGACAAGTAACCTCTGTGCGAAGATAATGCTTAACATTGTGCTTGAGAATATTTTGCTCATATGACGACGGGCATGCGTGTGTATGTGCGGCTGCTTGTACTAGCCCAGACTGAAGCTGGTTTTATAGTGCTAGCTCACTGAGATACCATGCCGCAGTGAAGCATGAATACCCCACTCAGACACATTATACTGACTCCGAGCCCACCAGTCCTTGTTGTACCCATTAATACCGAGAGTCAGGCAGGGACCAACAAGTACCATATTTTAACGTCTTTTGGTATGGGGATCGAACTCGCGACCTTCCACTCTCCGGGCGGACGCTCTAACCACTACACCACGAGGCGGTTTATCACACAGGGGACACCAGAAATGGACTCCTCACATTGTAGTACTGTACCCATGTGGGGAATAGAACCCGGGTCTTTGGCGTTATGAGTGAATCTTGTGATATAAAACTATTGTCCAATATGAACTCCAAACATTAATTCCAAATTGGCAATGCCCATGGCCTACATATGTTAAAAGTATATTTTAAAACTCAAAACTGACTCCAAATATCAGTATCTATCATCTTCAACTGGTTTAATGTAGTCGTTCCCATATGTAAACACAAAATAATGACCTGACAACTTCAAAGCTGAAGTCTGCTATATTCATCAGGTTTGGGAAACCTACCGATCGGCCTATAGAAGGCCGAATGGGATATTATAGGCCCTTCTGCCTATTTTGCTACATAGGCCGATCAGGCTATATTTGACCATTATTATTATTATTATTTCACAAACTATTAATTCCGCATGAAATGGTTTTATATTATCATAGAGATGAATAGTTAATGGACCTCCTCAGCTTGAAAAAAAGGAAAGACTTCCGCCTGTATCCCCATAAATTTCATTCTAAATAGTCAAATCATATCACCTGAATAATATTCGTAATCTGATGAGGATGAGTTTCAACATGTTTCATTAATTATATCTACATACTTATAGATATATCCAACATCTATAAATGTCACTCTAGAAATTTCTCCTCATCGTTAAAATTTAGGGGGGATATGGGCAGAAGTCTTACCGAAAAAACAAAGTTTTTCGACAAAATGGAAATTTATATCATGTTCGGGAAATGATATTTCATATAAGAACACAATTTTGCACAGATTTTCATTTTGAAAACTAAAACTGAATATCTATGTCATTAATTTTCAGTGAAAATTGTCCACAATATTATAGACTTACATTTAATTAGCAATTTCCAAACTCCTTTATTATGTGATGAAAATGCTCAAACAGGATTTGAATGAAAACCTTAGGACATCAAAACTTGAATGATGTGTCATGCGGAAATGCACCACTTCAAATTTATTTGATCCTGTTTAGCCTATTATAGGCCGATCGGTAAGTTTCCCCAACCTGTTCATAATCTGTTTGTGGACGAGGTATACATGGAATTGTTATTCAAATTTTATCAATACACCGTATCCGACATTACGTAACATATTTTGCAGGTCGCTGAGGCTGCGCAGTAACCTCAGGTGGACCCCCAACAAACACAGATACGGAAGTAGTTCGGAGTTCTGATCCATTACAGGCACTGAACCGGAGAAAGAACATACAGGCAACGCGCACAGCGTTGACTTTAATGTTTGGTCAATTATATAGCAACATATTTACAAAACAGTTATTGACTTGTAATAAAAATATAATAAGAAGCGTACTATGCTTGTTTCCGGGGCATCCCCTGTAGTATCACTGGGTGGATGCGTCTGCGTCGGTGCCGATCTTGTGTATCGTCGGAGGAGCTGATCCACCTCGTCTTCAGCCTTTGACTCTAATACTTGTATGTTGTGCCCCATTTTCTCGCCTTCGGAAAGAGGTGGGAAGAAAAGTGTGTCTGCTACCCGACCGAATCGCGTCGCGTGACAGTCCTTGTGTAAGAAACTGCACAACAAGAACAGGGCAGGTGCCCAAATCCTTGCTGCTGCCGCCATGTTTATCTCTGATACTTGAACTACTTTCCTCAAAACTAACCAACTACCTGTATGAACTTCTTTACTTATTTTGACAAATATGATTTCTATATCTAGAGGGACATACTTTTTAATAAGCTATGTCATTTTCTATTGGGAAAATACCCTACTTGGTTGGTTCAACTCGGTAGCATTTGCCAATCTTAATCAACAGAGTTCGTCTTAATGTATTATTTTAAAACATTCCACAAACTGGGTATTAAGTGAACAATCAACGTGTATTTTGTATCTGTAGAATTACTAGATAAATACTGAATCGTAACATCCAGTTCTGGAGTTGCATTTCATGAAAATCCTTAACATTAGCATTCATTTGGCTCACTACATCTTGCGTGACTGGCAGTAGTCGTTAAGAATATAACATATTTTCTGAACCATTTTTACCTCGTCACATTGTCAACATCAAAGCGCCCCAGGTGTGATGAGATTGAGATTGACTCGATTCTAAATAGAGGTTTACTGAACCACAACAACATTGCATGTGAGACGTTAGGACCATTTTAAAAATAACAATAACATGTAATGATAATGGGACTTATACGCTACTGTTTTATTTCCTCAGGCAGAATAATATGTTAATCATATAAATTGGATGTATGTCATTTTCAAAGGAATGATATGTATGAAATTATATGACATATAGATATCTATAGGTTGCAGTGCGATTTGGTGGAGGAGTGATACAGTATCACTGACAAATTCGGAGATTAGACATACGTACGCTGCAACCTACAGCTCGACCTAACATAGACTGACTATAGGTACAAGAACTTGATGACACTGTTTAGTACGTGGACAACAATTGAATATAAGATGTCTGACGCTTTGATCGAAGGGATCAAACGGGTCAGTCGCGAACGTGTTGAGGGATGTGTGAGTGAGTGAGTGCAGGGGCGGACCCAGAGCAGGGATGCGCAGAACACACACACACACACATTCTCCGCCGAAAAATTATTCCGAGAGGAGTATATTTCCTCCCCCTTCTCCCAAATCCTGGATCAGCCCCTGGTATGTGTGTGTGTGTGTGCGTGCGTGCGTACGTGCGAGAGTGAGTGCTGTGTGAGTGGGTGGTGGTTGGGTTTGAGTAGGACTGTGGATGGGGTGAGTGAGTGTGTGTCGACGGGGATGTGAGTCTGTGTATACGTGCGTGTGAATGACTTGAATTTCGGTGGTAAGTGAGATATGAGATCTGGCGTACGCCGTTTTAGGGGCAGTATCCCAGCAAAAGCCCATCACCACCCTAATTTGTACCCATGTGTGGATCTAAAGCCGAGCCTTGGTGGTAACGATCTTCTGAAATGAAGACTGTACGTAACAACAGCAGGAAGCTATTATAACCTGTCACAGGTGTTTGTTGACAAAAAATATAAGAAGAATCAATAAACACACATTTGTTGCCAGTGCTGCGTAAAATGAACATTCATTTTTTAAGGATTTATAGGTTTCCGAGAAGTTCAAATCAATTGTGCACTACAACGAAACACAATATACTAGTCTAAGGCGCCACAATTCGCTATATTTTAGCTACGATATAAGTAATTCCCAGCAAACAAAAAATGTGACAACTAACAAACTGAGTTAAAGAGTTAAAATTAAGTGACTGGCTAGATTCATTTACAACAAAATCAACATCCATGCCCAGATCCAAGTCTTCTGAAAAGTCTGAATCAGAATGTTCAGACAGGATATGTCGGAGCAGTCAGAGTCTTCCAAGGTAGTTTGTGCACCACTGACACCGACACCCACTGCTGCAGCACCATACTCCTCGGTAGCTTCAACAGCATGGACAACACTACACTTACAGACAACAACTGCTGATCGAGATAAACACTAGACATTACTGAATGATATTTTTTGAAAATTAATACTCTTAGTTATTGGGGATGAAAAAGGTGTCGGCCATAATGACCTGCAGAAAACAAAAGCTGTGGGTCCGAGTGGTTTTCAGTTGGTTTCGGGATTAAGGGCCGACGTTAATGTCGAACGCTGGCCTCACACATTGTACCCATCTGGGCAATCGAACCCGCGCCTTCGGCGTGACGAGCGAACGCTTTAACCACTAGGCCACCCCGCCACCCCGCCGCCCTCCAGCTCAGGAACCTGATACGCCGTGATATGACGGGGATATTTCTTAAAACGGCATGAAACTAAATTCAATCATATTCCGAAACAGTGATACATGCAGACTCCGATCCCCATGGATAAACTATTAAATAGGTAAGGATGGTAACGTGGATGCAAAACTTAGTATCTCTGATCTCGCGGACGACGTCGTAAGATAACTCACTAATTCACTAAATGTATGCGCTGCTTAAACGCACCTGTTCCCGAAACTGACTTACTGTAGTTGGCCATAAGTCAGTCATCATAAGTGAAATTCCCATAGACTTGCATGTTAAATAAAACTTGCACGAATTTTCATAAATTTAGTTTCGGTCGAATTGCTTTCAATACTTATATACCAGCTGGGAAATCATCTCAGTGAGTGAGTGAGTGAGTTTAGTTTTACGCCGTACTCAGCAATATTCCAGCTATATGCTGGCGGTCTGTAAATAATCGAGTCTGGACCAGACAATCCAGTGATCAACAGCATGAGCATCGATCTGCACAATTGGGAACCGATGACATGTGTCAACCAAGTCAGCGAGCCTGACCACCCGATCCCGTTAGTCGCCTATTACGACAAGCATAGTCGCCTTTTATGACAAGAATGGGTTGCTGAAGACCTATTCTACCCCGGATCTTCACGGGTCGAAATCATCTCAGCTACATACATGGCTGTCTATGGGAAAGATTAAAAGTTGCGCTTATATATGGTGCTTAATCAGGTGTCATCCGATAACTTGTAATCAACGGAAAGATGAAAGAAAATTATGTACACGTAGCTGAAGATGATTTTGAAGATGTTTGCAAAATATCAAAGTAAAATGACTTCTACTCAATTTACAAAACATTTTCTTGAAAGAGTTAATTAACATGTCTATGGACATTTCACTAATGATGACACTTATGGACAACTACTGTACATTTGAGACAAAACTATTGTTTTCTTGTGAGGGGCGGCGGGGTAGCCTATAGTGATTACAGCGTTTGTCCGTCACACTGAAGACCCGGGTTCAATTCCCCACATGGGTACAACTAGTCTGTCCCACAGTCCCTGAATCACATTATTTTCCCTACTGCCAAGCCCTCTCTGCAGTGCTAAAGCCCTAAATAAAGCATGTCTAGATTTCCTCAGGAATCTCTGGTCTCCCTAGGGCTCCTTTTCAATTTAAATGGTCTTGTTCGTTAATATCAAAATTATATATATTCAGAGACTAAGCATTAGTCTAGGGTACAACCTGTGAAGCCCATTTCTGATGTCCCCCACCGTGCTAATGCTGTAATACTGCTAAATGTTGAGCGTCGCAAATACCTAAGTCAGCGATCGTGACGACCCGAACCCGGTAGTCTGTTCTTGCGACAAACATAGGCTGCTTGCCCGGATCTTCACGGGTAGTTAAGGGCTGAAGCTTCGTTATTATGTAACCACTTCAATGCATACTTCACAATACTGCCGTTTAACAATTCCCTGTCTGTTAACCGTCGATCGCTTGTAGAAACCTTGAGTTAATGTTTAGTCAAGTTCGTACATGAATTTTTGTATAAACAAAGTGTCTTTTTTTCTCTCTTTTTATTTTTCAGAAACCCCTGTTAGAAATTGGGGATCCAGCCCATGGAAGCAGAAACCCCATTGAAGTTAAAAGAGATTGAAGCAACAGGCTTCTGGGTTTTGGTTTTTTAAAGACATTAGACAAGCACATTGCATTCACTCACACATTCACACTGACAGAATAGGTAGCAAATAACATGAAGTATATATATAGTATATAAGGGAAAACGACTAGCACATGATGGATGAAATGACACTTTGATGTTATGTACTGTGATATAGATTTGGGTGAGAAGTTTAAGTTTGCATTACGAAAATGTTATAACATGATGATGCTTTACGATGACAGAGGTAAAAAATAACTGGACCTCTGGTGTCAGAAAAATACTTCAGTTTTGCGGCTATGATTATATCTGGAGAGAACAAAATGTAACAGCACCAGAGCATTTTATATATGATTTAACACAAAGTCTAAAAGATATGTATTTTCAAAAGTGGCACTTTTCACTATGTTTACACACTAAGTTAAACCATTATTCCTGTTTTAAAGCATTCATTCGTACAGAAAAATATCTTCTAGACATTAATGTTAAGAAATTCAGAACAGCATTAGCCCGTTTCAGATGTAGTTCCCATGATCTTCTAATAGAAAAAGGTAGGCATTTAGGGATACCACGGGAAAAACGATTGTGTAAATATTGTACTTATCAGGAGTTAGAAGATGAATATCATTTCTTGCTTGTTTGTCCATTGTATGCAAATATCAGAAAAGAATACATAAAGAAATATTTCTACTTGAACCCCCGAAAGACAAATTCTATACCCTCATGGCATCCCAAAATCAAACAGCCACAAAATATCTCGCAATGTATATATACCATGCCATGAATATGAGATCCTCTGCATTACAGATGTGATATTATTTACTATATATTCATTTTATATTGCACCCTCTGCTACTGTATGTATGTAAAATGTACTATAGGCCTACAGATGGTTTGCCTTTCATTCGATGAAGTGTTCCTGATTTCTTTGGAAGAGTTCCACAATTGGCAAAGACAGTTGATCTGTGTTGGGTTGATAGGATCGGAGAGAGTCACTGGACCATGTGACCTAAATAACAACCTTTTATTTATAAATAAAAAACATTTTCGGCATGGGTGTCTTAGTTATTGCAGTGTTTCATGACATAAAGGTGTTATATTGGTGACTGCTGTGCGCCGTGTTATATAGATGTCACGCCTGCAGTGCGCCGTGTTATGTAAGTGTCATATTGACTTGACTGCAGTGCGCCGTGTTATATAAGTGTCATATTG